CACCCGGGAGGAAGAGGCAGCGCGGGAGCGCCCCTGCGTGGCTGAAGACAGGATCACGCCCAAGGAAAACTCAAACCCAAACACAAATGTGAGGATTTAATATTAAAAATATTGATGTTTGATAATTAGGCCCTCTTCATTTTAATAGTGCATTCCTAGTGTGTTTACTATTGCTGAGCGCGAGAGCACTGTGACTCCAACGCTCCCTGAGCGACGCAGGAGACGCCGGTTCCATATTAAGCATGCGCAAACTTTGAGGGCGGGGGCGCCTGCGTCATCACCCTAATATACTCTGCATAGAGAGAAGTGCTAACGGGAGGTAGCGTGGCCGAGTGGTCTAAGGCGCTGGATTTAGGCTCCAGTCATTTCGATGGCGTGGGTTCGAATCCCACCGCTGCCACACCCCGGAGGGTACCAGTTTTTTTTTTCTTTTTTGGCCAACCATCTCTTTATGTAGTTCTCTATGTAGTCCTTTTCCAACCTTTCTTCCTTTTTTCTCCTTTCTGATGTCTTTTTTTAAGCTTTAGATTGCTTATAATGGATTTTTTTTTTAGTGGAAGGGAGAAGGGAAGAGAAAAGGCAGAAACCGCAGTGCAGGCTCTTTCACTCTCTAGCCCAATACAAACCTCTCTTTCACTTGCCCATCCAGCTCCCTCAAAACAAACAAACAAACAAAAAAACAAAACACGGCTCTCCATGCTCCATGTACTTTAGAGGGCTCCAGGGACCCCATAAACCTCTCTTGCCAGGTGACCCTGGAGTAGTAGGGGTCTGGCCCTACGTGGGGGTGCCAACCTTGAGGTCTCTGCTTCGTTGATTCACCTCTTACTTGGTTTTCAGGCTTGATTTAGGGGTCCTCATTTATAAACAGTTGTTGAACTGTTTATGAAGGGCCTACTATGTGCCAGAAACCGTGCTTGTCCTGAGGCTACGGTGGTGTACAAGGCAGACATGTTTTCCAACCCATCGAATTTGCAGACATTGTCATTGTAATTAATCACACGTGGGAGAAGTGTTAGGCAGTACAGCATGCTAACCTGGCCCCTGAGAAGCAACGAAGTGACATTTAGCTGGGGCCTGAAATTGAGATTAGCCAAGTGAAGGCGCGGGGTCGGGGAGGTGGGGAAGGCGGGGGAGGATTTCCAAGAAGAGGGAACTCCTAAAGGACGAGAGTCTGCTAAGGCTGAGACGCTGTGAAGGCAATTGAGGGCAGCTGCACAGAGTGGAGGTGGAGTATTGGCAACAGGTGAGGCTGAAGAGATAGGCAAAGAGGACCATGAATGCCGAGTTAGAGCTTTGAACTTGGTCCCTTCCCAAGGGCAATGGGAAACCATGAAAGGCTTTTGAGCTAGAGAGTGGCATGTTTCAATTTGGAATTTGAAAGTTCACCGGTTGGGCATGGTGTCTCACACCTGTAATTCCAATACTTTGGGAGGCCGAGGCCGGAGGTTAGGAGTTCAAGACCAGCCTAGCCGACATGGTGAAACCCCGTCTCTAGTAAAAATATAAAATTTAGCTGGGCGTGGTGGTGCGCGCCTGTAATTCCAGCTACTTGGGCGGCTGAGACAGGAGAATTGCTTGAACCTGGGAGGCAAAGGTTGCAGTGACCCGAGATCATGCCACTGCACTCCAGCCTGGCCGATAGAGTGAAACTCTGTCTCAAAAAAAAAAAAAAAAAAAAGAAAGAAAAGAAAAGAAAAGAAAGTTCCCACTGGCAGCAGGGACAGGAGGTCCCATTCAATGCCTATTGCAATTGTCTAGGAGAAAGGACAGTGGCTTGTGCCACAATAGTGGCCAGGTGCGGGACAGAAGGAGTGAGTCAGGGAGATATTTTACAGACAGAGTTGACATAATCCACTGATGGGCATGTCGAGAAGAAGAGGATCATGTCAAAAATGACGCCCAGGATTTGGGCTTGGGTCATTCGATGGCTGGTTGTGCTTCTCCTCTCCCTCGGAGGGAACATGGGATAAATGGAAAGCAGGTTTGTGGGAGATGATGACTTCAGTTTGATTTTCATTGAGTTGGAGATTCTTGTGGGATATGGGGTTGAGTAGGAGGTTGGACATAGATTTCTGGAGGTCAAGAGGCACTCCAAGGAAATGATACAGATTTGGGAGGTATTAGAGACTGAGGCCATGGGAAAGGATGAACTCACCCAGAAAGAGCCCGCAGAGGGAGAAGAGGGAACAAGACAGAGTGCCGAGGGACATCATCTTAAAGGGAGGGCAGTGGAAGAAAAGCCAGTGAAAGAGATGTGAAAGAGATGGGAAAGGCCAGCCATATATGTGGAAAACAGGTGTGGTCTTATAGAGACCAAGAAGAGTGGATCAAGAAGGAGGGGGCGGTCAACTATGTTGAACACAGCTAAGAAGATTGGCAAAATAAAGACTGAAAAATATCTATTACGATTTATGGACAAGATCATTGATGATCTTAAAGTCATTTTGGAATGGGTTGAGGAGAAGAAATGGAAACATAAGTATGGTCAATTCATCACAAAATTTGATTTTGAAGAGGAGGAGCAAAAGGAAGAGTTGTGGGAGGGGAAATGGGGGAATCAGGGGAGGATTTTTTTATTTGTTTTTTTAAGATGGGGTCGGCCGGGCGCGGTGGCTCAAGCCTGTAATCCCAGCACTTTGGGAGGCCGAGACGGGCGGATCACAAGGTCAGGAGATCGAGACCATCCTGGCTAACATGGTGAAACCCCGTCTCTACTAAAAATACAAAAAACTAGCCGGGCGAGGTGGCGGGCGCCTGTAGTCCCAGCTACTCGGGAGGCTGAGGCAGGAGAATGGTGTAAACCCGGGAGGCGGAGCTTGCAGTGAGCTGAGATCCGGCCACTGCACTCCAGCCTGGGCGACAGAGCGAGACTCCGTCTCAAAAAAAAAAAAAAAAAAAAAAAAAAAAAAAAAGATGGGGTCTTGCCCTGTTGTCCAGGCTGGAGTGTAGTGCTGCAATCATAGCTTACTGCAGACTCAAACTCCTGGATTCAAGTGATTCTCCTGCCTCAGCCTCCTGGGTGCTACCACATCTGGCTAATTAATTAATTAATTTTTTTTGGGGGGGGTAGATGCAGGGTTCTCACCATATCACCCAGGGTGGTTTTGAACTCCCGACCTCAAGCAATCCTCCAGTCTTAGCCTCCCAAAATGTTGGGATTACAGGTGTGAGCCACTGCGCCCTGCTGGGAAGATATTTTCAAGATGAGAGAGACTTGAGGATTTTTTAGATGCCTGGCATTGGGTTTACAATGGGGAATAGCTTTAGCACCCATAATGGAAAGCTTATGAGTTTTGTCTTGATGGTCCCTTCCAATCGACTATGTTACCTTGGGCTGCCCACTGTGACAACTCTGTTTCCTGCATTTGTGATGCTTCTCCTTAGTGTCTCCAAGTAAGCTAGAACCTCCTACTTGCCCTTTCAGAACCTCACGGCTAGTGGTCTGGGCAATCTCAAAAATTCTTACAGTGATTCAGTTTTTCTGTTGGGTGGGGATGCCACCTCCTTTTCCATTGGATAAAGAGGCTTGAAAGGAAAAAAGCTTTCTTGACATAGCGATCCATGTTGTCCCCATGCCCAGAGTTTAGACATCCTGCTTCCAGAGTGTTAAGGAATAGATGAGTTGGAGAAATCCAGAAAACAAATAAATTGATTCTTGGCTTTTGGGTTTTCAAAAGCTGAGGTTTGGCACTAGTCAAAAGATCTAGAAAATAATGTGAGCAGTGTGACACTGTTTTTCCTGCTCGAAGAATAGATTTCCCAGGATTAGCAGGGAGAAGAAAGAGAGGAAGGAAGTGAGTTTGGATGTAAGCATGTTATCGAGAGGAAAGGAAGCCCCAGGACTGCCAGCTTCAAATGGTCCGAGGTTTGTGGCTCTGAGAGAATGAGACCAATCCCAGAGTTCAACCGCAAGCCTTGGCATGGCCAGGGTGTAGAAAAATAGAAGTTACCACGTGTTGTGTTTAGGCCAGTGGGGGCTTAGGCGGTGCTCCTCCAAATTCCCACAGCTGTAGAACAGAAACCCCCACCCTCCTCTGCTCTTTGGAATGAGACAAAGCCCCAGTTTCCGTCATCTATAAAATGAGAATAATAAATCCTATTTAAGAGTGGCTGTAAGAATTAAACAAGATCATATAGATGAAAGCCCTTTCACACCGTCGAGCATTAAATAAACATAAAGGATTATTATTGATCTTTCAAAAATTATATACACACCTACAATTCAGCCTAGCAGAGAGCAGCATACAGTTTTTTTTTTTTAGCTCCATCCCAAACTGCCCACCTTGTTCAGCAGAGTGGGACACACGCTGCTGTGGCCATGTTGGTTCTGATGAGCCCATTCCATCCCCTCCACCTCAGCCTTGTGATGCTTTTCTTCTCTGCCAGTCCCACGTGTGCATACTACGATCTATACCTGGTTGTACTGACACACTGATGTCTTGGTACTCACAACTGATAACTGACACCAAGATGATAGGGGGCGAAGTTTCTGTGGAGAGCAGGGCTAGATTAAGAAGTTTTGTGACCTTAAACTTTAAAGATTATGGTGATCACCACTACCTCTAATTAGTAAATAGAAATAGTACTAAATCATAAAATGCAACCAACTAAACTCTATTTTTCCCATTATAGCTTTATTGGTACTTCATCGAGACATCCAATTATTTTAAAAGTTCTCTTTTTTTTTTTTTTTTTTTTTTTTTTTTGAGACAGAGTCTCACGCTGTTGCCCAGGCTGGAGTGCAGTGGCGCGATCTCGGCTCACTGCAAGCTCCGCCTCCTGGGTTCACGCCATTCTCCTGCCTCAGCCTCCTGAGTAGCTAGGACTACAGGCGCCCGCCACCGCGCCCGGCTAATTTTTTGTATTTTTTTTAGTAGAGACGGGGTTTCACTGTGGTCTCGATCTCCTGACCTTGTGATCCGCCCGCCTCGGTCTCCCAAAGTGCTGGGATTACAGGCTTGAGCCACCGCGCCCGGCCCTCTTTTTTTTTTTTTTTTTTTTTTAAAATTTTTTGATGCTCTTTCGGGTACTAAAACCTGTGCTTAATATGCTGTCATCCTCAGACAGGAACCCAAAAAGGCCAAGTCGGGCTCGGCAGAAGCTTGCGTCCTGGTTTTCCCCCAAGCCCTGGCTGTCAACACAGATCTGTGTGAATGAGAAGCCCAGAACACTGGGTCGGGGAGATCGAAAGCAGTGTTACCAGACAGAGCAGCAGCTGACGGCGCAAACTCATATCAACTCCACCCCAGACTGCATTAGCCCATAGCGACCCGGCAGCCAGGCTCTGGGGAGAACCCACCCAGGAGGCGGACCTGGAAAGGGGTGAAGCCAGAAAGGGAGGGGGCAGGGCCAGGACCCAATTACACGCGAGAAGGGCGGGACTGGACCCAGAGGGAGGAGCAAGGCCAGACCCAAAAGGAGAAGCCAAGGGGGCTCAAGCGTGCGGGGAGGACCAGAAAAGGGGCGAAACCAGAACGAGGGAGAATCTGGGGGCGGACCGGAACTGGGCAGAGACTAGGAGAAGGTCCAGAAGGCGGAGGAGGCTGTGAGCCTTGGCCCATGTCAGTAACCGGGGCAGGCCGGAGGGAGGAAAAAAGGGGCAGGGCCAGGGCTTGGAGGGAGGGACATGGACGTAGGCACGACTCAGAGGGCAGGGCGGGGGTGTGACCAAGACTCAGAAGGCGTGCCCAAACATGGAGGGGGAAGGGGCGTGGCTATGACATGGGGCGGGGTTAGGCCTGGAGAGCGGCTCAGGACTAGGCCCTGAAGTCAGGGGGCGGGGAAGAGGCGTGCCCAATTTGAAGGGCGGGTCAAGGGCGCGGCCAAAACATGGAAAGGGATTCGGGGCTAGGTGTCGGGGCCGACCAGGGGCGTGGCCAGGATTCAGGGGGTGGAGGGGGAGCATGCCCACTTCGGAGGGCGGGGCGGGGGCGGGGCCAAAACACAGGAGGGGCGGGAGGCAAAGTCTGGGAGTAGTCAGGGGCGTCGCCAGGATTCGGGGGTCGGGGCTAGGTCTGGAGGGCGGCTCAGGGGCGTGGCTAGGAGTCAAGGGGCGGAGCAGAGGCGCGCTCAAACCCAGAAGGCGGGGCAGGGGCTGGTACTAGCCCAGGGAGCCGCGGGTGGGAGAGGGTGCAGCAGTGCCGACCCCGGCGGGCGGCGGGCGGCGGGCGGTCACAGGCGCTCCACGGAGGAGTGCAGAGGCTGCAGGCCTAGGAAGTGCAGGGCCAGGGCGAGCAAGCCGAGGAACAGCAGCAGCCCGAGCAGCAGCCGCAGGAGGGTCCGCGCCGTGGAGCCGCGGGGCCGCCGTGTAGTGGACTGCACGTATAGCTCCACTGCATCGGCGAACTTGAACTTGTCGGGCGCATAGCCAAGCTGGGCGCGAGCCTTGGCTATCTGGAAGGTGTGCGTCACGGCCACGCTGCGCACCTGCGGGGACAGGCGGGGCATCCGAGGGCGGGGCTCGTGGGAGGGGGGCATCCTCTACCTCGTTGTTTACGGAAAGGGAAAAGAGAGGGCAGGGATTTCCCCTCCATTGCACAGTGATTTAAAAGGACCCGAGGACAGCGTCTTGCTCCTGTGATGCCCTCATTAGAGAGGTTTTCATTTCTTCCTTCCATCTTCATTTTTATTGGAGGGTGCCACCTCTGCGTCGCCCCCTTCAGCCCCGCTAAATTTGCACCTTATTTAACTCCTTGTCCCCTAAGAAGGAAAGGTCTCACCCCTACACTCATCTTCCCGGCCTAGCACGGTGCTAGGACTCAGGAGGCCCTTGATACATTCTTAGGCATCCGCTAGGAGACGGTGAACGCCTGCCAGAAACATCTCCAGGAAACGACATTGGCTTCCTGCTCCCAACCCCAGACCAACTGTGGCCAGGCGGGCCCCAGTCGCAGCCTTCACGCCCTCACTGATTAACTAAGCTTCCCTAAGAGAGGAATTCGATTATGCAGAACTGATTACTCTCTAGGGTCTAAGCTGTGTTTCCCCTGCTGCCAGATGGCTTGGGGCCCACTGGTGTCAAGGGTAGTAATGATAGCTATCAGTTGAGGAACACACACCCTGCACTTGGCCTGGGCTAAATCCTTTCTATGCCCTACCTCATTTAATCCTCTCAGGTGGTACTAGCACTATCTGTTCTGTGCATACTTGGAAAAAGATCAGAGAGGTTGAGTGACTTGCCCGGGGTCACACAGGGGAGCCAGGTTCTAGCCTAATTTCTTCCCTGCTGTGCTGGCATCTGAAGATGCTCTCCCAGCTGACTCATTTCTTCCTCTCTTGTGCCTCAGCCAGACCCTGGGGAATAATCCACCAGCTGCTGGATTCTCCCATGGCACTGAAACAGCCCCTGGGGTCAAACCTGTGGTCTTGGATGCTTAATGGGGGGTGAGGAGAAAGACCAGTGTTTGTCCGTTTTTGTCTCAGTCATTAAGTGCAGAGCTTTGGGGAGCACAGGAGCTGAGTTATGCTAGATAAGCAGGGTCCCTAACACACTAGATGTCACCTCCTCTGGGGAGCTTTCTCTGACTTCCTCAGAGTTGGCTTAGGCGCCCCTTCTGTGTGCACTGGAGTTTCTCGCGATTTTCCCAAAAGTGGCTCTAATTACAGTGTTGAGTTGCCTGGTTCGTGGGCTGTCTTCCCCTTTGGACTAGGAGCTCCCCGAGGGCAAGGACTATGTCTTCTTGCCTCCATTGCTCAGCACAGTGCCTGGTACCACAGGAGATGCTGAATATATGTTAAATGCGTTAAAGGCTATAAAGTCAAACTGGAGGGCTGGTTGGTGTGTCACAGACTGACCAGCAGAGGGTACCCGAGCCACAGCCAAGGAACTTCCACAGTTAAGGACACTGCCCCTGAACTGAACAAGGAAATCCCCAACTTAAAGAAGAGGGAGAGGAGCCAAGTCCCTGCCTGACCACAATTCAGCTGCACCCTGGCAGCTATTTTATGGATGTGATTCCTGATGCATTTTCACAAGCTAATGGTTAAGCTTGAAATCACTGAGGTCTGGGTTCAAGTCCCAGCTCTACCATTTAAGTGTGTGATCACGGGCAGGTTATTTCACTGTGTGTCTCACTTCCACCTCTCTAAATGGAGAGGACAATGGCGTCTACAACTCAGTTAAATGACATAAAGCACAGTGCCTGGCATATTGTCACCACTCAAGAGATGGTATCATCTTATTCTCTCCTCTACTGATCCGGATAGTTCAAAGGAGAAGCCATAGGTGACTACTTCTTTCTGTGGCCCATTCTCCACTCTCCCCCTCTGACTGCCCTTGTTAAAGAGCACTGAACATGGAGTCTGAAGCCAATTCCAGTATGGTGTGGCCTTGGACAAATCAATAATTTTCCTAATGCTCAATTTTTTGTCATAAAATGGAGAGCATGATTTTTTTTTTTACCTTTTTAACTTAGCAAGGCATCAGAGACAATCAAATGAGAGTGGACTGGAAGGATTTTTTTTTTTTTTAGATGGAGTCTTGTTCTGTCACCCAGGTTGGAGTGCAGTGGTGTGGTCTCAGCTCACTGCAACCTCCACCTCCCAGGTTCAAGCGACTCTCCTGCCTCAGCCTCCCGAGTAGCTGGGACTACAGGTATGTGCCACCACACCCAGATAATTTTTGTATTTTTGGTAGAGATAAGGTTTCACTATGTTGGCCAGGCTGGTCTTGAACTCCTGACCTCAGGTGATCCACCTGCCTCAGCCTCCCAAAGTGCTGGGAACAAGTGTGAGCCACTGCGCCCGACTGGACTGGAAGGATTTTTGCAAATAACCTCAAATACCACCTATTGCTTTGCTATTTACAATCTGCGATGAAAACATCTTCTCTTTTAACTAAGCAAATATAAACCTGCATCATCATTATTATGAGAATTCTGAGCCAGGCATGGTGGTGCATGCCTGTAATCTCAGCTATTTAGAAGGCTGAGCAGGGAGGATCTCTCTCTCTTTTTTTTTTTTTTTGGTTTTTAGGGGCAGAGTCTCTGTTGCCTAGGCTGGAGTACAGTGGTGCAGTCGTGGCTCACTGCAGCCTCGAACTCCTGGGCTCAAGTGATCCCCCACCTGAGCTGGGACTAAAGGCATACACCACCTTGCCTGGCTAATTGTAAAATTTTTTGTAGAGATGAGGTCTTTCTGTGTTGCCCAGGCTGGTCTCAAACTCCTGGCCTCAAGTGATCCTCTTGTCTCAGCCTCCCAAAGCACTGGGATTATAGGTGTGAGCCACCACAACTGGACAAGAGGATCTCTTGAGCTCAGGAGTTTGAGACTAGCCTGGACAACATAGTGAGACCCTGTCTCATAAAAATAATTATATTCTGTATATAGTAGGTACTTAATATATACTCATTATTCAGTAAGCATGAACTATGAGCCTAGTACCACCAAGCTGGTGTGTGTGTGTGTGTGTGTGTATATGTGTGTGTGTTGAGAGTTGGTGGGATTGGTAGCATTCAAAGAAGTGAATGGCCTGAAACTTGCCTTGGGGAACCTCCAGTCTGGTGGAAAGACAAGATGCTTATGAATGAAAAAAACAGTGTTGATGGATGGGCTTGGAGCTGTCACATTTCAGACCCACAGCCTCAGCAAAAACCCAGAGGTTGGGGTAATCATAACAGAAATAGCACCAGCTTTGGGCCCACATGGAAAGTTCTGAGACCTCAGACAAGCATCCATCGTCATGGTGTCAAAGGGGTAAGGAGTGGTAGCAGTGGGGATGGTGGGGAGAGGTGGGAAGGGAGGGATGGGGAGCAGGGCCCAGGCTCCCACAGCAGCAGCCCACTTACCTCACTCCGAGTGAGCAGCGGTGGGAGGCAGCAGATGGGTCTCAGGGCCAGATGCAGGTGCTCCATCACTGCCGCTGCAGGGAAGAAGGGGGCCAGTGACCAGGGGCCTCACATTATGCAAACTCCAGGGAGGCCCTTGGGGACAAATCAATGGGGGCACCATTTGCTTTGCTAGAGGTCACTTTCAAAAGTCACTGGATTCCTTTAAATCAGCAGCCCATGCTGGGGTGCCTTGTTTAGCTGTGAATTATGTCACAAGCAACTTGTTTGTAATATTAAAGGACTGGGCCAGGTGCAGTGGCTCATGCCTGTAATCCCAGCACTTTGGGAGGCCGAGGCAGGCGGACCTCCTGAGATCACAAGTTCGAGACCAGCCTGGCCAACATGGTGAAACCCCGCCTCTACTAAAAATACAAAACTTAGCCGGGCATGGTGGCATGTGCCTGTAATCCCAGCTACTGGGGAGGCTGAGGCAGGAGAATCGCTTATACCAGGAGGCAGAGGTTGCAGTGAGCCGAGATTGCGCCACTGTACTCCAGCCTAGGTGACAGAATGAGACTCTGTTTAAAAAAAAACCCAAAAATTAAAGGACTGAAGTTTTTAAATAAATCTGAGCAGATTCAAAGTTATCCATATAACAATCTCTCTCACTTCTACTCCAATGCTCTCTGCAGTAGGAGAGAAAGAGGTTGGAGTAACAGTTCTCAAACTGGGCTGCATGTGGGACCAATTTAAAAATAATGCTGGTGAGAAGCAGGTGTGGTGGCTCATGCCTGTAATCCCAGCATAAGAGACTGAGGAGAGAGGATCTTTTGAAGCCAGGAGTTCAAGACCAGCCTAGGCAACAAAGTGAGACACCCTTCATCTCTAAAAAAAATTTTAAAAATAGCCAGGCACGGAAGTGTATGCCTGTCACCTCCACTACTCTGGAGGCTGAAGTGGGAGGATCGCTTTAGGCCAGGAGTTTGATACCAGCTGGGGTAACATAGCAAGACCCCCATCTCTACTAAAGTATAAAAATTAGCTGGGCCTGGTGGTAGGAGCCTGAAGTCCTAGAGGCTTGAGAGGGTGAGGCAGAGAATTGCTTGAGCGCAGGAGGTTGAGTCTGCAGTGAGCTATGATCATGCCACTGCACTCCAGCCTGGGTTGCAGTGCAAGATCCTGACTCTAAAAAAACAAAAAATACTGACACTTCCCTCCCGCTTCCTCCCTGCTAATCCCAGTTTAATTGGTCAGCGGTGTGGCTGAGACATTTCTCTATTTTAAAAGCTCCCAGGTGACTGTGAAGTGCAGTCTTGGTTGAGAAGCACTGAGTTACTGTTAGCCCACTGGGAACTGGGAACGTATTTACAATCCTCCCCAAGTGCCATTGGCCGTGGCTCAGGGCCAGGAGTACCAATCACTGTGGAAATGCTGTGCATGAGAAGTTCCCTAGTGCATGTGTTCCCTAGTGAACAAAAATTTGCAAACCCCTGCTTCTAATGCCAAGCTACTTGATGCATTTAAAACACAAGAGATCCTACCAAGGAGACCCTGGAACACAGCTATTTGGGACTGGAGGGCCACCATCCCTTCAGGCTGGTCACTCCATGTCTGAAGCCTGCTCTGCCTTCCAGCTGGGAGGAGGCCAGTAGATGGGTGCTGGCGACAGAGGGAAGGGCAGCAGCCAAGACGCATTGTCGGGGGTGGAAGTGGGAGCAGAGACTGACCTTCAGGAACAGGAGGAGAATCTAGAATCAAAATGGAGCCTCCATTTGTCCTAAAGTAGCCCTAACTTCAGGGTGACCTTGGGGGACAGAACCCCAGGGTTCCCTCTTCTTCTGACTGGCATGAGACCTCCCAGCAGCAGCACGACGAGCCCAGAGCCCGCCAAGCCCAGTTGTGAATTCAGCCTCCCCCGCTTTCTCACTGTGGCACTTTGAGAAAGTCACTAACCTCTCAGAGCCTCGGGTCAAGTCATCTTTACAATGGTCCCACCATAACTGCCTTGCAGGTGGGACTAGGGTGAGGGAAGTGAGACACCTAGGTTGTGGAATTTAAGGAGGCACTGGCTTCCAGCACCAGGCAACTGCAAACTCAGGCTTGGAGCTGCTGCACGGCCTCCTTAAATTTTGTGACCACGGTGCCTCACTGTCCTCATCCTAGTCCTGGTCCTGCCTGAGTTTCTTTTTTTTCTTTTGAGACGGAGTCTTGCTCTGTCACCCAGGCTGGAGTGCAGTGGTGGGATCTCGGTTCACTGCAACCTCTGCCTCCTGGGTTACAGCGATTCTCCTGCCTCAGCCTCCCAAGGAACTGGGAATACAGGTGTGCGCCACCACACCGGCTGATTTTTACATTTTTAGTAGAGATGGGGTTTTACTGTGTTGGCCAGGATGGTCTGGAACTGCTGAGCTCAGGTGATCCGCCTGCCTCAGCCTCCCAAAGTCCTAGGATTACAGGCGCGTGCCACTGCACCTGGCCCCTGAGTTCCAATTAAGGCAATGCAAGGTACACCTGGCACATGGAGGGGTTTTACTACGCACACTTCTTTCCTTACCTGTCAGGTAAACCCAGGAAGTAGGCACCTGGATCCAGGGCTGGCTGTACCCCAGCTTCTCAAACTGCAAAGAAACAAGAGCTGGACTGAGAATAGGTGGTTCAGGTACTGGTGTGGAAAGACCACAGGCTCCCTCTACCGGGGACCAGCAGAAGTACCTGCTGTCTCCCCACCAGCCCACCCCAGGGGGCAGGCCCTGCAGCCAAACCCAAGCCTATGCCAGTCTTGAAATGAAATCTGCACCTTGACCCAGAAAATCCAAGGAGGAATTGAAAGCGTGGGACAGTTAAAAAATTCTTTTTTTTTTGCAGAGATCAGGGGTCATGATGTGTTGCTCGGACTGGTCTCGAACTCCTGGCCTCAGGTGATCCTCTTGCCGCAGCCTCCCAAAGTGCTGGGATTACAGGTATACGCCATTACACCTGCCAGGTAGCTTTTTAACTTGGGATCATTCACATCATTTAATTATCACCTACATCTGTCTATACCTAGAGACACTCCAAGGCATTTATGTAGAATCTGATTTTTCCAGAATAGACTTCTCTGTTATTAAAGAGAAAAAAAACAACAACACAACATGTGTGTGGAGGGTGGTAGGAGATGCAGCAGAAATGGGCTGGCATGGGATAAGGTGAGCTCTTCACTGGCATAAAAACTTCCAGGTCAGGAGAAAACCTGGGTCCTTTAGCCTGGGTTTTCTGGTCTACCCCTTCCAGGCAAGCCTGGCTGCTAGGAGTCTGGGCTGCTCAGAGAGGATGCCAGAGTTCCCAGGCAGCCGTGTGGGGAGGCCCCAAAGCCAAACACCTCCCCTGCGCTTTTGACTCTTCCACATGCCTCCTTCAGAGCCTCAACACATAACAGGTGGCTCACAAGCAAAACTCCACAGGGCTAGGAGCCAACATAAATCTGGAAGCATCGAGACCAGCCTGGCCAACATGGTGAAACCCTGTCTCTACTAAAAATACAAAAATTAGCCGAGCAGGGTGGTGTGCACCTGTAATCCCAGCTACTCAGTAGGCTGAGGCAGGAGAATCTCTTGAACCCGGGAGGCGGAAGTTGCAGTGAGCTGAGATCACACCACTGCACTCCAGCCTGGGTGACAGAGTGAGACTGTCTCAAAAAAGCAAAGCAAAACAAATGCCTGGAAGCAGGGTGGAAGGGAACTGCAGGTAACTGAGGAGCACATAGCGCCCCTCAAGGGCTCCAGGTTCCAATGTTGCCAGAGCTGCTTTTTTAAAAAACTGGTTTTTAGAGATAGGGTCTTGTTCTGTTGCCCAGGCTGGAGTGCAGTGGTGTAATCATAGCTCACTGCAGCCTTGAACTTCTGCGCTCAAGAGATCCTCCCGCCTCAGCTGCCCAAGTAGCTGGGACCACAGGTGCGCCAACACCATGCCCACCTACTTGAATTTTTATTTTTGCAGGGACGGGGGTCCTTGCTTTGTTGCCCAGGTTGGTCTCAAACTCCTGGCCTCAAGCGATCCTCCCATGTTAGCCTCCCAAAGTGCTGGGATTACAGATGTGAGCCACCTCACCGGGCAAAGAGTTGGTTTTTAACGTGAAATTTTCTGACTTTTTGGACATAGAAAAGGACAAGAAGAGAAGGCTGCAGGCCGGACGCAGTGGCTCACGCCTGTAATCCCAGTACTCTGGGAGGCTGAGGTGGGTGGATCACTTGAGGTCAGGACTTTGAGACCAGCTTGGCCAACATGGTGAAACCCCATCTCTACTAAAAATACAAAAAATTAGCTGGGCGTGGTGGTGTGTGCCTGTAATCCTAGCTACTTGGGAGGCTGAGGCATGAGAATTGCTTGAACCTGGGAGGTGGAGGTTGCAGTGAGCCGAGATTGCGCCACTGGACTCCAGCCTGGGTGACAAGAGTGAAACTCTGTCTCAAAAATTTTTTAAAAAAGTAAATAAATAAAAAGGAAGAGAAGGTCAGGGATCCCAGAATGATCATTCGGGGTGGGCGGGCATCTGGGCACCTACCAGCGGGGCCATCCACTCAAAGAGGTTGACGCTCTCCCCATCGTTGATGTAGTACGCCTGCCCACTCTGAAGGGGACATGTGGGAGGGGACGGTCAGCCTTCTCCCCAGCAGCCTGCCCCCACCCTTCCAGATGGCTCCCAGCAGCTGCTCCAACCCTGAGTTCTCTGGAGCAGCCCCAAGACCTGAGGACACACCTGAGCTATTCCCTGTGAATTCTAGGACGACCACACTAACTAGTTGTGTGACCTCCATGGAGTTGCTTAACCTCTCTGTACTTCAGTTTCTTCATCTGAGAAATGGGAGGATAATAATGAGATCTCCCTCTTGGACTGTTGTGAAGATTAAATGCGACATTATGTGTGGAGGCTTAGCATTTGGCAACTGTTATTCTGGGATCAACACCAACCTCACATGGTCATAGGAAGAGCTAAAGATGCTCTATAAAGAACTCCGCACTCCACCTACCAGCTTCCCCCAAGCCTCCCTGGGCTGAGAGTCCCTTCAGCCTTCTTAAGTTGGGGGGAAATCTTGTGTGCCATCCAGGAATCCCCTAGGGATGGGGCGCTCTGCCTGCAGCCCTGTGGGGAAGGTGGTTGGGGATGTCAGAGGGGACTCACAGCCACGTAGCCCTTGGCCGCGGTGAGGGCCTCGGCCGCCAGCACATGTGCCTGCACCAGATTGTGTACATGGACCCAGTTCATCCGTGCCTTGCGGTCCCCAAATCGGAACATGAACAGCCTCTTCTTGATGTGGCCCTGGTGGAGAGGGGTGGGTGATAAACATAGGCTTGTGCCTGGAATGGCTTTACATTCCATCTAGATGCTGATGGCTCCCCAGGTTCTAGCTCCAGGTCAAGCCCCTCTGCTCCAGGCTCATGTATCCAATGCTCTCCGGATATCAACAACAGGTTGTCTAACAGAAAACTCAAACTCACCAGCTCCTGGAGCAAGCATCTGATAGTCTCTCCCATCCCGCTCCTCCCTCCCTTTCCGGTGGACTGGTCAGTTCACTCTGCCGCTCAGGCTAAAACCCTAAAGCCACTTTTGACTCCCCCTTGTCTTATATGCCAGGTCCAACCCACCTGCAAATCCAATTGGCTCAACTGTTAAAATCTGTTCAGAATGTGATAGCTTTTAGCCCCTCTGACGGCCACCCTCCTCTCACCTGGACACCACAGTTGCTTCCTAACTGGTCCCCCTCTGTCCACTCTCAGCCCCTGTAGTCTGTTGTCTGCCCAGCCAGGCAGATCCTTTGATTTTCTTTTTTTTTTTTTTTGAGACAGAATCTTGCTCTGTTGTCCAGACTGGAGCGCAGTGGCAAGATCTTGGTCACTGCAAACTCCATGCCCTGGGTTCATGCAATTCTTCTGCCTCAGCCTCCCGAGTAGGTGGAATTACAAGCGCATGCCACCACACTCAGCTAATTTTTGTATTTTTAGTAGAGACAGGGTTTCACCATATTGGCCAGGCTGGTCTCGAACTCCTGACCTCGGGTGATCCATCCCTTTCAGCCTCCCAAAGTGCTGGGATTACAGGCGTGAGCCACTGCACCCGGTCAGATCCTTTGGTTCTTTTATATATTTTTTAGAGACAGGGTCTGGCTCTGTTGCCCACATTGGGATGCAGTGGTACAATCACTGCAGCCTTGAACTCATGGGCTCAAGTGATCCTCCTGCCTTGGCCTCTTGAGTAGCTGGGACTATAGATGAACACCACCACACCTGGATACTTTTTAAATTTATTGTAGAGATGGTGGTCTCACTATGTTGCCCAGGCTGGTCTTAAACTCCTGGGCTCAAGCAATCTTCCCAGCCGGCTTCCCAAAGTGCTGGGATTGCAGACATGAGCCAGCGTGCCCAGCCAGGGCTCCTTTTATTTTTAGAGAGAGAGTCTCCCTGTGTCACCCAGGCTGGAGTGCAGTGGTGCAATCACAGCTCACTGCAGCCTTGAAATCCTGGGCTCAAGGGATCTTCCCATCTCAGCCTCTCAAAGTGCTGAGATTACAGACATGTGCTTCCGTGCCCAGCCAGGAGCACCTTTGAAAATTCTAAGTACAACCGTGTTGTTCCATGGCTCAGAACCTTCCAGGGGCGCCCATCCTGCTAGGCTGGAAGCTCAAGTCCTGACAATGGCTGTCCAACCCTTCCTGATCTGGCCCCAGTCCCTCTGTGACTTCATCTCCTACCAAACCCCTCTCACTCGCTCCACCACAACTGCACCGCCCCTTTGCTCTTCCTGGACTCTGCTGCAGGTTCCCATCTCAGGGCTTTGGATGAACTGTTCCCACTGTCTGGAAGGTATTTGGAGGAAGAGCCTTTCAGACTTTGTCACCTCTGTCAAGTGGATGCTCAAATGTCCCTTTCTAAATGAGTTCACCCTCGACTACCTGACAAGCCCAATTCCCTCACCCTATTTCACTTTTTCCTTTTCTCCACAGTGCCTGGCATCTTTTTTTTTTTAGATGAAGTCTCACTCTTGTTGCCCAGGCTGGAGTGCAATGGCGCAATCTTGGCTCACTGCAACCTCTGCCTCCCAGGTTCAAGCGATTCTCCTGCCTCAGCCTCCTGAGTAGCTGGGATTACAGGTGCCCGCCACCACGTCTGGCTAATTTTTTTGTATTTTTAGTAGAGACGGGGTTTCACCATGTTGGCCAGGCTGGTCTCGAACTCCTGACCTCAGTTGATCCATCCCTTTCAGCCTCCCAAAGTGCTGGGATTACAGGCGTGAGCCATCGCGCTTGGCCTGAACATACCTTATAATTTAACATGTTCACTGTTTATTATCTGTCTCTTCATGTGAGAAGAGAAACCCCACAATGACAGAAATCATCTGTTTTGTTCACTGATCTGTCCTCAAACCTAGAACAGTGCAGGGCACATACTAGGAGTTAGTAAGTGTTGAATGAATGAATAAATGCATGGGGAGAGAGTCACTGGGGTTGACCACATTCCTTAAGAATCCACTTAACTCAAAAAAAAAATGATTGCCGGGTGCAGTGGTTCACACCTGTCATCCCAGCAACTTGGGAGGCTAAGGCAGGAGGATTGGTTGAGGCCAGGAATTTGAGACCAGCTTGGGCAACATAATGAGACCCTATCTCTACAAAAAATAAAAATAGTCAATCAGGCATGGTTGTGCACACTTATAGTCACACCTACTCGGGAGGCAGGAGGATTGCTTGAGTCCAGGAGGTGGAGGCTGCAGTGAGCCATGATCACACCATTGCACTCTTGCCTGGGTGATACAGTGAGATCCTGACTGTAAACAAAAAGACATATAGCCAAGCAGAGGAATGTTTTGAAACTGCAGACTAGAACTTCTCCCCGCTAATAACTCTGGCTCCTCATGATCCTGCGCTCCCAGATCAGATCCAGCCACAGGGACCTCTTGCTGCTTCCTAAACCAATCATGATCTTTCTCACTTCTAGGTTTGTGCCCAAGCTGTCCCCTCTGTTTGGCCTATCTTCTCTCTACCACCTCATTTGCTTGGTTAATTCCTTTTTCTTTTTCAAACAACACAGACATCACTTCCTCCAGGGAACCCTCCTGGGTTTCCCTTGCCAGGCCCATCTTCTTGTGCTCCTCTCTCCACAGCCCTCCCCACATTGAAGCTGTGACTGTGGTGTCTGTCTCCCTGAGAAATTCGAGGACAGGGCCTATAGCCCCTTGGAGCTGTATTTCTGGCACCTGACCCTTTAGAGGCTTTCTGTATGAAGACACTTGTGCTCCCAGCATGGAATAAACCATCCAGGCTGCAGGGAGCCCATGTGGGAGTGAGGGCAAGAGGTTCCTTTCTGCCTTTTTGGGGTCACAGCTCTATGGCTCCTCTCCCCGTGCCTTGGCTTGGCTGGTACACTCTGAGAGCTCTGTTCCTGCCAGGAGCTCCAAGGGGCCTGTGGACCAGTGGGGGCAGGGACATCTTGTAGAACTGAGGGTTCCAGGCTCGGGACACTTAGCCTCGAGACTGATGCAGGGACCTTGGGCTGGGAGGGTCCGACCAGTGTGCACCTCAGCCAGGATCCTTCCCTGACTCGGGTCCTGGAGGCGGGGATGACGTACCGCCACACGAGGCAGGTGCCTCTGCTCTTCAGGGCCGTAGATCCCTGGAGGCCGGAGCACACACGTCCGAAGAGCGCCTCCTCCTAGCACACAGGGAAGCATGGTCAGGGGTCAGGGGAGGAGCAGCCCACAGAGAGAAGGAGAGAGAGGCCACCTCTGTCTCCTGGTCCTTACCTGGACAGGCTAGAGGGGAAGACTGGCCCAGGGGCTTCCTCGTTCAATTTGTTATTCTCTTAGTCATTCAACAGACACTATTCAGAGTCTCACTCCCACCTCCAATCCCCCTGCCCCCGACCCTGGATGGATGCTGTGAAGAAAGTAAGGATGACCAAGAAATGGTCCCTGCCCTCCCCGTGCTCACAGTGCAGTCACAGAGGTAAGAGCCAGATGCAAACATGTGCACAGCCGGTCTGTTTACCAAGCACTCAGCAGTGATTTTCTTTGATGCCCCTTGAGTGTACTACTGTGCCCATTTTACAGATGCACACAGATGCACACACCCTCATGCCCATAGCTCTTGTTCTCTCCTTTTTCTTTTTCTTTCTTTCTTCTTCTTCTTCTTCTTTTTTTTTTTTTTTTTGAGATGTAATCTTGCTCTGCCGCCCAGGCTGCAGTGCAGTGGCGCGATCTTGGCGCATTGCAACCTCCGTCCCCCAGGTTCAAGCAATTTTCCTGCCTCAGCCTCCCAAATAGCTGGAATTACAGGCACCCACCGCCATGCCTGGCTAATTTTTGTATTTTTAGTAGAGACGGGTTTTCACCATGTTGGCCAGGCTGGTCTTGAACTCCTGACCTCAGGTGATCCACCCACCTCGGCCTCCTGAAGTGCTAGGATTACAGACGTGAGCCACCGCACCCAGTCTTGTTCTCTCCTTTTTCTAATCATCAGTTGGATAAGGACCAGTTGGATAAGGACTTATGTATAGATAAGGACTATATAATAGATATCTAAGAGACAAGGGCTCTCAGAGAGGTCCTTCTATGTTCCTGGTACTCTGATACGTCAAGGTTGGAGATGTTATAATCCCTGTCTATGGGAAAAAAAAAACACAGCTCAGAGAAGGGATGTGGTTTGCTTCTAGTCACACAGATCAGCATGGTGGAGCTGAGATGGGGATCTGAAGTCCACACCGTTTCCACTAATGCCCCTGCTTCTCAGAGGTAAGGCAAACAGTGAACACTGTATTTTAGCCAACACAGCTTTGGTTTCCTCACATGGAAAATGGGTGCTTTGGAAGTGTTAGCAGCTGCTACACTTTCTAATCAATGCAGAAAGGAAAGAGCCGGGGTCTGTACCCCTTTCACTGCTCTATCTCTGCGGAGCTCCCCAGACCCCGACAGAGCTCAATCTGGGGCTTCCCAAATTCTCCACTGGAGGCACCCAAATGGCAGAAGTGGGTGAACATGTCTCTCCTGGGGCGCTCTGGGGGTACAGTCTGGGGGTACATATGTCTGCCACAGACATATGTCAGTCTAGTCTCACGAACACCTACTACTAGCTGGGAGCAGTGGCTCACGCCTGTAATCCCAGCACTTTGGGAGGCCAAGGCAGGAGGATTGCTTGAGCCCAGGAGTTCGAGACCAGCCTGGGCAACATAGAGAGACTGTCTCTACTATTTATTAAAAATAATAATAATACAAAAAACACCTACAAAGTATTTAGTTTATCCTCATAATTCATGTTTAAGATTTTAAAAAATGTTCTTTTATTTTTATTGCCATATAGTAATTGTACATATTTGTGGGGTAAGGGGTGATGTTTTGGCTCTGAAGTTTAGAGTGCAAGGGATACCTAAGGTTTTTACCTCCATGAATACAGCGTGTAATGATCAAATCTGGGTAATGAGCATATCTATTCATATCACCTTAAACGTTTATCATTTCTTTGTCTTGGGAACATTCACATCTGCTGCCTGGGCAATAAAGTGAGACCCCATCTCTGACACACACACACACACACACACACACACAAAATAGCCAGGCACCATGGTGTGCACCTATAGTCCCAACGTTCTGGGAGGCTGGGGTGGGAGAATCGCTTGAATCCAAGAGTTTGAGGCTGCAGTGAGCCATGATAGTGCCACTGCACTTCAGCCCGGGTGACAGAGTGAGACCCTGTCTCAAAGAAAAAAAAAAATCCACTCTTCTAGCTATTTGAAAATACACAATAAATAGTTGTTAATTATAGTCACTATATAGTGCTATAGAACACTATAACTTTTTTAAAAAAAGATTTTTAGAAAATATTTAAAATGACTTCTTTTTTTTTTAAATATAGTCTTGCTCTGTCGCCCAGGCTGGAGTGCAATGGCACAATCTCAGCTCACTGCAACCTCCGCCTCTTGGGTTCAAGTGATTCGCCTGCCTCAGCCTCCCGAGTAGCTGGGATTACAGGCATGTGCCACCATGCCCCACTAATTTTTGTGTATTTTTAGTAGAGGAGGCGTTTCGCTATGTTGGCCAGGCTGGTCTTGAACGCCTGACCTCAGGTGATCCACCTGCCTCAGCCTCCCAAAGTGCTGGGATTACAGGCATGAGCCACTGCGCCCAGCCTAAAAGGACTTATTTAATTAATTATTTTTAGAGACAGGGTCTCACTCTGTCACCCAGGCTGAAATGCAGTGGTGCCTCATGACTCCCTGCATCCTCAACCTCCCGGGCTCAAGCAATTGGCCTACCTTAGTCTCCCAAGTGGATGGGACTACAGACTCATACCACCACACCCAGCTGTTTTTTTTTTTTGTTTTTTTTTTGTTGTTGTTTTAAATTTTTAATAGAGATAAGGTCTCCCTATGTTGCCCAGGCTGGTCTTGAACTTCTGAGCTCAAGCAATCCTCCCACCTCAGCCTCCCGAATTTCTGGGATTACAGGTGAGCCACCGTGCCCCACCTTAGTTTTATAAATTAATTAACTCCCAGCCCCAATTTCTCAACTAAAATGGAGCCTCTTGGAAGAGGTTCCACTCTCCCTCCCAAGGAATGGAATCCCTGAGTGGGTCAACCTCCATGACTGCTTTCCTTTGGGGAACCCCTCCCCTCTGCATGAGGTCTTAGGGGGACCATCAGTCTAGAAGGAGGCCATGGAATGTTCTCACCCATGATGTCAAGAGGGGAACTCTTGATATCATGGACACCAGGACCTAAAATCCTAGGAGTGGAGTCACCCAGAGGAAACTGGTCATCAATTCCTGCCACCCAGGTCCCTGAAGCTGCCTTAACACTATCCTTTCCAAGCCCTGGTGGTCGTGTTTCTAGAAATCTATTTTCTAGAAGCTAGCCCACATCCTTAGTTCCCTTTCCTCCATAAATGAGCCAGGGCCAGTGTCTATGGGTCATAACGAATGCCCTGACTGCTACATCCTCTGAGCCCCTCACTTTACCTTGAGGTCGTGTGCAGTGGGTTAAATGGTGGCCCCTAAAAGATATGTCCATGCCCCCAAATCTGTGGATGTCACCTTAGTTGGAAAAAGGGTCATTGCAGATGTCATTGAGGAGCTCAAGATGAGATGTTCCTGAGATATCCAGGGAGGCCCTCTATCCAATGACAAGTGTCCTTAAAAGACTCACAGAGAAGAGACAGACGGAAAAGAGGAGAAGGTGATGTGAAGGCGGAGGCAGGGGCTGGAGCGATGCAGCCACAAACCAAGTAATGCCTGGGGCCACCAGAAACTGGAAGAAACGAGGAAGGAGTGCAGGCCAGGCACGGTGGCTGTTGCCTGTAATCCCAGCACTTTGGGAGGCCAAGGTGGGTGGATCACCTGAGGTCAGGAGTTTGAGACTAGCCTGGCCAACTGGTGAAACCCCATCTCTACTAAAAATATAAAAATTAGCTGGGCATGGTGGCACATGCGTGTAATCCCAACTACTCAGGAGGCTGAGGCAGGAGAATTGCTTGAACCCAGGAGGCGGAGGTTGCAGTGAGCCAAGATCACGCCACTGCACTCCAGCCTGGGCAACAGAGTGAGACTCTGCCTCAAAGGAAAAAAAGAGGAAGGAGTGCAGCCTACCTGAGCCTCCGGGAGTGCAGTCCAGCTGACGCCTTGATTTCAGACTGGCCTCCAGAATGGTGAGGGAATAAATGATTGCCTTTTGTTCATTTGTTTTTGAGAGAGGGTCACCGCTCACTGCCATCTTGACTTCCCTGGGCTCAGGTGATCCTCCCACCTCTGCCTCCCGAGTAGGTGGAAGTACAGGCGTGCACCACCACACCAGACAATTTTTGTATTTTTTTTTGTGGAGACAGAGTTTTGCCATGTTGCCCGGGCTGGTCTTGAAATCCTGGGCTCAAGCAATCCTCCCATCTTGGCCTCACAAATTGCTGGGATTACAGGTGTCAGCCACCATGCCCGGCCCATTTCTGTTGTTTTAAGTCATCAAATTTGGGTGGCATCGTCTGTCACAGCAGCCACAGGATACTAACACACCCAGAGACAGAAGATGGGAGGACATAACTGCATTAACACTGAGCTAGGATCTGCATGCCTCAGGACTCTGCTTCCAGGACTATGCTGGAACTGCATTGAGTCAGAAAAACAGTCTCAGGAACCCGCTTGGATAGTAAGGAGTGGAAATGACCCCAGGTGACTGCAGCTGGACTCCTGGAAGGCAGGTATCAGGTGAGCTTTCCTGTAAACAGCCTGCAGCTAATTTTAAACTCTGGGTCACCTGGGCATAGTGGGAGGAGGTCGGGTTGCAGCTGACGTTGGCAGGCGGGGCATTGGACAGCTACTTCACGGAAGGCCAGGGTATCTATGACTCTCCTGACCATGGAAAGCTGCAGATGCTCATATAAATAATTCTTGGCTGGAGGATTAGGTGTCTAGAGTACAGGCTGCTGGGTTGGCTAGCAGAGGCCCCAGGTAGAGAAAATATTATTCAACTGCACAAGGTTGAAACCTCTGGGAGAGCAGCTGGATATTTCTACCGGGATCAGGGGTCCAGGCCTGACTGGCCCAGGGTGATGGAGAGTGGGGTGGGGGTTGGGGGATGGGGAAGATTTTAAGGAGAAGAGTCAGTGCTCAGGGACCTGCTCAGCTGGGGTGATTAAGCCCCAGGCTCTGGTGTAAAACTCTCCTGGGGTTCAAATCCCATCTCTACCACCTAACAGCAGGATGATATTGAGTGAGGTCAGTTCATTTGTCTGTTTTCTCACCTGTACATTGAGGATTATTATTATTATTATTATTATTATTATTATTATTGAGATGGAGTCTCGCTCTGTTGCCTAGGCTGGAGTGCAGTGGCACGATCTCGACTCACGCAACCTCTGCCCCACTGGGTTCAAGGGATTCTCCTGCCTCAGCCTCCCGAGTAGCTGGGACTACAGGGACGCACCACCATGCCCACCTAATTTTTTCATATTTTCAATAGAGATGGGGTTTCACCACATTGGCTAGGCTGGTCTTAAACTCCTGACCTTGTGATCTGCTGCCTTGGCCTCCCAAAGTGCTGGGATTACAGGTGTGAGCCACTGCACCCAGTGAGGACTATAATTTTTAAGTCCCCCAACTCTCCAAATCCACTTGGCTCTCAAGTTCAGAGAGTTTTGATAGTGAAGGGAAACCAAGTTATCTGATTCTTTTTACTTTCTGAATTTTAGAAAGCTATATATATATATATATATATATATATATATATATAGTACAAAATATATATATTTTGTACAGACAGGGTTTTGCTATGTTCTCCAGGCTGGTCTTGAACTCCTAAACTCAAGCCATCCACCTACCTCTGCCTCCCAAAGTGCTGAGATTACAGGCGTGAGCCACCGCACCAGCCCAAGTAGTGATAATTTGGATAGCACGAAATTTATCTGAATAAATTTGGCTCTGAAGTTTAGAAAGCAAGGGATACCTATGGTTTTTACCTAAAAGGCGTGTTGTGAAGGGTTAATTTGACCTTTGCATATAAAATTAGCAACCTGTGGGAGAAGAGTCCATGAAAAAATATGAGATAAAATTAAAATAAAGGGAAAAGTAGAATAAAGAATGGGGCCGGGTGTGGTGGCTCATGGACTTCCATGCCTATAATCCCAGCACTTTGGGAGGCCGAGGCAGGTGGATCACTTGAGGTCAGCAGTTCTAGACCAGCCTGACCAACATGGTGAAACCCCATCTCTACTAAAAATACAAAAATTAGCCAAGTGTGGTGGCATGCACCTGTAGTCCCAGCTACTTGGGAGGCTGAGGTAGGAGAATCGCTTGAACCCAGGAGGCGGAGGTTGCAGTGAGCCAAGATCATACCATTGTACTGCAGCCTGGGTGACAGAGCAAGACTCCTTCTCAAAGAAAAAAAAATAAGAGATTAAGAATTGTATTTTAAAGAAAAAAATAGCATGCAAAATAGGCCTGGCATGTAGTGTGCATTCAAGAAATATGGACTATTTGCATTCTATTATTACTCATCTATAACCAGAAGAGGCAATATAAAAAGGCAGCCAAGGCCAGGCATGGTGGCTTATGCCTGTAATCCCAGCATTTGGGAGTCCGAGGCAGGAAGATCACTTGAGGCCAGGAGTTTGAGACCAGCCTGGACGACATCGTGAGACCCCATCTCTACAAAAAAAATAGAAAATAAGCCTGGTGTGGTGGCACACACCTGCAGTTTCAGCCACCTGGGAGGCAGAGGCAGGAGGATTACTTAAGCCCAGGAGTTCGAGGCTGCAGTAAGCTATGATTGTGCCATTCCACTCCAGCCTGGGCAACAGAGCAAGACTCTATCTCTAGAACAAATAAATAAATAAGACGGCCAAGGTAGACTCTTCTGGGAAGTTATTGAAGCTCGAGCCTTTGGGCCTCTCCCTTGCAAGGTCCCTTGAAAGTGTTATATCTCATTCCACACTCATAATTTGGTGCTCTTTTGTCTAAAGAGAGACCCTAAAGCTGGATCCACTCCTGTGCAGGAGAAAAGAGAGCCAGACCTGGGTTTGCTCAAGTCTCTTCACCACCTGACTGTGAACTATGTAAGGGCAGACACTGGGCCTGACTTCTGGGCTGTATCCCTGGCGGGGTGTAGCCACACAGCAGGTGTCCAGAATGTGCTGAATGATGAATGGGCGAGACCCTGGGAAACCATCCTTTGGGAGGAAGGTGGGCCTCAGTCACACATTAGCATGAATCACACAGGTATTTTGGATGAGGCAGCAGTGGGCAGGTGCGTTTGATATAAGCAGAGCCCCATGATACTCACCTGGGAGAGGCGTCCCATTGGCCATGAGGGTCAATTGGTCGGCGATGGCTTTGGTTCGGGAGTAGTGGTCTATGTGCTGCCAGAGGCCGGGACAAACAGAACCACCAGAGAGGGTCAGCAATGCTGCTGGCAATGCCTGCCCAGCCTGGCCCAGCCCCAGGGCTGCACCTTCCCTCGGGACTCCCACTGGGATATGGCCAAGCCCCGAGTCCCATGGCCTTTCCTCTCCCCCGGGTGGGAGAACAGTGCATCTCCTTCCAGAGCCACAGGAGCAGAGGAGCACTGGGTTCGGAGCAGTAACAATGACTAGGGGCAGCCCAACTCAGGGAGACTCCTGCCGGCTCCAGACACCTGTCCTTGCAAGGCTGATGCTGGACACACGCGGGATGAATTACCTACACATGGCTCTTTTGTGTTCACATGGCATTTTCACATTGGTTAAATTATTTCCTGCTCTGCACAATCCCATGGCAGTAGTGTTACCATGCTGGGATGAAGAAACAGAGGTTTTTCTGGGTGCAGTGGCTCATGACTGTAATCCCAGCACTTTGGGAGGCCCAGGAGGGAGGATTGATTGAGCCCAGGAGTTTGAGACCAGCCTGGGCAACACAATGAAACCTGTATCCACTAAAGATACAAAAGTTAACTGGGCGTGGTAGTCCCAGCTATGGGGAGGCTGAGGCAGGAAAATCACTTGAACCCGGGAGGTGGAGGTTGCATTTAGCTAAGATCCTGCCACTGCACTCCAGTCTGAGTGACAGAGCAAAGCAAGACCTTGTCTCAAAACAAAACAAAACAAAACAGAAACCACCTGTAATCCCAGCACTTTGGGAGGCTGAGGCTGGCAGATCATGAGGTCAGGAGATGGAGAACATCCTGGCCAACATGGTGAAACCCTGTCTCTACTAAAAATACAAAAATTGGCTGGTCGTGGTGGTGTGCACCTGTAATCCCAGCTACTTGGGAGGCTGAGGCAGGAGAATCCCTTTAACCTGGGAGGGGGAGGTTGCAGTCAGCCAAAATCGCGCCACTGCACTCCAGCCTGGTGACAGAGTGAGACGGTGGCTCACGCCTGTAATCCCAGCACTCTGGAAGGCCGAGGCAGGCGGATCATGAGGTCAGGAGATACCGACCATCTTGGCTAACACCGTGAAACCCTGTCTCTACTAAAAATACAAAAAATTAACCAGACGTGGTGGTCGGCGCCTGTAGTCCCAGCTACTCGGGAGGCTGAGGCAGGAGGATGCCGTGAACCCGGGAGGCAGAGGTTGCAGTGAGCTGAGATTGTGCCACTGCACTCCAGCCTGGGCAACAGAGCGAGACTCCGTCTCAAAAAAAAAAAAAAAAAAAGAAAAAGAAAAAGAAAAAGAAAAAGTAAAAAAACAACAAAAAACAAAACAGAGGCTCAAAGGGCTTAAGTGATTTGCTCAGGGTCAGGGTCACATGGGTAGAATGTGGCCAGGTTGGGGAGTGCTGATGCCAGCCAGTTTTGGGGGCCCCTTCCTGCTAGGACGCATCCTGAGTTGTGAAACCAATCTTGGCTTCCACCCATTCCTACCCTCTGAGCTGTGGGTCCCCGGCCCTCAGGCCCCGCCCACCTCTCCCGGAAGACAGGTACCTCGTCCAATGGGAAATATGGCACGGAGTCCTCATCGCCCTGCTCTATGGGCTTCCCGCCAAATGCAACGTTGACAGTGCTGGTATAGATGAGCCTCGGAACCCGCTGGCGAACACAGACTGCAGCAGCAGGTGCACATAGCAACAAATACACACACACACGTGCAAAGACACAGACACACACACGGGATACATGGGACACATGTGAGCATGGAGTCAGCTAAGGAAGTGCCATGCAGATCTCCACCAAGTTTTCAATGCACAACTTGGACCCCCGTGACCCTCCCAGAATCTACAGCTGTTCAGGAGGGAAGAGTCTTCTGCCCTTCACTTAGGGTGCGGTCAAGTTCCTGCTCTGTGGGCCTCTGGGAGCCAGGCCTGCTCCTTATTCTTTCTCACTGTGGCTTGGACCCCTGGGCTACCTTGCCAGAGACAAGTCAGAAGAAGGTCTCACTGGATGGAGACATAGAAAAAGGCACTCTAGAATCAGAGACATATGGGATAAGGCAGGACATGCCCAGGCAGCCCACACATGGGTCTTCGATTTGGGTGCTTCAGCAACTTTTTATTGATTGATTGATTGAGATGGTGTTTCACTCTTGTTGCCCAGGCTGGAGTGCAATGGCGCAATCTTGGCTCACCACAACCTCCGCCTCCCGTGTTCAAGTGATTCTCCTGCCTCAGCCTCCCCAGTAGCTGGGATTACAGGCATACGCCACCACGCCCTGCTAATTTTGTATTTTTAGTAGAAACAGGGTTTCTCCGTGTTGGTCAGGCTAGTCCCGAACTCCCGACCTCAGGTGATCCGCCTGCCTCGGCCTCCCAAAGTGCTGGGATTACAGGCATGAGCCACCACGCCCAGCCTTATTTATTTATTTTTAAATTTTATTTATTTATTTATTTTGAGACAGTTTTGCTCTTGTTACTCAGGCTGTAGAGCAGTGGTGTGATCTCGGCTCACTGCAACCTCTGCCTCTCAGATTCAAGCAATTCTCCTGCCTCAGCCTCCCAGGTAGCTGGGACTGCAGGCACCTGCCACCACGCCTGGCTATTTTTTTGTATTTTTAGTAGAGGTGGGGTTTCACCATTTTGGCTAGGCTGGTCTCGAACTCCTGACCTCAGGTGATCCACCCCTGTCGGCCTCACAAAGTGCTGGGATTACAGGCGTGAGCCACCGTGCCCAGCCAGCTTTGGCAACTTTTCTTTTCCATCCCCTAAGCCCTCAGAGGTAACTCTGGTCCCCACGTTCCCAGACATGCTAAGACCACACTGACACACTCATGCGGGGCCCTGGGCAGGTCTGCAGTGCACAAGGGATGTGCTGCCCCCAGGCCCTCCCATTGATGGCAGGAGGGCCCCACCTCTGTCTCCCAGCCCTACACCCTGGGAGCCGGGCCTGCAGCAGGAGAAGGGAGAGAGGGCGAGATGCACAGCAGGTCATACCTGGTTCTGAGCACCTACCATCAATCACTAGTTTGGTGCCTCCGACATTTATAGACTCAATCTGCTCTTTCTGCAGCTAAAAGACAAGACAGGTGAGAAAGTCATGGTGCTACCCATGCCTTCTTGCTGAGGCTGGAAGGCTGCGCTTGGGGTCAGGTGGGACGGGGCAGCAGGATGTTCACCTCAGAGACAGGGATCCCGAAGGCCCACCTGGAGTGTGGGTGCCTGGCTCTGCCACCATCTTCCTGGGTGGCCAGGGAAGGTTCTGCCCCCACATCTGGCCCTCAGCAACCTAATCTGTAAAGTGAGGGCCAACCTCCTCCCCTGGGTGGTGGGCAGGACTCAGTAAGACACTTGAGAGGACCTGGTACAATCCCTGGCACAGAAGACAGGCTCAGAACCTGCTCTCAAAGCCTCAGTTTCCCTATCTGTAAGGTGGACATGGTAATATGGGCTGGGCCCTCATGAGGGAGCTGGGGTGTGAAAAACAAAAAACTAGGCGGCTATGAGGGCTCCTATGGGCCAGGGACAGGGCGAGAGCTTCCCGATCCACGATCTCATTTAATTCTCATCACACCAGGAGATGAGCTCCATGCTTATTTTTAAGCTATATTTATTATTATTTTTTTTGAGATGGAGTTTAGCTCATGTTGTCCAGGGTGGAGTGCAGTGGTGCAGTCTTGGCTCACTGCAACCTCTGCCTCCTGGGTTCAAATGATTCTCCTGCCTCAGCCTCCCAAGTAGCTGGGATTACAGGCATGCACCACCATGTCCGGCTAATGTTTTTGTCTTTAGTAGAGATGGGGTTTCATCACGTGGGTCAGGATGGTCTCAAACTCCTGACCTCAGGTGATCCACCTGCCTTGGCCTCTCAAAGTGTTGGGATTACAGGCATGAGCCACTGCGTCCAGCCTATATTTATTCTCTTAAAAAATTTTGGCCAGGCGTGGTATCTCATGCCTGTAATCCCAGCACTTTGGGAGGTCAAGGCAGGTGGATCACTTGAGGTCAGGAGTTTGAGACCAGCCTGAGCAACATGGTAAAACCCCATCTCTACTAAAAATACAAAAATTAGCCAGGTGTGGTGGCGTGTGACTATAATCTCAGCTACTCAGGATAATTGATTGAATCTGGGAGGTGGAGGCTGCCGTGAACCGAGATCGCACCACTGCACTCCAGCCTTGGAGACAGAGTGAAACTCTGTCTCATAAATAAATAAATAAATAAAAATAATAAAATTTACTTTTATTATTTTTAAATAGAGATGGGGTCTCATTATGTTGCCCAGACTGGTCTCGAACTCCTGGGCTCAAGCAATCCTCCCACCTTGTCCTCCCAAAGTGCTGGGATTACAGGTGTGAGCCACCATGCCTGGCTCTATATTTATTCTTGTTGCGGCTGTTTTTGTTTCATAGGCAACACGATCAAGGTTAAAAAGAATTCAAATAGTAAAATGGGTGTATGGTGAAAAAGAAGTTTCCCTCCCACTCCTGATTCCAAATCTTCCTTTTCCCTCCCCAGAGGCAGCCACTGTTAAATTTCCAGTGTTTCTCGAGATAATCTGTTCTCGTTAATATCAGCATATAAGCATGTGTGAGTACAGAAATAAACAGTTTCTTTAGCTTTTTTTGGAAACAAACAGGAGAATGCCAAACACTGCTTTGCACCTTGGAAACTGTTTTTTTAATCTGCACACTTTGAGTTACCTCTTTCTTTTGAATGGCTGCATAGAATTTGACTGTAAAACACAATTTATTTAAATAGTCCTCAACTGATGGGTTATTTCTGGTGTTTTGTTATTAAAAACAATGCTGCAAATACACAAATGAGTGTAATTTCTGAGGCAACGGGTGTATGTATGTTTTGGTGGATACTATTACATCGCTCTCTGAAGAGGTTGTGTTATTACTAATAGCAATATCCTCACTTTCCAGATGATGAAAGAGGATCAGAGAGGTTAAGTAAACTTGCCCTAGATAACACAGTTATGAAATGGCAGAACTGGGGCCGGGTGCAGTGGCTCATGCCTGTAATCCCAGCACTTTGGGAGGCCAAGGCAGGTGGATCACCTTAGGTCAGGAGTTTGAGACCAGCCTGGCCAACATGGTGAAATCTCGTTTCTACTAAAAATACAAAAATTAGCTGGGCGTGTTGGTGGTACCTGTAATCCCAGTTACTCGGGAGGCTGAGGCAGGAGAAGCACTTGAACCTGGGAGATGGAAGTTGCAGTGAGCTGAGATTGTGCCACTGCACTCCAGCCTGGGTGACAGAGTGAGACTCGGTCTCAAAAAAACAAAAACAAAAAACAAACCCAAATGGCCGAACTGGTATTTGGTCTCATGGATGCAGGATGCAGGGTGGGAGTAGCCCAAGTCCTTCCTACAGCAGGTGAAGCATGATAGGGAATGCATGGGCCTGAGGGCAGAGCCAGGACTGGAACCCTACTCTGTCTAACTCTAGGTGTTACGTGTGAGAAGCCCACCTTCTCAGCCCCAGACATTCCATAGGAAGCCATGTGGAAGACACAGTCCACCCCTTTGAAGGCACGGTACAGGGCTTCTTCATCTCGGACGTCAGCCTGCACCAGAGGAAAGAGATGAGGGAAGGGGGTCCAAGTCCAAGGCAAGAGATAACACCTCTGCACCTTGCCTCCTCTCAGAGCTGGCCTCCTGACCCAGCCCAGGCTAAGCCTCTGTAGCATCAGGAAAGGCTGGTGGGGAAGGATTCACTAAATGATCCTACAGGGCACTGTGAGCATCATCCCCTGCTCATTCATCACACTCTCTAGGTCACAGGGGCTGTGCTAGGTTTATGTGTACTGTTTCATCAACTCCCAAAGAGACCCTGTGAAGTAGGTGTTAGTTACTATTGTCCCCTTTCTGTGACCACAGCTGCCCAGCTGGTAGCACTGGAGCCAGAGCTATAGCTCAAACAGTCTGGCTTCAGGGTCTGTGCCCCTAAACCCCACACCACAGGTTTCACATCAAACACTGGTTCCTGAGCATCACCACCACCCCAGTCTATTAAGACCCTTGTCCCTTGTACCTGGATGAACTCGGTTTCCGGGGACAGTTCCCACTGGGGTCTGCGGCGATCAAGCAGAATGACAGGAGTGCCACTCTTGGCCAGGTGGGATCCCAGGCTAAAGCCCAGGTAGCCTCCTCCTCCAGTCACCAGAACCTTCTGCCTGGCAACCTTTGTGGGTTTGGCTTGAGTCTTCTGCTGCGGCGCTGGTGTTGGGGTTGTTGTTGACTCTTTGGGTTTGGGCCCAGTCCCAGACCCCTGTCTGGGCCCAGGTCCTAGCTCTGGCTCAGGTGTAGACCCAGCTCCTGGCCCAGGTACCGATCCAGCTCCTGGCCCAGGTACTGACCCAGCTTCTGGCCCAGCTCCTAGACCGTGTCCCAACCCAGCTCCTAGACCAGGTACAGACCCAGATCCTGGCCCAGGTACAGACCCAGCTCCTAGACCAGGTCCAGAACCAGCTCCTGGCCCAAGTACAGACCCAGCTCCTGGCCCAGGTATAGACCCCACTCCTAGACCAGGTATAGACCCAGTTCCTGGCCCAGGTACAGACCCAGCTCCTAGACCAGGTATAGACTCAGCTCCTGGTCCAGGTACTGACCTAGCTCCTGGCCCAGGTCCTAGACCTGGTCCAGTCCCTGAAATAGCACCAGGCCTCGGAGCAACACCAGAACCCGCCTGAGGTCCTGGAATAGCTTTGGGCCCCAGTCCAGGCCCTGGAATGGCACCAGGCTTTGGTGCAGGCCCTGACTCAGACCCTAAACCAGATCTTGGACCTGAAACCTCTCCACAGGCCTGGCAGACGGGGCAGCTTTTCTCACCCTGGCCTGCAGCTTTGCAGGCCTCTGGGGAGGAGCCTGGGGGGTTGGACTTCATCCTCTACTGAGCCATGCAGACCCAGAAACCGACCACCTGTGGGAAAAAAGTAGAAGAAAGAATGCTCTAGAATCGTTTCACGTCACATAGATTATTAGACCTCTAGGACTGAGGGGAGCTCCAGGTGGAAATTAGAGACTTTCTGAGTTCCCCCCTTTCAGAATCTCAAGAATCTCCAGTGGGGGCCTGGCGCGGTGGCTCACATCTGTAATTCCAGCACTTTGGGAGGCCGAGGCGGGTGAATCACTTGAGGCCAGGAGTTGGAGACCAGCATGGCCAACATGGTGAAACCCTGTCTCTACTGAAAATGCAAAAATTAGCTGGGTGTGGTGGGGCACACCTGTAATCCCAGCTAGGAGACTGAAGCACAAGAATTGCTTGAACCCAGAAGGCAGAGGTTGCAGTGAGTTGAGATGGTGCCACTGCACCCCAGCCTGCGCAATAGAGTGAGACTCAATCTCAAAAAATAAAAAAATAAAAAATAAAAAATCTCCAGTGTGGCTGCTGTCCTCTGCACAGAGTCAGAGACAAGGCAGCCAAGACTTGAGTTTTAGAGCTAGGGAAATTGAGGCCCAAAGTCACACTGTGTGACTGAGGTTGACATTAAGCATTCCTGACTTCTCTACCAGTTTCTTAAAATTCCAGTTTCCATGGAGCACCGAAGGAAGACAGGGCAAATCATCCAGCGGGAACCTCACCAGAATGGGAGGTGGCTGCTTTCTGACTGGGGAGATGGGGAGGGCCTTCTGGAAGAGGAGGAAGAGAAAGAGGAGGAGGAGGAGAATCCACATGGATCCAAAAGGACTCTGCACCCTGGAAACTTGTACATGACTCCAAGTGCTGTGCCTGTCCCCACCCTGACACCTGCCGCCTCTGGTCCTCCCAGGTCCAATAGTAGTGTGGGTGGCTGGTACCACAGGGTCTGCCCAATCCCTCTGCAGGCTTTAGGTTCTGGTCTATGGGTCTAGGGGGACAGCACTGAGGATCCTGTTCTTTGCAGCCTCAGACTACTTATTTTCTCTGTCGCCTAGGCTGGAGTGCAGTGGCGCAATCATAGCTCACTGCAGCCTCAACCTTCCCTGCTCAAGTGATCCTCCCATCTTAGCCCCCGAAGCAGCTGGGAATACAGGTGCATGCTACCATGCCTGGTAAGTTTTTGCATTTTCAGTAGAGATGGAGTTGTTCACCATGTTGGCCAGGCTGGTCTTGAACTCCTGACCTCAAGTGATCCTCCCACCTCAGCCTCCCAAAGCTCTGGAATTACAGGTGTGAGCCACCGTACCCGGCTCCCTAGATCTTTTTTAGATTTTTGAGACAGTCTCACTCTGTTGCCCAGGCTGGAGTGCAGTGGTGTGATCTTGGCTCACTGCAACCTCCATCTCCTTGGCTCAAGTAATTCTCCTCCCTCAGCCTCCCCAGTAGCTGGGACTACAGGCACGCACCACTACACCTGACTAATTTTTGTATTTTTAGTAGAGATGGGGGTTCCACCATGTTGGCCAGGCTGGTCTTGAACTCCTGGCCTCAAGTGATCCGCCTGCCTCGGCCTCCTAAAGTGCTGGGATTACAGGCGTGAGCCACCGCGCCCAGTCCATTCATGGGTTTAATGAGAGAGAATGCAAATCATCATGGAGGAGGGGCCTAAATCCCCCAGAGGGAGAGGAGAGGATGCAGCCAGTAGCAAGCCCTCCTCTTATACTCAGGCCCAGAGGACTCTGTTCTGGGGAAGGGTCTATGCGATCAGAGTTGACTTTCTACCCTAAGGGGATGCCTTTTGTGGCAAAAGCTGGACTCAGCCTTGGGTACTCACTTGTTGGGGTGTGCCCTTGGGTAACAGCCTTAAAACCTCACTGTACCTCAGTAGGCACAACTGCGAATGGACCCAAATATTTCTGGCTGCTCTGGCTCCTCACAGGGTGGTCATGAGAAAACAGACGCCAGAATGCCTTGCAAGGCTAGATTGCAAAGCTCCAGGAGGATTTCATTCCCTGGAGTGTCCCAGCACCTAGAACAGTGCCTGGCACAAAGCAGGCGGCCAGCGAATGCTGCTGGGTGAACAAAATCTCTGGGGCATATTCGCGATCTGGCCGTGCTATGGTCGCGCGCCAGACCCACCCCGGACATGGCTGCACTCATTCTTTTGGAAGTTCAGTGAAGTACAGGCTATGGTTCCCATTACCCAGAGGTGGAAACTGAGGCCCAGAGAACATGAGGAAACTGTGATGGAGTCACAGACAATGTCTCCGCCGGAATCCAGGTCGATGGGGACCCCAAAAGCGGGTTTGGTGGAAGGAACTGGCAAAAGGGTGGGGATCATCAGGGACTGACCCTGGGCGCTCTGGGCTCGCGGGCAGCTCGAGGGTGGGGATCCCTCCCCTCTTGTCCCCCTCACCCTCTCTGTCCTGCCCGCACCTGCGTCCTTCCCTGGCCCGCGTCCGGGCTTCGCTCACCTGGCCCGGGCTCCCGCGGCGCTGCGCTGCGTGCTCCCCGCGCTGCGCCAGACTCCGCGCCGCCAGGGCCACCGGGCCACCTCCTCCTCCAGAGGGGGCAGAACGGGGCGGAGCGTGGCATCCGGACCGCCCCCCGCCTGCTCCTCTGCACCCGGCGGGGAGCACCTGCATTCTCTCAGGTAGAGACCCGCAGGCTCTCATAGAGGGGAAACTGAAGCCAGTAGGGCCGGGATGGGCAAAATGGTCCACGGTTCTGGTGGGAAAACACACAAAGGCCCTGCGTGCCGGGCTCTGTCCTGCCGGCCAAGTCGTCCTAGAACCCCAAGAAAAAGGGTTTTATCTATATCTAGGAGCAGAATTGCTGGGTCATACGATTACTCTGTGTTTAGAGAAGAACGGCCAAACTGTTCTCTAAAGTAGCTGCACCATTTTACAACCCTACCAGCAGTGTATAGGGTTCCAAGATTTCCACATCCTTACCAACACTTATAATCTATGTTTAAAATTTTAACTATTCTGTTGGGTGTGAAGTGGGGTCTCATTGTGGTTTCATTTATATTTCCTGATAGCTAATGCTGCTGAACATGTTTTCATGTGCTCATTGGCACATTGATGTGTTTTCTTTGGAGAAGTGTCTGTTCAAATCCTTTGCTCATTTTCAGCTGAGTTATTTGTTGATTTTTAAGAGTTATTTGTATATTCTGGATATAAATCCCTCATCAGATGAATGATTTGCAAATATTTAAACAAAAAGAAAAAAAACCAAAAAAGTTCTTCTATCATCCATCCTTCCACCTATCCATCAAATCTTCCATCCATCCATCCTTCCACCTATCCATCCATCCTTCCACCTATCCAACCATCCTTCCACTTATCCATCCAACCTTCCATCCATCCATTCTTCCACCTATCCATCCATCCTTCCACCTATCCATCCAACCTTCCATCCATCCATCCTTCCACCTATCCATCCAACCTTCCATCATCCATCCTTCCACTTATCCATCCAACCTTCCATCATCCATCCTTCCACTTATCCATCCAATCTTCCATCTGTCTGTACTTCTACCTGTCCGTCCAGCTTTCCGTCTATCTGTATTTCCACCTGTCCATACGACCTTTCATCCATCCATTCTTCCACCTGTCCATCCAACCTCCTGTCATCTATCCTTCCACCTATCCATCCAAACTTCCATCCATCCAACCTTCCACCCATCTAATTCATCCCATATATCTTTCTTTCCTTCCTTCTACCCATCTATCTACTCTTCCTGTCTTGCAATCTTTCACTCATCTCTGTTGATTTATGCATCAATCACATCATTCTACTTTTGATGGATGCTTCTTCAGTGCTGGATAATATCACCCTTTGAAAACTCATGTTCAGCTGGGTGTGGCTCATGCCTGTAATCCCAGCACTTTGGGAGGCTGGGGTGGGCAGATCACTTGAGCCTAGGAGTTTGAGACCAGCCTGGGCAACATGGTGAGAGCCCATCTCTATGAAAAAATACAAAAAAATTAGCCAGGCATAGTGGTATGTGCCTGTAGTGCCAGCTACTTGGGAGGCTGAGGCAGGAGGATCACCTGAGCCCGGGAGGTAGAGGCTATGGTGGGCTGTGATTGCACCACTGCAATCTTACTGCTGGAAAGCTCAGGCAATGGAGTGAGATCCTGTCTCAGTAAAAGAAAACTCATGTTCAAGTGGTGGTATTGGAGGGTCAGGCTTGTGCCCAAGAGCTCACAACTGCTGTAATGGAGCCACAGGGGCCGAGAGCAGCAAGGGCTGGTCACTTTGCTCTGAAAAGGGCAACTGAAAAAGCCTCCACCCATACAACACCCTTTGTGGGCACAGGTGTGGGGAAGAGAAAAACAAAATCTTAGTCTGCATGTTGTATGAGCCAGATAGTAAGAGATCTTGCTTAATGCTCACAACTCTGTTTTAGCTCAATTTTAGAGACAGGGAAACAGGTTCAGAAAAGGGGCTCCAAATGTGGTGGGGAAAGCCATGGGGTCTGTCCTGGATTTAAATCTTAGCTTTGCCACTTCCTTGCTGTGTGTCTTTGAGCACCTACGAGGCTCAGTTTCCTCATCTGTAAACTGCAAATGATGTGCACTTAATAGTTGCGATGCTGTGAGGTTTATGACTAACATGCTTTATGCAAAATGTTGAGCATGGTGCTGGCTCAATCAGTGCACAAACAATGGTAGCTGTTCTTCTCATTACATGGGAAGTTGGGATTTGAACCTAGGTCCTGTCCTTCCCCACTTCATAAGCCATGTGTCTGGTCCAGCATTCCATTCATAAAGGCCAGCCTCTTCTCCCACCAACAGGGTCAGAGAACTCACATTCCCCGGTACCAGCTCCTGATATTGTCTTGCAAAGAGAAGCATAATTTATATTTGTGACGGGTTGAATTGTGTTCTTCACAAAATTCATATGTGGAAGTCCCAATCCCATGTGCTTAACTCTAACTCTGCAAATAGAGTCATTGCAGATGTAATGAGTTAAGGTCATAGTGGAGTAACGTGGGCCCCTACTCAGTATGACTGGTGCTCTTATAAAGAGGGGAAATTTGGACAGAGACATGCACATAGGGAGAATTTCATGTGAGGACTGGAGTTATGCTGCCCAAAGCCAAGGAACTACCAGAATGGAGAAGTCTGGAATGGATCCTTCCCAGTGTCTTCAGAGGGAGCATGGCCCTGAGGGCACCTTAATCTTGAACTTCCAGCTTCCAGAACAATAAGACAATAAATTTCCATTGTTTCATCCACACAATTTGTGGTACTTTGTTATGACAGCTCTAGCAAATGAATACAACCACCACAGGCCCTTTTCTTTTTTTTTTTTTTTTTTTTTTTTTTTTTTTGAGACGGAGTCTCGCTCTGTCACCCGGGCTGGAGTGCAGTGGCCAGATCTCAGCTCACTGCAAGCTCCGCCTCCCGGGTTTACGCCATTCTCCTGCCTCAGCCTCCCGAGTAGCTGGGACTACAGGCGCCCGCCAACTCACCCGGCTAGTTTTTTTGTATTTTTTAGTAGAGACGGGGTTTCACCGTGTTACCAGGATGGTATCGATCTCCTGACCTCATGATCCACCCGTCTCGGCCTCCCAAAGTGCTGGGATTACAGGCTTGAGCCACCGCGCCCGGCCTGGCCCTTTTTTCTGTATTTACAGGGGTGACCCAAAATGGCAGCTGTGCAAGATGGACCAGACTGAGAATAACCATGGCAGGGGCTGTGGTCACCACTGCCTTCCTGGACCCAGCACAGAATCTGGCCAAAGGAGGGTCTCATCAAGCCTTAGCAAGTGAGTTTCGTTTGTTTTTTTTTTTTTTTTTTTTTTTTTTGAGACAGAGTCTCTGTTACCAGGCTGGAGTGTAGTGGCACGATCTCAGCTCACTGCAACCTCCACCTCCCGGGTTCAAGCGATTCTCCTGACTCAGCCTCCGAGTAGCTGGGATTACAGGTGTCCACTACCACGCCTGGCTAATTTTTGTATTTTTGGTAGAGACAGGGTTTCTCCATGTTGGCCAGGCTGGTCTCGAACTCCTGGCCTTGAGCCATCTGCCTGCCTTGGTCTCCCTAAGTGCTGGGATTACAGGCATGAACCACCACACCTGGCCACAACTGAGTGTTTTTAAACAACTTGATGAATTTTTACTTATGTATACTTCAATGTAACTCCTACCTTGATCAAGATATATAATATTTTCAACATGCCAGATGTCCCCTTTGTGTTCCCCATCCCACAGGGTAACTACTATTTTGACTTCAGTCACCAATAAGGAATTTGGCTGGTTCTTGAACTTCATATAAATGACATTATACAGTATGTACTCTTTTGTGTCTGGTTTCTTTTGCCCAATATTATGAGACTGATCCATCTTGTTGAATATAGCTGTATAGATCATTCTTTTTTGGGGGCGGGCAGGGTTTCACTCTATTGCCCAGGCCGGAGTGTAGTGGCATGATCAAGGCTCACTGCAGCCTCAACCTCTCCTGGGCTCAGGTGATCCTTGCACCTCAGCCTCCTGAGTAGCTGGCACTACAGGCATGTGCTTCCAAGCCTGGCTAATTTTTGTATTTTTTGTAGGATGGGTTCTCACCATGTTACCTAGGCTACTCTCAAACTCCTGGGCTCAAGTCATCTACCTGCCTTGGTCTCCCAAAGTGCTGGGATTTCAGGTGTGAGCCACCATGTCAACTGTTCATTCTTTTTAAATCGATGCATAGTATTTCACTGTAAAATGTATCAGATTTTATTTGCACATTCTGCCACTGATGGACATTGGGTAGTTTCCAGTTTTGAGCTCTAATGAATAAGGCTGCTGGGAAAATCCTTATATGTCTTTTGTCTAACATATGCACTCATTACCCTTGGAGTGGAATTACTAGATCATAGAGTAGGCACATGTTTTACTTTAGTAGAAATTGCCAAATAGTCTTCCAAAGTTATTGAGTCAAATTACACGTCCCTACCCCAACCCCTACCCTAACTGGAATATGAGCGTTCCAACTGTTCCACATCTTGATATTGTAGTTCTTTGTTTTGTTTTGTTTTTAGAGACAGGGTCTCATTCTGTTGTCCAGGCTGGAGTGCAATGGCCCAGTCTCAGCTCATTGCAACCTCTACTTCCCAGATTCAAGTGATTCTCATGTCTCAGCCTCCTGAGTAGCTGGAATTACAGGTGTGCAACACCATGCCCAGCTAATTTTTGTGTTTTTAGTAGAGATGGGGTTTCTCTACGTTGGCCATGCTGGTCTCAAACTCCTGACTTCATGTGATCCGCCCACCTTGGCCTCCCAAAGTGCTGGGATTACAGATGTGAGCCATCACGCCTGACCATCTTGTTTTTTGTTTGTTTTTGTTTTTAAGAGACAGGGTCTTACTCTGTTGCCCAGGCTGGAGTGCAATGGCACAATCACAGCTCACTACAGTCTCAAACTCCTGGGCTTAACTGATCCTCATGCCTCAGCCTCCTGAGTAGCTAAAACTGCATGCATTGGGCCACCATGCCTGGCTAATTTGTTTTAAATTTTTGGAGACATGGGGTCTTGCTATGTTGCCCAGGCTGGTGTTGAACCCTTGGCATCAAGCAATTCTCCCATCTCAGCCTCGCAAAGTGTTGAGATTAGAGGCATGAGCCGCTGTGCCCAGCCCCAGTCTTTTTGATTTTAGTCATTCTAGTGGGATGTAGTGGCATCTCACTGTGGTTTTAATTTACATTTCCCTGGCAGGTAAGGCTGTTGAGCACCTTTTCATGTACCTATTGTCCATTTTAAAAATTGGATGGGCCGGGCGTGGTGACTCACGCCTGTAATCCCAGCACTTTGGGAGGCCAAGGTGGGTGGATCACCTGAGGTCAGGAATTTGAGACCAGCCTGGCCAACATGGTGAAACTCCGTCTCCACTAAAAATAAAAAGAAAAATAGCTGGGCGTGGTGGCAGGCGCTTGTAATTCCAGCTACGCTACTCGGGAGGCTGAGGCAGGAGAATCGCTTGAACCCGGGAGGTGGAGGTTGCAGTGAGCCAAGATTGTGCCACTGCACTCCAGCCTGGGCAAAGAGAGTGAGACTCTATAAAAAAAAAAAAAAAAAAAAAAAAATTGGGATGGGCTAGGCATGGTGACTCATGCCTGTAATCCCAGCACTTTGGGAGGCCAAGGCAGGCAGATCCCCTGAGATCAGGAGTTCAAGACCAGCCTGGCCAACATAGTGAAACCCTGTCTCTACTAAAAATACAAAAATTAGCCAGGCATGGTGGCAGGCCCCTGTAGTTCCAGCTGCTCAGGAGGCTGAGGCAGGAGAATCGCTTGAACCTGGGAGGTGGAGGTTGCAGTGAGCCGAGATTGTGCCACTACACTCCAGCCTGGGCAACAGAGCAAGACTCCATTTCAAAAAAAAAAAAAAATTGGAATTTTATCTTTTTCTTATTGAAATCCTTTATATAGTATGGTATGAGTCTTTTAATAAAGTTCTATGTCACTAAAAACTTACAAACACACACATACGCCAATGATCATTTCAAACAGTTAAAGTCATGTTGATCCTATTAGTGGAATAAAAGTAATTGTTTTTAATTTTGGAAAATGACCCCGGATGAGCAGCCTTCACTTCAGTTTGGTTGGGCAGGGATGGAGAGTGGTGGTGAGGCTCACTTGTTTCTTCTTCCTCCAGGATGGGCTGACTGTGACTCTGCATTAGCCTGTGATGGACTAGGGTGGAGACCACCCCATCAGCTGCTTTCCAGAGCTGGACTCCCACAGCTCAGCCGCCTGCTCACTGTTCACCATGTGTCTCCCATGTGGCAGCTTCTGGGGACCTGCAGATCCTGGGACAGCAGTCTCATCCCAAGGGAGCTCACGGTCAAGGAGAAGAGCTAGATCAGCGAGGAAGGTGGCATGACATGGAGTGCTGAGTGCGAGAGTTCTGCGTGGTCAGGATGCTGCCAGAGAAAGACTGGAGGCCCCTGGCTCTAGATGGGTCCCAGGTAGCTAATGTCATTTGAGCTGTGCCTTGATGGGTGAGCAGGAGTCTCCGGGCAGAGGAGGCAAGAAGCACCGTTCAGGCAGGGGGTTGGTTTAGGGCTTCCCAGAGAGGGACAGTCTAGTGGCTGGAGAGTAGGGTGTGTTGCGGGACAGGGCTTGAGAGTTAGATTAGACCCAGGAATGGCCTCTCACACAAAAGACAGAGACTTTCCTTCCTCAGCTTCCAGGGAGTCCTGGTACCAGGAATCGTGTTCCCTGCGGGTCACAGCATTCCACCCCATCCTGCCCTCTGGGCCGGGATTTGCTCAGTAAGTGGTCCTTTGTAGGATGACATTTCTGTTTAGAGGAATCATTATTTTTTAACCAAAGTTATTATTGACCACAAAACAGAGCATGCCACTTGGTGCTTAGTGCACACTCAGGCAGTGTGGGGTCTAGCCCCTCCCCTTACCTGAGAACACTTCTCTAGGAAAGAGTGACCTTTGGTTCTGCATCATTTTTCTTCTGGAGTTGGGATCTGGTGGGCACGAGATGAAGAAAGATGGTCTCCCTGGTGCCCAGATTTCTGGGCTGGCTGGGAGAAGAAGAGGAACCCTTGGAGCAAGGGTACCATGATGGGTGCGGCCCTTCTAGATGGGGTCCGGGGTCTCCACGGGCTGTAGCCAAATGGCAGGCGGGAAAGGCTGCGTGAAGGGCATACCTGAAGGACTGGGCCTGCCAGAGGAAGCTTCTGGCCTTGGTGATCTCCTGGGCCAGCCTCCTTAAATCATCTCCTTCAAATGGTGGCAGCGTGGGATCCTTAAAAAGGGGAAGTGAGTGTGAAGTTTGATCCATTAAATAGATGCGAGCTGAAAATCCAAAATCTCAGAAAAAGCATTTTAGAGCTAATCACGTTCTGGCTTCCATCCAGTGCAGGAAATCTTGTGAGCCTCCGCTTGTATATCTCCAGGGACAGGAAGCTCACTACCTATCAAGACAGTCATTCTGCAAAGGGGACACTTTGAAATACGGTGTGTGAGAGTCAGTGTAGGGAGGGGACGGTGGCAAAGCAAGATAGTGTCAGAAATTGAGTGAAGGTGGCCCCACTCTGGGCCAGTGGAACAGAAGTGGCACAGGTTCCTTATCTCACCGCTATTCAGTAAAATCTCTTCAATCATTTTTTGTACTTCTTCTAGTAAAATAGATTCACGGGTATGCTTTTTATTTGGTTGATTTTAGACAGAGCCTTGCTCTGCTGTCCTGGCTGGAGGGCAGTGGCGTGATCATGGTTCACTGTAGCCTCAAACTCCTGGGCTCAAGCTATCCTCCAACTTCAGTCTCCCAAGTAGCTAGGACCACAGCCATCTGCTACCACACCTGGCTGAGACATGCTTTTTAAAAAATGTTAACGAATAAAATTTCACCACCTAGCCTTAAAAATACATCTTACCAATCCTAGCACTTTGGGTGGCTGAGGTGGGTGGATCACTTGAGGTCAGGAGTTTGAGACCAGCCTGGCCAATATGATGAAACCTCATCTCCAGTAGAAATATAAAAATTAGCTGGGTGTGGTGGCAGGCACCTGCAATCCCAGCTACTCAGGAGGATGAGACACGAGAATCACTTGAACCCAGGAGGCAGAGGCTGAAGTGAGCTGAGATTGCGCCACTGCACTCCAGCCTGGTGACACAGTGAGACTTCGTCTCCAAAAAAAAAAAAAAAAAAAAAGAAAAAGAAAAAAACTACATGTCTCACAGTTCATAATCCCTAAGAAAGAGAGGAAACCGTCCCTTCTGCCTGGCAGTAGTAGCACAGCAATCCCAGTCTGCATGCAAAAACAATTCAGAGAATCTGATTTGATAAGGTACTAAGCTGAGAGCCTTAAACATATCATCACTTGTTTTCCTGTATAATAAGGACACTTGGGTGAATATTCATTACTTTTACCAATTTGTTCTGTTCTCTGTATTATTTATGATACTTGTCCCTAGAAGAGCTAGTTGAACGAAGGAGTCATGTAAGGCTACCCAGACTTCAAAGATTATGCCAGCCGAGCCTGATGGTTCAGGCCTGTAATCCCAACACTTTGGGAAGCTTAGGCAGGAAGATTACTTAATCCCAGGAGTTTGAGATCAGCCTGGGCAACATGGTGAGATCCTGTTTCTACAAAAAATTAAAGAAATTATCTGGGCGTGGTGGCGCACCTGTGATCCCAGCTACTCCGGAGGCTGAGGTGGAAAGATTGCCAGAGTTCAGGAGGTAGAGGCTGTACTGAGCTGTGATTGCGCCACTACACTTTAGCCTGGGCAACGGAATGAGACCCTGTCTCAAAAAAAAAAAAAAAAAAAAAAAAAAAAAAATTTATGCCATGTCCTGTGAAAGTAACCTTTAACCTCTGAAAAGAAATCTGGAATTCTGAATGGTTATAATATTAAAAGAGGTAATCTACATAAAGCCACATAAATTTCCAACACAGGCAAACTGGTCTGATCATCAGGAAATATAACAACACCCTCAAATCCTGCTTCTTTCCCAGTCTTGAGGAGAGTCAGCCTAAAAGGACAGTGGCAGGGAAACCCAATCCTTTTTAGTTAATATTTTGTCTCAACGAAAAGCAGAGATCTTTTTAGTCAGAAGGAAAACCCAGGACGGGCGTGGTGGCTCATGCCTGTAATCCTAACACTTTGGGAGGCCAAGGTGGGAGGTTCACTTGAGCCCAGGAGTTCAAGAAGGAAAACCCCATGCCTGTTGATATTTTATTGAGTTGTTTCAACAGAACTCATGTTCAGTGGCTCTGCAACTTACGTTTTCATTGATGAAGCCTTTGGTCAGCAGGCCGCACATTCTGGAGAGTGTGTCCTCACCCACAGGGCAGTGATAGCGTCCGCCGGTGAAGGAAGCCAGCTTTCTCAGGAACTCAACCGCCGCTCTGGAAGGAAGGGACAGAGGGCAGGTGGGGAGGCTGACTGACCAGCCTAGTTGGTGTGACTCCCCAGGTCCATGGGGAACTTAAGTCTGTGGGGCTTAGGAGAAATCAGCCTGGCAATGGGCGGTGGCTTGTGCCATGGAGACCACCATGAGAACACCAAAGGACACTTTCCCCACCAGTTTATGGATGGCTATAGCAACTGCTGCTGCTTGAGGGAAGAGGAGTCCCCGTGTTCCCCGTGTGAGTGTCGCCATCTAGCCTGGACCCCCTCAAACCACACAGCCCACACACTCCAGCCCCCATTTCTTCTTTTCTTTTTTGAGACAGAGTCTTAGTCTGTTACCTAGGCTGGAGTGATCTTGCATGATCTTGGCTCACTGCAACCTCCACCTCCCAGGTTCAAGCAATTCCCCTGCCTCAGCCTCCTGAGTAGCTGGGACTACAGGCGCTGGCCACCACGCCAGGCTAATTTTTGTATTTTTTTAGTAGAGACGGGGTTTCGCCATGTTGGCCAGGCTGGTTTCGAACTCCTGACCTCAGGTGATCTGCCTGCCTTGGCCTCCCAAAGTGCTGGGATTACAGGTGTAAGCCATCGTGCCCAGCCTAGCCCCCATTTCTTTATGGGACACTTATCCAGTGCCTACTATGTGTTAGGCCTGTAAAGGACACATATTACACTTATGGGGCTTATGGTTTAGACCAAGAGATAAAATATGTCCCTATGTAGTCTGTTTTGCTAATAGTAAAGTTTTGATTTTTGAAGGTGCTGAGTCTTATCTGACATGTGTTCTTTTTCACATTTTTGTTTTGTTTTGTAGAGACAGAATCTTGCTATGATATCCAGGCTGGTCTCGAACTCCTGGCCTCAACTGATCCTCCCACCTCAGTCTCCCAAAGCACAGAGATTATAGGCATGAGCCATGGTGCCCAGTCATAACACATGTTCTATAGTGATCGTTTATAAAAATAACCATGATGAGGCTACATTAATATTTTTCTTTCTAGCTTTTCCCCTAAATGTCCCCTAAATACTCACAAATGTGATCCCAGGGAAGAGTAGGAGGGAGACTGTGACATGACTGTGTGAATCTCGTGCAAATGTGTTTCCAGGCTGGAGGAAGTCAGAGGGAAATGTCTGAATAAAGAGAGGGGTTTTCACCTGTGGTGTGACACCTGCTTGGGCCCTCTAGAAAAACAATGCTTCTCCTAATTTCTTTCTTTCTTTTTTTTTTTTTTTTTTGACAGTCTCACTGTTGCCCAGGCTAGAATGCCATGGAGCAACCTCGGCTGGCTGCAACCTCTGCCTCCCTGGATCAAGCGATTCTCACGTCTCAGTCTCCTGAATAGCTGGGATTACAGGCGCATGCCACCACGCCTGTCTAATTTTTGTATTTTTAGTAGAGACAGGGTTTCACCATGTTGGCCAGGTTGGTCTTGAACTCCTGATCTCAAGTGATCCACCTGCCTCAACCTCCCAAAGTGCTGGGATTACAGGCGTGAGCCAGCATGCCCGGCCACTTCTCCTAATTTCTGATTTACAGGATTAGGGCCCAGGAGAGACCGGCGTCTAAGTGAGCAGGTAGATTAGGTGGGGAGCTTGGATCTCCCTGCTGAGATGTGTGGCTCCATATCACGCACCTGTCTGAGCAGTTCAAGGAAATGGTGTGCACTTTCACATCTCTTTTCTCCCTGAGTCTTTGGACTTCATTTAGGACAAGGCTGCAGCTTGTGTCTGGCTTTCCGTCGGTCAGGAGGTACAGTCCTTCCAGATCATGGAAACTGAAAGCTTTCTGAAAGAACACAGGACGGCTGTCAGGCTCAGGAGAGAGGCTCACCCGGAAGACAAGAACCAAATGCCTAAAGGTGGTGCCTGCTGCCGCCTCTGCCAAAATGCATCTGATTGGATGCCTCTGACCTGTTCAAAAAGACTGAGAGATTCTCTTTCAGCCTCAGACAGACCAAGGAAGCTGCTGAGGTTTAGGAGGAAGAGCATGGCTCGCTGCCTAGCTGGTTAATCCCAAGCAAGTCACTTAACCTCTCTGAGCCTCTGTGTCTTCATCTATTTTTCTTTAATTTTTATTTTTTTGAGATGGAGTTTCATTCTTGTTACCCAGGCTTGAGTGCAATGGTGCAATCTCGGCTCACTGCAACCTCTGCCTCCTGGGTTCAAGCAATTCTCCTGCTTCAGTCTCCCAAGTAGTTGGGATTACAGGCATGTGCCACCACGCCCAGCTAATCTTTTGTATTTAGTAGAGATGGGGTTTCACCATGTTGGTCAGGATGGTCTCGAACTCCTGACCTCAGGTGATCCACCTGCCTTGCCCTCCCAAAGTGCTGGGATTACAGGTGTGAGCCCCCACACCTAGCCTGTGTCTTCGTCTATAACGTGAGAACATCGAGAATCCTTTTCTCACTGGGGTGTTGGGAAGATGAAATGTGCTTTGTCAATTCTAAAGTGCCCTTTGTAAATCCTAAAGCATCGTGCAGTGTCAGCACAGGGGATGATGGTATTTGTTTTGCATCAAGGTCGGGCTCCATGGTGGGACTTGCCAGCAATGCTTGCAAGATGGAGGTGCTGCCCTCAGCTTGCAGGTGGGTCACCCATTGCATAGCCTCATGGCACGCTGCATCTGTGGTCTCCACCAGCGTGTCCTGCCACGACTGAAGGCTCTCTGCAAAGCTGAGCAGGTTAAAACTGGGGAGGAGGAAAAGAGGAGGTGAGGGGCAGAGAAGGGGAGAAAGAGATTGGTTAGAATAGGCCCGTCCAGACTGAAGACTCCTACAATGAGCCCCGTGGCCTCTCAGGGAGAGGGCTGTGGGGCCTCTTGAGAATGAGAGGGTACATACTGACGATTTGGATGCAGACAGAGATAGATTTAAATCCCAGCTCAAGCCAGACACAGTGACTTGTGCCTGTAATCCCAGTACTTTGGAAGGCCAAGCTGGGAGGATTGCTTGAGGCCAGGAGTTCAAGACCAGCCTGGGCAACATAGTGAGACCCCCATCTCTGCAAAAAAAATTAAAAAAAAAATTAGCCAGGCATGGTGGTGTGTGCCTATAGTCCAAGCTACTTGGGAGGCTGAGGTGTGAGATCACTTGAGCCCAGGACGCTGAGGCTGCAGTGAGCTATGATCACACCACTGCACTCCAGCCTAGGCAACAGAGTGAGACCCTGTGTCAAAACAAACAAACAAACAAAAATCCCAAACAATCCTAGCTCACCCAGTGACTGGTTACCCAATCTTCAGCAAGTGTCTTAACCTCTTGAAGTCCTGGCTTCTTTTTCTGAAAAATGGGGGCTGATAACAGCAACGCCTCACAGGCTCATTGTGAGAGTTGATGCAATGATGCATGTAAAGCATCTGGTGCACAGAAAGTGCTCAAGAAATGTGTACTCTGATTAAGGCAAGAACGAGTCTAGTCTAAGATGAGAGTCCCCTGGGGTCCCCTTAGGGTCAACCCTTCCGGATAGGGAAAATAAACAACTTCCTCCACTCAAAAATCAAGTTCACAAAAATTTAAAAAATTAAATAATTAAATAATTTGAAAAATTGAGTTCAGCTGAAAGCCCTACGTCAAGGCCACATGGTAGTTCCTTCGCTGTGCCTGCAATTGTCCCTAGGCCTGAAATTGCGTTCCTTTTTTTTTTTTTTGAGACAGCATCTTACTCTGTTGCCCACGCAGGAGTACACTGGTGCAATCATAGCTCACTGCGGCCTCAACCTCCTGGGCTCAAGTGATCCTCCTTCCTCAGCCTCCCAAGTAGTTGGGGCTACAGGTGCACACCACCATACCCAGCTAATTTTTAAATGTTTTGTAGAGATGGGGTGTCACTTTGTTGCTGAGGCTGGTCTTGAACTCCTGAGCTCAAGTGATCCTCCTGCCTTGGCCCCCAAAATTGCTGGGATTACAGGTATGAGCCACCATACCCAGCCTCTAAAAACTGCTTTCCTTCACAGCAGAGTGGAATACAGTGCTCTTTCCTACTCAAATGTGTTACTCAGAAGAGCATCTCAGAAACTCCAGGCCTGCTGGCACCGAGAGGAGACGGTGTGCTTGACCAGGGAAGCCCCGGGAACTGCCCCTTTGATCTTCCTGATCAGCCCTCGCCTCTTACCTGTCACAGCGCTTCCGCAGCTGTTCCCAAATCAGCAAAACCAGCTCTGTCTTCACCTGCTGCAGGTAGGGGCCCATGGACCCTGACGTGTCCAGCAAAATGCATACTTTGCTCTCCAAAACAGTGCCAAACAGTCGGCGGCTCCCTGCTCCGAGACAGGTGGGGCAGAGGCAGGGGGTGAGGGGTCCCTCCTCCTGGGTGGTTTCCCTCACTGTATCTATCAACTATAAAGTCTTGCGACACCTGTTGCCTGCCTCATCATTGATTGGATGTCACCCCACTGGGAGACGGCCTTTGTGGTGCTGTGGGAGGGGGCGATTGTCCAAGGGCAGATCTGATCAGCAGTTTGGGCTTTAGGAGATCAAGATTTCAGCTCTGGCTTTGTCTGTGATGAGTTGTATAAGCGGTTAAACCTCCTGGGCTTGAGTTTCTTCATCCTTAAAGTTAAGTGATTGGATTCAATAGTATCATGATATTGCTTTGAAATATTAGATAGTGTTTGGGTGTGTACTGGTATGTCAGCTGGGGGACTTGTACTACAAAAGAAATCGCTGGATCTCTGGTTTAAGTCACCATTCCCAGGGGTAATGTGAACTGGGAGTGGAGAGAGGCTCATGCCTTCTCTGTCCCAGCTCAGCCTCTGACCTGACAACTGTACCTGGAGCAGCAGTCATCATGACGCCCCTGTCCGTGGACCATCTATACCAGGTCCTACTGCAGACCTAATGAATTTACATAGACCCTGAGTGGCACATACAAGGCCACCTGTAGGATCTCCATATAGGACTCCCTTCCTCCCTCCTCCTATTGCCCCAGAAACCCTCCAGGCCCCATAGCCTGAATCCCCTCCTGTCCAGTTCTAGCTGTCTGCCCACCTTCTTGGGTTTGATGCTTCAGACCATCTCTTAATCCACAGCCCAACCCTGTCCATTTGCCTTTCCAGGAGGGGACTTGGTGCTCTCTGAAAAGAGGTCCGTGGTGGCTTACACCTATAATCCCAGGACTTTGGGAGGCCGAGGCAGGAGGATCGCTTGAGCCTAGGAGTTCAGAGCCAGCCTGCACAACATAGCGAGACTCTGTATCTTAAAAAAATAAATAAAGTAAGCTGGGCATGGTGGCACGTGCCTGTAGTCTCAGCTCCTTGCAAGGCTGAGGTGGGAGGATTGTTTGTGCCCAGTTCGAGGCTGCAGTGAGCCATGACTGCACCACTGGACTCCAGACTAGGTGACAGAGCAAGACCATGTTTCTAAAATAAAATAGTAATAATAATAAAAAAACAGAGGGTTTCTGCTCTGTCAGTTCCCCTTACCATCTGTACCTCCAGGGTTGTTTTGCTAGGGCCCAGTCAATATTAAAGCAAACCTTTTGACAGTGAGCCCCTTGTCATTTGCAGGAAGGCAAGGTGTGGCAGGTGGCCTTGCAGAGCAGGCTGTGACGTGTGTGAGCTCCCGCTGGAGCTCTTGGGCCCATGTTCTAACTCCCTGTTATCCAGCCCCTTGCCTGTCCTCTGAACCCACTGTCATTTTTTTTTTTTTTTGGACAGAGTTTCACTCTTGTTGCCCAGGCTGGAGTGCAGTGGTGTGATCTCAGCTCACTGCAACCTCCGCAATTCTCCTGCCTCAGCCTCCCAAGTAGCTGGGATTACAGGTGCCTGCCACCATGCCTGGCTAATTTTTTGTATTTTTAGTAGGGTATTTTTATATTTTCATCATGTTGGCCAGGCTGGTTTCAAACTACTGACTGGTGATCCACTCGCCTCGGCTTCCCAAAGTGCAGAGATTATAGGCATGAGCCACCACGCCCAGCCTCCCAGTGTCATGTTGTACCTGGATGATGTTCCTGGCCTAATCCTCTGATCTGCAGTTCTCACAAGGCCTGGCTTTGGAAGGACTGATATTGGGGTCCCTGGGGCTAGCCTTCCACATCCCCTCATGCTCCTCCACCCTTCAGGGCAGTGGGCAGGCTCACCGGACAGCAGCCACTGCAGCCTCTGGACATAGCGCCTTAACACCTTCTCCAAGTGCCTGATGTACACCTCCATCTCCCCAGGCGTCCAGTGAATGTGTCTCACCACTCCCTGGGTTAAGGCAAGTGGAGGCAAGCATCCATCCCATCAGCCGTTTCTTCATATCCCCATCACCCCCTAAAATTGTTTGTTCCATCGTGGTTAACAATTCTCAAAACATTTGTTGGCTGGGCATGGTGGCTCATCCCTGTAATCCCAGTGCTTTGGGAGGCCGAGACAGGAGGATCACTTGAGCCCAGGAGATCAAGACCAGCCTGGGCAACATAGGGAGACCTCATCTCTTCCAAAAACAGAAAATTAGCGGGCGTGGTGGCATGTGCCTGTGGTCCCAAGCTGCTTAGGGGAGGCTGAGGTGGGAGGGTTGCCTGAGCCCAGGGAGGTAGAGGCTGCAGTGAGCTGCAATTGCACCACTGCACTCCTGCCTGGATGACAGAGCAAGATCCTGTCTCAACAAACAAACAAAAACCCACAAAAAATAACCATCTGTTAAGCATATGTTTTTTGTTTGTTTGTTTAAAGCCTTTTTTTCTTTTATTAAACTAGTAGATTTATGGTTCTACAAAGGAGTAGGGAATTAGGATGATTTTGGTTTTTGGTAAATGCAGTTGCTGTATTAATAAAAATCATAATAATCTCTAATTTTTGTTTTTTGAGACAGTCTCACTCTGTTGCCCAGGCTGTAGTGCAGTGGTGCGATCTTGGCTCACTGCAGCCTCTGCCTCCCGGGTTCAAGCAATTCTCCTGCCTCAGCCTCCTGAGTAGCTGGGATTACAGGTGCACGGCACCATGCCTGGCTAATTTTTGTGTTTACACTAGAGATGGGGTTTCACTGTGTTGGCCAGGGTGGTCTTGAACTCCTGACCTCAGGTGATCCTGCCGCCTCGGCCTCCCAAAGTGCTGGGACTACAGGCGTGAGCCACTGCGCCTGGTCAATGATCTCTAAATTTTAAAATAGAAAACGCTTAATGGTGGGTTAAGAAGTTCATAAATTTTGAACTAAATAATGACTTAGGGTGGAGAGGGGCAGCATACTGGAACGACCCGATGTTCCTCTAGTGAGTAATTTTGAATATTTGTGGCTATTTTTAGTTTCCCCTAATCTTGATAATGTAGGATAAAAGGGCAAGGAGAGAAATGATCTGATTTTCATTCTGTACTAAATTTACATATTCTAGTGTCAAAGCAATAAAAAATCACCCCAAAATTAGAAAATAGAGAAGAGAACCCTTCACTTTCTATCACAACCCCTATTTGCTGCCATAACAGAACCGTCATCAGTATTGAGGTACAGCATTCTTATGGGTGAACACTTCAGCCATGGTCCAATCTTGTCAGCAATTGCTACTTTTTCTTATCTTTTCCTTTTTATGTTTTAAGAGATAGGCTCCTGCTCCATGACCCAGGCTGGAGTGCAGTGGCGTGATCACGGCTCACTGCAGCCTTGAACTCCATGACTCAACTCATCCTCCCGCCTCAGCCTCCCAAGTAGCTGGGAATACAGGTACACAGCGGCACCTGGCTAATCTAATTTTTTTTTCCAGAGATGGGGTCTTGCTATGTTGCCCAGGCTGGTCTCAAACTCTTGGGCTCAAGCAATCCTCCCACCTCAGCCTCCCAAAGCACTTGGTACTATAGGCAGGAGTCACCGCACCTGGCCTCAGCAATTGTTTCTAATTCTTACTCCAATGAGCCCATCTAACCCTGGAATGGGATCTGAGGCCCTCTGGGAAGTTGGCTTTTTTTCCAACAGGATTTTGCATCTCCTATTTGGTGAGGGGAGTCTCATTTTGGGGAGGAGGGCAGTTCCCACAAGCAGAAATAGAGGCCAGAGTGCCCTACACTGCTCTCTGCCATTTGCAGCTGAGTTGGGAGAGAAAAAAAATGGTGATGAAAATCGTGACTTACGCGGATCTCAACGCTGGGGAAGATGCTGCAGTGTTTGGCTGATGCTGACCTCTGTCCTGACTTTTGATGAGTGCAGTTGGGACCCATGCATCTGGAAATCTCCAGCTTCAATTTTTTGAGCCCATATTTTGCCATCCACTTTAGAATAAAGGAAAAAACTATTATCTTAGGCAATTCAGACTCAACTGAATGATCATCTGATTCATCTATGAGAACCTCATGTTTGAAACCTGTATGATGTTTGAAATGTGGGATTCCCAGGTCCTCACTGAGCATCCATCCCATGCAAATTCCTTCCCTGGCTTTGGGGGAGAAGTGCACAAGAAATATGGGAGGCAGGCTCAGTGCAGTGGCTCACGCCTGTAATCCCAGCACTTTGGGAGGCTGACAGGGGTGGATCACCTGAGGTCAGGAGTTTGAGAACAGCCTGACCAACATGGTGAAACCCCATCTCTACTAAATACAAAAAATTAGCCAGGTGTGGTGGTGCATGCCTGTAATCCCAGCTACTTGGAAGACTGAGGCAGGAGAATCGTTTGAACCCAGGAGGTGGAGGTTGCAGTGAGCTAAGATAGTGCTACTGCACTTCAGCCTGGGCAACAAGAGTGAAACTCTGTCTCAAAAAAAAATAAAAAAAAGAAATATTGGGGGTGAACAACAAAATCTATTGAGCACCTCCCAGACCCTAGTCTAGTGGACGCTGTTGCTTCCCCAACATCCATTTCAACCCCACCCACAACATTTGAGTGGAAAGCCCTGATTGGTCGAAAACTCAGACTCTAACCCAATTAGGATAATCTCAGTCTCCTTGTCACAACAAGGGACACAACAATGGGCAGGCTCAAAGCAGCCAGGGATGGCATCCGCCATCGACACAATCAGACCCAAGCTCAGGCTTTTATTGAATAGTTGTGGGACGACCGTCCCCTTAGGCACAAGATGGGGGATTTCCATTGATTTCACTTTAATGAATCTTCACATCAATCTTATTTGACAGGCACAATTGTCGTTATTTTAGAAAGGCAGTGAGACTGAGTGTAGCTAGGTGACTTGCCCAAGGTCACCCAGGCAGGAAATAGCAGACCTAGATTTTGAATTTAGGTCTATTTAACCCTTATCCCATCTGCCACAGTAAGGAATTGTTCTTATCAGGTTTGTCCTTTTTTTTTTTTTGACACAGAGTCTTCCTCTGTCACCCAGGCTGGAGTGCAGTGGCGCAATCTCGGTTCACTGCAACCTCCACCTCCCGGTTTCAAGTGATTCTCATGCTGTAGCCTCCCAAGTAGCTGGGACTACAGGGCGTGCCACTGCACCTGGCTAATTTTTAAATTTTTAGTAGAGAAGGGGTTTCACCATGTTGGCCAGGTGGTCTCGAACTCCTGACCTCAAGTGATCCGCCCTCCTCGGCCTCCCAAAGTGCTGGGATTACAGGTGTGAGTCACTGTGCCTGGCCTGTTCTCATTTCTGATTATACCCCCACTCCTAGAAGTAATGGCTGGTGGAAGGAATTACTCTATTGCTTAATGGGCATGTGCTGGTACAAGCAACTTAATACCTCTTGGCTTGAGCAAACTGTATCCTTTGTGGGTAAGTCAATAGAAGAGCTAATCCTTCTCACGCCCCTTCCTTGAGGGTACTTCTTGTACACCGAGCCTAGGAGAAGCAGAGTAAGGTCATTGCTATAGTTTGGATGTTTGAGCCCCTGCAAACCTCATGAAATGTGATACCCAGTGTTGGGGATGGGGCTTGATGGGAGGTGTTTGGGTCATGGGAACGGATCCTTCATGAATAGATCAATGCCCTCCCTGGTGACAGGGTGGGGAGCGAGTGAGTTCTCCCTCTATTAGTTGCCGCAAATGCTGGCTGTTAAATAAAAGCCTGGTACCTCCCCATTCTCTTGCTTCCTCTCTCTCCATGTCATCTCTGCACATGCCAGCTCCCCAGTGCCTTACACCATGAGTGGAAGCAGCCTGAGGCTCTCACCAGATGCCCAAACTTCCAGCCAGCAGAACCTTGAGCTAAATAAACCTGTTTTCTTTATAAATTACCTAGCCTTGGGTATTCCTTTATAGAAGCACAAATGAACTAAGATGGTCACTCTGTGTACCTCTCTTCCCTCCCCCTGCTCCCTTTTTCACGTCAATTTCTCTGTCAATCAAGTCAGTTGTAAAAGCCCTTAGTGCAATTTGCTGAGAGGTAGAAAGGGAGGCTGTTGGGTGGATGGGGAAAGGCTGTTTGGGAACCTCCCGCCTAGCAATGAATTGTTCTTGGGATCTGCACCATTTCACAGCAGTCAATCAGGCTGGCCTAGGGGAATCATCTCCATCCCTTCCCATCTGCCTTAGAGCTAAGGAAACTGCACCTAGTGGACAGAGTCGGAGTGCCTGAGGATCTCAGGAGGTCTCATCTTCAATATTGACTTTTCTCATTCCCTGGTTGTTGTCAAAATTTTGCATGTCCATTTCCCAGGGCTGGGAGAACTGAGTTGTTTGAGGACAGGCTTGCTGCAGACGCACCAGTGCCCAGGTCCTGGGACAGCAGGAGGGGTTCCTTCCCGCAGTACCTGCTGCCCTTACAGCTCCCCCAGGGCCAGGGGGCCTGTCCAGACACCTGCATAGCCTCTAACTTACCCACATTATTCCCTTTCTCTGTGTAGAACAGCGAAAGAGATGTTTCTGCTTCCCTTGACTTGGTCTTCCTCCTCTGTTCCATCATCCCTTCTTTCATTGGCTGGGCCGCAGCTGAAGAACATTTGGCTTGTTGGCTGGAGCAGCTGTGTGCATTCTTGCGCTATAGCTGTCCAGCTTGGCTTAGAGACACTCAAGTTCAGCTATACTTCACCCCAGGAAATGGGGCTCCAGGATGACTTCAAGGCACCCCGTGTCCCCACCCCAGGTCTCTGGCTTTGCTTGGATCAGAAATAGCTATAGCTACCATTTACCGAGTCCAGATCCTTCCCTGGCATTGTGCTAAGTGCTCTGAGTATGCCGCCTCGCTTCATCCTCACAGTCCCCCAGTTTACAGATGAGGTAAGTGGGACTCCACCAGTAAGAAGCAGGGCAATGATTCTACCTGGTCCTGCTGACTTCAGAACTCTGCTCTGAGCCACTCTGCCATACCTTTGACATCAGAAATAAAATACATGGTCTTAGGTTCTATGAGCTGAATACTTTCATAAAGATTGTGAAGGCCTGTTACCACTAGTGGCACATGATCCTTAGCCCCCCCGAGCCTCAGTTCCTTTGTCAGTACAATAGGAAGCTGATAGAGTACCGATGCAAAGGATTGATCATTATAGGCTCTAAATGGGACAATCTTAGCAGATGGGCTGGCACATGATCAACCCTCAGGATCATTGATCGTTTTAGTTACTATCATTATTGCTATTATGATTATTATTTTAAGAGATGTGGCCAGGCGTGGTGGCTCACCCCTGTAATCTCAGCACTTTGGGAGGCTGAGGTGGATGAATTGCCTGAGCTCAGGACTTGGAGACCAGCCTGGGCAACATGGTGAAACCCCGTCTCTATTAAAAATACAAAAAATTAGCCAGGCATGGTGGCACCCACCTATAGTCCCAGCCACTCAGGAGGCTGAGGCACGAGAATTGCTTGAACCCAGGAGGTGGAGGTTGCAGTGAGCTGAGATCACACCACTGCACTCCAGCCTGGGTGACAGACCGAGACTCTGTCTCAAAAAAAAAAAAAAAAAAAAAAAGGTATAGACAGGGTCTTGCTCTGTCACTGAGGTTAGAGTGCAGTGGTGCAATCATAGCTCACTGCAGCCTTGAACTTCTGGGCTCAAGCCATCTCCTGCCTCAGCCTCCTGAGTAGCTGGGGGACTACAGGCATGCACCACCACATCTGGCTTTTTTTTTTTTTTCTTGGTAGAGATGGAGTCTTGCTATGTTGTCAAGGCTTGAACTCCTGACCTCAAGTGATTCTTCCACCTGAGCCTCCAAAAGTGCTGGGATTACAGGCATGAACTTCCACACCTGGCTTTAGTTACTATCATTATTAACCCATGCCTCAGCCGTGACCATGACATCTCTCCACCCTGCTTGACTGTGGTCGTGCCTTACCTGGTGAGATGCCAGCTCTGCTACTGAGTGGACGCCATTTCAGAGATTTCAGCAGGGGGCTCTTCTCTCTGTCAGGGTCATCTTTAATGCTCTAGAAAACAGGTGGTCTTTCCCATCAGAGGAGTGTTCCCTGTGGCAGGCAGGGCCTCAGTTACCGCGACCTCAATCTGTCCATGAGGAACTTTTGCAGGGAGGAGCCTAAGGGAGGGGACTCCTCAGATAGGTTTGGCCCCTCTCCTGCAGCAGATTCAGAGGGGACTCTGGGTTTTGAGGTGAAAAAGTATGGGTGTGTACACGTGTGTATGAGTGTATATGCATGTGTGTGCATGTGCATATGTGTATGTATGCATGTGTATGTGTGTGAGATGAGAGTGAGACAGCTGCTAGTGAGAGAGCTATGGGGGTTTGCCAGAACTTTCTTCATCAGTTACCCGCCCCTCTTCCTAATGGACTGGGATGTCTGGGCTTCCAGCATGACAACAGAAATTTAGGTAACTTCTGTGCCTTATCAGGCACCTCAGTTTTTTTTTTTTGTTGTTTGTTTGTTTGTTTTCTTTTTTAAGATGGAGTCTGGCTCTGTCACCCAGGCTGGAGTGCAGCAGCATGATCTCGGATCACTGCAAGCTCTGCCTCCCAGGTTCAAGCAATTCTCCCTGCCTCAGCCTCCCGAGTAGCTGGGATTACAGGTGCCCGCCATCACACCCGGCTAATTTTTGTATTTTTAGTAGAGAGGGGGTTTCACCATGTTGGCCAGGATGGTCTCGATCTCTTGACCTCGTGATCCGCCTGCCTCGGCCTCCCAAAGTGCTGGGATCACAGGTGTGAGCCACTGAGCCTGGCCCAGGCATCTGTTTTAAGGGAAGAGTTCCTTCATTCTCAGCCACGACCGGAGTGTGATGGTCATTAAAAAGTCACTCTCTGGGGAGCACCCCACCTGGTTTCAGGAGGCACTCAGGAAGCACTGGAGGCTCAAGAGGGAGCCCCTGAGGAGGGGGTGAAGTGCCTGAGCTGGCTCCTGAAACCTGGTGGAGTTCCCTGAACGAGGGCAGAGCCTGGCTGCACAGGCTCTCCTGGAAAGGCAGCCCTTTGACTGGGAATCTGCTACCTACGGTCTGGGATGGATTTCCACATTCTGAACATGGGCTGCACTCACAGGGTCTGAGTCATGCAATGCTGAGGGACTCACAGGTGTCCCTCCCAGTCTGCTCACAAGCACAGGTGCCTCTGAGGTCTTTCCTCTAGAGCCCTTCTGACTTCCAAGGTGGGTGGGTACTTAATGGAGGACAGAATTGACAGGCTGTGAATGGGGATAAACCCCTAGCAGGTGCAGCCCACCCTCAGGCTCCTATCGGCCCCTCCAAAGTCTTAGGCGGCAGTGGGAAGAGCCCTTAGAGACCCTAATTCCTTTGCCTCCAAGAGACCCTCCAGGATAAGCCATCAGATGAAACAGGTGGGTGTCAATTCTGTGGCATCCTCAGTACCAGGGTAGGGAAAAGGCTGGGATAAGCTGGCAGAGCCAAGGGTGGGGTGGAGGAGGCCAGAGGAGCCCCAGAGCTGAGGAGCCAGCCCCCCGGGGGAGATTTTCCCCCGGAGGCCTGGGCAAGAGGCACCCACGGGACAGTCACCACTGAAGCGCCCACCCCATCCCTGCTGGCCCCAGCCATTGTAAGACCCAGGAAAGACCAGAAGACAAACAGGAAACCAAATCTTCCGCGTGTTATTAGGAGGGGAGTCAAACCATTCTGGCCCCCACGGGGGCGGTGGGCCTGGGAGGGCAGAGCTTCTTGGGCTGACTTCTTAGCTGAAGTGTCTTTGGTTTTTCTTTCAGGAGGTCTGCACTTCCCAGTACTTTTCTTGAATGGTTCTTCAGGGAGGCCATGAGGAAGGCACACTGCAGTGGGATTGGGAGGGTCAGTGGCACCCCCAGCCACTGTGGACACACACACACACACACACACACACACAGAGAGAGAGAGAGAGAGCGCAGAAGGGACTGTATCCACTGAAACCTCTGACATCCCCTGGATTCCTCTTTTCATCCCTAGAAAGCCACCTGGGGCTGAGAGTGCTATGGACCAATCCTATGAACAACAGTAAGGACCAGGTATGGGGGCCTGGGAGGCATAGGCTCTGGGTTAGTGAATACTTGGGAGTCTCCAACCCTCATGCCAACAAGTCACGTCAGCTACGCCAATAGGGTAGGTGCTGTCATCTCCCCATTTTACACATGAGGAAACCAAAGCTCTGAAGCTGTCATCACAGAGTTAACAAGAATTCTGGACAAAAATCTAGTTATCATGAAGCCCTGATCAGGCTGCACATAGCCCCACTTCTTTGTAACCTAAAGTCACATAGCACCAGATCCTGGCTGTTTGCATCCCCATTGTTCCTCTAGATAGGATTTCTGATGTCAAAATCACAAAGCTTTTGTTTAAGAATTGCTTAAGATGTTTTTCAGACTCGAATTCCAGCAAAGTAGCTGATGCCAACCAGTTTGAAGACCCCCAGAGGAACAGGAACAGCATGAAAACACAGCTTCTTCATCTCCCCCGCCCATGACTCCAGCCTGCACTCAACTAGTCAGTGACCTCCACACTTCAGCCCACTGCAATACCCTTAAAAACCTTAATGTCAAATTCCCCGGGGAGATGGATTTGAGGTTCCCTCCCATCTCCTCGTTTGGCCGTTCTACAATTAAACATTTTTTCCTCTGCCACAACCCAGTGTCTCTGTGCATTGACTTGCCATGCATATCTGGCAACAGATCTATTACAGTTACAGCTCTGTGAGCTTAAGGTTCTCATCTAAGGCTACCTTATCAGTGTGTAGAGAAACTTCAATTCAAACCAGGTGGGTCTGGTTCCAAAGCCAGCACCCTTCCATTGTGAGACACTGTGGCCTCCACTTGTGGGCCGGTCAGCCTGACTGGTTCCCCAGCAATTATTCTCAATCAAAGCTCCAGAAGACACCACTCAAATGTAAATAAGCATCCTCTGGAAAGGTGAATTATGCAGTCATTGCCCATTAACATCATATGAATGAGTTTATCAGATGAGGGAATGGGACTGTGTGCACCTGAGGGTAAGGGATATTTCTTTATTTTTTATTTATTTATTTTGAGATGGAGTCTCACTCTGTCACCAGGCTGGAGTGCAGTGGCGTGATCTCAGCTCACTGCAACCTCTGCCTCCCAGGTTCAAGGATTCTCTTGCCTCAGCCTCCAGAATAGCTGGGATTACAGGTGCACACCACTACACCCAGCTAGTGTGTGTGTGTGTGTGTGTGTGTGTGTGTGTGTGTGTATTTTTAGTAGAGACGGGGTTTCACCATGTTAGCCACGATGGTCTCGATCTCCTGACCTTGAGATCTGCCCGCCTCGGCCTTCCAAAGTGCTGGGATTACAGGCATGAGCCACTGCGCCCAGCCGGGAAGGGATATTTTAAAAGCACCAAAAGGGTCCCTTTTGGGGAAGACAGCACAGGCACGCAGGGGGAGCCACAGATCTGCAGATCCAGTGGCCACAGAGGAATAGAAGATGGAGATGTGGCCCCGCCCTCCCAGGAGTCCACAGTTGTCTGGGAAGTGAGTCCTTCTGCGAGTGGTGGAGTCCAGGAGTCTCCTTCACAGGCTCCTCCACTCCATTGCCTCGACCACATCCTTGCTAAGTGCCCTCTGTCCATCATTGTGGCTTAAACTGCCCCAAATCTCCATCTCTAGCCATGTCTTTTCCCACCTGCCTGTAGGGTACCCTCACTTGTCATCTCGCAGGCTCCACAAACTCACCCTTGTCCCAGACCAGCCTTCCCTGCACCGTCCTTCCATGGGCTTTTCCTCCTGTTTTCTCCATCTTGGTCAATGGCCTCACTGTCTACTGGGTGCCCCAGTGAGGAGCGTGGGGGTCACTTTGGATGTCTTCTCTTTCACACTGCCTCTTCAATCACTTGCAAGTCCAAGGAATTCTTCCTTAGATGTTCATTGCTCCTCACGTGATCTGGCCCCTAGCTACCTCTCTCATTGTATCTTGTCCTGCTCAACTCCTCTCTCTGAGGAAGTAACATTTTAGTCTCAAAGGACTCCTACCTTGACCAAACTTTAGCCAGGCTCCTCTAAACCATCTTCTCAATGACGCCTTGACCTTGGCCTGCTGAACTCAGTTTTGGCAAAGAATTCTGCTAAGTCAGTTTAGTGAGACCTGTCCCATCCTTGATATCCAATCAAGTTCCTCATCTCCCATCTGATATATCTTTTTTTTTTTAATGATTTTTAGAAAATTCTTTAATAGAGATGGGGTTTTACCATGCAGCCGAGGCTGGTCTCAAACTCCTGGGCTCCAGCATCAGCCTGCCTCGGCCTCCCAAAGTGCTGGGATTACAGGTGAGAGCCACTGTGCCCAGTTCTATTTTTGATATCTAAGCCTTTGGTCTGCCTTTAGCAAGAGCCCTGTTTAACAAGAATCCTTTTACCTATCATATTTATCCAGTTCTTTTAGTAATTTTCCATCCACTGACTCTGCTCGTTGGCTATACATCTCCAGCTATTTTGCTATTATTTAGAGTTGAGTTCAGTCTCTCTCCCCTATTGCAACAGTCTTAAATAAAGTCTTCCTTGCCATTTTAAAAGAGCAACCAGTGCAATTAAAAACAAACAGACACCAATTGCCACCAGAAGCCAGGGAGGGGCAAGGAAAGATTCCACCCAGAGCCTTCAGAGGGAGCCTGGCCCTGCTGACACCTTGATTTCAGACTTCCAGCCTCTGGAAGTGAGAGAATCAATGGTTGTTATTTTAAGCCGCCCAATTTGTGGCAGTTATGGTAGCCCCAGGAAATGAATACAGAAGGCAGTGCAGTCATTGGCCCATGCCCAGGGCATACCTTTTGGGAGTAGTTGAGAGCCTTTTCCATCTCAGACATGATGGAACTGATGTCATCGCTCTCATAAATGCCTGGAAACAAAGCACATCATGAGCATGGGAGACAGGGTGTGGATCCTGGCAAGTATCCCCATCATTTGGATACTAGAAAGCCACCTGGAGGTGACTCAAGGGCTGGGCGTGGTGGCTCACTCCTGTAATCCCAGCACTTTGGGAGGCTGAAAAGGGAAGATTGCTTGAGGTTGGGAGTTCAAGACCAGCCTGGGCAACACAGTGAGACCCCTTCTCTATCAAAAAATTTAAGAAATTAGTCGGGTGTGGTGGTGGACATCTGTAGTCCCAGCTGCTCAGGAGGCTAGGGTGGGAGGATTGCTTGAGTCCAGGAGGTTGAGGCTGCAGTGAAGTATGATGGCACCACTGCACTCCAGCCTGGGTGACAGAGGGAGACCCTGTCTCTAAAAAAATGTTGCTTTGTGTACCGTGTACTATCTTGCCAACCATGTGCTATGAACATACCACCCTTCAAAAAACAATCTAAGGGATGTTTAGGGTGCCTTCTAGCTCTGACATTCTAAAATACACATATTTTTAATTTTAATTTTTTTGTAGAGGTAGAGTCTTGCTATGTTGCCCAGGATGGTCTCGGACTGGCCTCAAACAATCCGCTTACCTCAACTTTCCAAAGTGCTGAGACTACAAGTGTGAGCCACCACCTGACCCATAATATACTTTCAGAGTTTTACTTCTTCTTCTTTTTTTTCTTTTTTGAAACAGAGTCTTGCTCTGTCACCCAGGCTGGAGGGTAGTGCCGTGATCTCTGCTCACTGCAACCTCTGCTTCCTGGGTTCAAGCAATTCTATTGTACCTCAGCCTCCTGAGTAGCTGGGACTACAGGTGTGTGCCACCACACTCGACTAATTTTTTGTATTTTTAATAGAGACAGGTTTTCACCATGTTGGCCCGGCTAGTCTCAAAGTCTTGACCTCAAGTGATCCAAACGCCTTGGCCTCTCAAAGTGCTGGGATTATGGGTATGAGCCACTGTGTCCGGCCTACTTTTTTTAACTTAAAAAAATTGCAGTAAAATATACATAACATCAAACTTCCTAGTTCAATCATTTAAAAGTGTACAATTCAGTGGCATTAAGTGCATTCACATTGTTGTGCAACCATCACTGCTATCTATCTTCAGAGGAATAGTTTTACATTTTAAAATGTGATTTTCACAAGCTGCTTTTCTGGAATATATCTGTGGTCTAAGGGAGCTATGCTGGTGCTGAGGCAACTGTTTGGAATGAGCCAAAGGGATGAGGAAACACTCATGTACCTGTGTCTCCAAACCAGTGGAAGCGGCCTCCTGCAGCCCGGGTGACTTCCTTGTAGGCAGCGGCCGTGTCAGTGCGACTGGCATAGCAGGCAGGGGGTGTGGTGTCCATCTTTGGCTCGCCCACGTAGAAGAGACACACGTTCAGCTGGAGGTCGCAGCCACTACAGGCCTCGGCCATGTAGGCGCTGATTGTAGGCTGGTGGGGAAGAGAAGGTAAGAGGGGCCTGCAGCTGAGGGCCTTGAAGCTGTGGGGCTCCGGGCAGCCCAGCCTGGCCATGTTTCTCCAGGGCCTTCTCTATGCCTTGTCCAGTCCTTGGCACAAGGATGGAAAGAGATGAACCTGGGTTGCAGTTTCTCTCAATAAAATTTTTTTTAATTTTTTTTTTTATTATTATAAGTTCTGGGGTACATGTGCACAACGTGCAGGTTTGTTACATATGTATACGTGTGCCATGTTGGTGTGCTGTACCCATTAACTCGTTATTTACATTAGGTATATCTCCTAATGCTATCCCTCCCCCTCCCTCCACCCTACAACAGGCCCTGGTGTGTGATGTTCCCCTTCCTGTGTCCAAATGATCTCATTGTTCAATTCCCATCTCTCAATATTTTAACAGAGTGTGGTCGGGAGCTGGACCTGAGAGCCTCCTGACACCAGGCGTGGTCTAGACCAGTAGCATCCGCATCCCCTGGAAGCCTGCTAGAAATGCAGACTCCCAGGCCCCACCCCAGACCTACTGAACCAGGATCTGCACTATGTATGTATGTATGTATGTATGTATGTATGTATGTATGTATATATTTTAAAGAGACAGGGTCTTGCTCTGTTGCCCAGGCTGGAGTGCAGGGGCATGATTATAGCTTGCTGCAGCTTTAACCTCCAGGGCTTAAGCAATCCTTCTGCCTCAGCCTCCTAAGTAGCTGTGACTACAGGCACACGTCACCACACTTTTTTTTTTTGAGACAGAGTTTCACTCTTGTCGCCCAGGTTGGAGTGCAATGGCGTGATCTTGGCTCACCGCAACCTCCCGCTCCAGGGTTCAAGTGATTCTCCTGCCTCAGCCTCCCGAGTAGGTGGGATTACAGGCGTGTGCCACCACGCCTGGCTAATTTTGTATTTTTAGTAGAGATGGGGTTTCTCCATGTTGGTCAAGGTGAACTCAAACTCCCAACTTCAGATGATCTGCCTGCCTCAGCCTCCCAAAGTGCTGGGATTACAGGCATGAGCCACCGTGCCTGGCTACATCTGGTTTTTAAATTTTATTTTTGTAGAGATGGGGTCTTGCTATGTTGTCCAGGCTGGTCTTGAGCACCTGAGCTCAAGTGATCCTCCCACCCCAGCCTCCTGAGTAGCTGGGACTACAGGCATGTGCCACCATGGCAGGTTATTTTTAAAATTTTTGTAGAAATGTGGTCTCCCTATGTTGCCCAATCTGGTCTCCAGGGCCTGCATTTTAACAGCATCCTTAGGTGCCTGTCTATACATTAAAGTTTGAGAAGCACTGCTTTAGAAATCATGCTGCAGAAAGCTTGGCGAGGTATCCACCTGGGGGAAGATGGATGAGGTCGCAAAGGATAATGGACATCCGGGACGTGGCCTACCCACCATGTCCTGGTCAGGGATGCCCCCAGTGAAGAGGTAGATTCCCTGCGATTGGTGTTTGTCTTTGTCCTTGAAGTCCACTTCTACAGCCTTCCGCAGGGCGCTGAGAACATTCCTGCTGCCCCAACACCGCAGGTTCAGGGCCCACCTGGGGAGGCAGAGATGGCCACGCTGAGGGTCACTGGCCCATGCCTAGGGCATACCTTTTGGGAGTAGGTGAGAGCCTTTGTCATCTCAGACGTGATGGAGTTGATGTCATCACTCTCACAAAGTGAAGACGGCCAGGTGGGGAGAGCAGCAGATAGAAGGAAGCTGTTTTCTGATTTCTGCCCATGGCTGTTTGGGGTCAGGGACTCTAGAGAGCTACTTCCTGGTGGAGAGGGGGACAGAGAAAACAACGCCTGCAAGCCTTCCCTCAGACACAGCCCCACAAAGTCTCTGCCCATCACCTACCGCCAGGCACTTTGTAAATTGTCGTGGCTCATGGGAACCATCTCAGGCCTCCAGCTTTCACTTGTGCTTCCAAACCTTTAAGAAGCAAAGAGAGTTCATTCTTAGGCTGGGGGAGGTCCACTTGGCGGCCCAGCTCTTTGGGCTTTGCAGGCTTTTAGTGGGGACAAAATTCTGATGAGATCCCCTAAAATGTGAGGATGTCACTGGCCTGGGCTAGCCTTGAGATTTCCTTGCAGGTCATATGTCCCAACATACTTCAGCCGAGACATGGCGTGAGCCAGCTTTGGTCAGCTTTCTTTCTGAAGCGTTGAGCTATGGCGTGTGGCCCCATTTAACCTCCGCTAGCATGGCTCCACATTTCTCTTCCCTATCCATACTATAGTTTTTTTTTTTTTTTTTTTTTTTGAGACAGAGTCTTGCTTTGTTGCCCAGGCTGGAGTGCAGTGGTGGGATCTCGGCTCACTGCAAGCTCCGCCTCCCGGGTTCACGCCATTCTCCTGCCTTAGCCTCCCGAGTAGCTGGAATTACAGGTGCCTGCCATCACGCCCAGCTAATTTTTTTTGTATTATTAGTAGAGATGGAGTTTCACCGTGTTAGCCAGGATGGTCTCGATCTCCTGACCTTGTGATCTGCCCGTCTCAGTCTCCCAAAGTGCTGTTTGTTTTGTTTTTTTAAATACACGTCTATGTAATCAACAGGATTTGGTAAAGAAAAAAAATACACATCTAGCCTGGGCAGTATAGCAAGACCCCATTTCTACAAAATAAAATTAGCTGGGTATAGTGGCACATGTCTGTTGACCTAGCTACTTAGGAGGTTGAGGTGGGAGGATCACTTGAGTCCAGGAGGCTGAGGCTGTAGTGAGCTATGATTGTGCCACTGCACTCCAGCCTGGGCAACAGAGCGAGACCCCGTCTCAAAAAACAAACAAACCCCCAAATCCAGAAAACCCACATTGTCTCATTTGTCCTGTAAGACAGAATTTAAGATCCTTGGGAAGGGGATTTATACTCTTTATGAATGAAAAGTTGTCCCCTCTCTAGTTTGAGATTAATTCCTCCACCTGGCCTTTGACCTCATCATCACCCATCTCTTCTGAAACTTTGCCCCACAGTTCCACCCTCACATCCACACATTCCCAACTTCTCTCCACTTCCCTCTGCCCCCAGCACCTCTCTACCTGTTTCAGACTCTCTATACTTGACAAGAACATCCTCCTTCCACCGGGAAGCTACTCTATGGGCAACTTCGCTCTTTCCTCTTTCCCCTTGTGGACAAGCTCCCTGGAAACACAATATACCACCACTTCCTCACCTCTTCAACCCATTGCAGTCAAACTTCCACCCTGGGGGTGTTCTCTGGTAGAGATGAACAATGCCCTCCATTCCCCCACCAGTGGAAATATATCCCTATTATCGCTGGATAATAAATCTGGGTTCAAGTGATTCTTATGCCTCAGCCACTGGAGTAGCTGGGATTATAGGCCTGTACCACTGAGACCCACTTATTTTTGTATTTTTAGTAGATGGGGTTTCACCACGTCGGCCAGGCTGGTCTCGAACTCCTGGCTTCAAGTGATCCACCTGCCTTGACCTCTCAAAGTGCTGCGATTACAGGAGTGAGCCACCGCGCCCGACCTTCATATACTCCTTTATAGCAGTGCAGGAACGGACTAACATAGCATCCCAACACCTTTCTCTCTTGTTTTCCTCCCACCTCTCTGGGTTCTCCTTTCCTGTGTTCCTTTGGTGGTTCCCTTCTTCTGCCCACCCTTCAAATGCTGGTATTTCCCAAGTGCCTTTGATTGTCTTCTCTCTCCCCTTCGCATCTCCACAGGTGCGATCCCTGCACTACCATTTATTTCATTCATATAATTAAAATGCTGATGGCTCAAAACCCCTTGTTTCTTGGCTAGGTCTCCTCACTGGAGCTCCTTCTCCTCCTAATGTTCTCCAAACTCTGGAGTGTCTCAGACTCTGGATGTTTAAAACCATCTTTCCCTTCAGAGATCTGTTCTTGGGCATCATCTTCTCTTTACCATTCTTTCACCCCCTACAGCCAGGGACGACATTCTGTAGATTCTAACTCCCCAAAATCTTTTCCATGCACCTTTTTTTTTGAGACGGAGTCTTGTTCTATTGCCAGGCTGGACTGCAGTGGCGTGATCTTGGCTCATTGCAAGCTCCACCTCCTGGGTTCATGCCATTCTCCTGCCTCAGCCTCCTGAGAAGCTGGGACTACAAGTGCCCGCCACCATGCCTGGCTAATTTTTTTGTATTTTTAGTGGAGACGGGGTTTCACCATGTTAGCCAGCATGGTCTTGATCTCCTGACCTCGTGATCTGCCCACCTTGGCCTCTCAAAGTGCTGGGATTACAGGCATGAGCCACTGTGCCCAGCCTCCATGCACCTCTTTCTTGATTAACTTTTATTTTGGGCTCAGGGGTATGTGTGCAGGCTTGTTATATAGGTAAACTCCTGTCATGGGGGTTTGTTATATAGATTATTTCATCACGCAGGTATTAAGCCTAGTACCCATCAGTTATTTTTCCTGATCTCCTTCCTCTCACCCACACCCTCCAATAGGCCCCAGTGTGTGTTTTTCCCCTTTATGTGTCCATGTGTTTTCATCATTTAGCTCCAACTTATAAGTAAGAACATGCTGTATTTGGTTTTCTATTGCTGTGTTAGTTTGCTAGGGATTATGGCCTCCAGCTCTATACATGTTCCTGCAAAGAACATGATCTCATTCTTTTTTATGGCTGCATAGTATTCCGTGGCATATGCGTACCACATTTTCTCTATCCAGTCTACCACTGTTGGGCATTTACATTGATTCCATCTCTTGCTATTGTTAATAGTGCTGCAATATACATATATGTGCATTCGTCTTTATGATAGAATGATTTATATTCCTTTGGGTATGTACCCAGGGATGGGATTGCTGGTTTGAATGGTAGTTCTGTTTTTAGGTCTTTGAGGAATCATCATACTGCTTTCCACCATGGTTGAACTAATTTACACTCCCAACAAGTGTGTAATTGTTCCTTTTTCTCTGAAACCTCGCCAGCACCTGTTATTTTTTGACTTTAATAATGGCCATTCTTACTGGCCACACACTATTTCTTCCATTCACAGTGCCTTGGCTTAAGCCCACTCAACACTAGGGCAGGCAATTGCAAGAGTCAAACTGGTCTCTTCCCTCCGGTATTACATCCCTTCAGTTCCTCCTTCACAGCACTGCTCGAGCATTTGAAGATGCAAACCTGATCGTATTAGTACCTTGCTTGCAATCCTCCAGTGCCTTTATATCCTATAGCACAGGAAACTCATGAGCATGGCCTATATCAATCCTCCATCACCTGTTATTTCTGTCATGCACATTCTCTCCCTCTCACCCCCATATCCATGCTGAACTACCTGATGGTCCCTAAAGCTCTAACATACCTCACGCTCCTGCTCATGCTGTTGCCTCTACCTGGAACACCATTTCTCCCTATCCCATCATTCTCAGGTGCTAGGCAAACACCTACTCATTCATCAAGACTCAGCGGAAGGGGCACTTGCTCCATGAAGATGTCCTGAGCCTACTCCTCACAGGTGGAATGAACTGATCCTGCCACTGATACCTTGCAGTCCCATACCTAGCTATCTACTCATTTCTATAGAAAACACCTAATAGCACTTCTTAACATCCCTGTCTCCCACTGTTAGGCTGTGAGTTCCTCGAGGATGGGTTTTGTGTGTCTTCATGTCCATCTCCCCAGTGCCTGGCACAGGGACTGGTTCATGGCAGATTGTCAATGAAACATTGCTGAATGAATGAATGGGTAGATGAATAAATAAAATTCCTTGTCTATAATGTTACCATAAATATTTTTCTGTAGAGTTTATTAGGGAATGATTGGGCTCTGGTACAGAATAATATCTAATACTAACTGTTGACTTAATAGGTTTAGAAAATGCCCTATTTGGTTTGAGGTTGTATAAAAATCTACTCTTTAAGTGGGTTCCTTTTCTCTCTGTCTTCCCTTGTTAGTTAAAATAGTATGCAATTTTAAAAATTATATATATAGTTTTTATGGCTGGGCTCAGTGGCTCAAGCCTGTAATCCCAGCACTTTGGGAGGCTGAGGCAGGAGGATCACTTGAGGTTAGGGGTTCGAGATCAGCCTGGCCAACATGGTGAAACTCCGTCTCTACTAGAAATACAAAGATTAGCCAGGTGTGGTGGTGTGTGCCTGTAGACCCAGCTACTTGGGAGGCTGAGGTAGAAGAATTGCTTGAACCTGGGAGGAGGAGGCTGCAGTGAACTGAGATCAAGCCACTGCACTCCAGTCTGGGAAACAGAGTGAGACTCCATCTCAAAACAAAAACAAAAACACAAACAAAAACAAACTATATATATAGTTTTTAAATTAAAAATGCTAGATATGTACTATAATTACATATAATATACAATTTTAAAACTATATTAACATTTTAAAACTATATATACTATATATAATTTTAAAACTATACATAAATTTGAAGAAAGTTCAAATCTTCAAAACCTCTCTGATCTTCATTGTATTTAATTCCAAACTATACAGTTTTAAAAATTGCATACGATTTATATATATATATACACACACACATAATTAAATGTATATGTATAATTTTTATTTATTAAAACAGAGATGGGGGTCTCACTATGTTGCCCAGGCTGGTCTCAAACTCCTGGATGCAAATGATCCTCTGTCTCGGCCTCCCGAGGTGCTGGGATTACAGGTGTGAGCCACTGCACCCGGCCAAATTTATATATACAATTTTAATTTAAATTTAGAATTGGAATCCTAAATACTTGAAAAGGTGGGGCTTGCTGGAGTCAGGCTGAGGACTGAGACTAAGGCATGGCTGGAGTCCTTCCTTTCCTCTTCTGCCTGTTTTGTCTTGGAAGCCAAATGGGCCAATGGGCTGAATTACTTTATCCTGGTTGATCAAGCAGTGTGTTTTGGGGTCACTTATCACCTTTGCCCCAGTAGGACAGTCCTGTAACCATTTAATTATTCAATGCTTCAAACAAGATCATCCAAATCAGATAAACCGATGGCTATCCTGGGAGGCCGGGTGACCATGACGTCAATATCTGTTGTCTGGCAATGTCCAAAGCCTCAGCATAACGATGACATCCAAACACACACAACCAACCCTTGCCCCCAGGAGCCAGGAGACACATACGCGATGAGGTTGAAGTAGTCCTTGTTGGATAACTGCTCCTCCAGCAGCAGCCGCAGGGAGTGCTGGATATGAATAATGTACATGGAATTGGTCGCAGAGATATCGAGCAGTACAACCACCCTAAAAGGAAACACGAGCTTTAAGAGGAGAACTGAATCTCTGAGATAATGTTAATTTTGTTCCATTTTACTATTTAAAGTTTTTTCCAGGGGAATTTTGCATGCCAAATTCATAGCTGGCCAAAATCTTCTCTGTGGTTTGAGGCCAACAGAGAGGTGGGCTTACAATGGTAGATTAATGGGGTCATGGAACCCCCCTTCTCTCCCAAGAGATGCTGTAATGGAATAAAGCCTCATGGTGGAGGTGGTTTAAGGGGTAGGGGCTTCATATAATGATTTTCATAGATTTACTTTAAAGAATTAGCATTCAATATTTTTATAGGTCAGAATATGAATATACATACATACATACATATATATATATATATATATATTTTTTTTTAGATGGTCTCTCTCTGTTGCCCAGGCTGGAGTGCAGTGGTGTGATCATGGCTCACTGAAGCCTCAACCTCCTGGGCTCAAGAGATACTCCTGCCTCAGCTTCCCAAGTTGCTGGGACCACAGGCACACATCACCATTCCTAGCTAAATTTTTTTTTTTTTTTTTTTGTGGAGACCAGGTCTGCCCATGTTGCTCAGGCTGTTTTTGAACTCCTGGCCTCAAGTGATCCTCCTGCCTTGGCCTCTCAAAGTACTGGAAATACAGGAATGAGCCACTACACCCGCCATAGGTTGGGGTCTTTGTAGGGAAAGCAAAAACCAGGTGAGCAAGTAACATGAGGAATTAGGTATATCTGGGCCTCTTGGAAAATATTTTTATCTTTTTGTTTGCTCTCTGTTTTAAGATCTCTAGCCTCATTCGTTCTTTCTCTCATTTTACAACTTCAAACTTATATTCCTACCTCCTGCCCCATTCTCATTTTGAGACAGCTATGAATAGCAAAAGAAAATCCATGTGATTTACAGTCAGAAGACCTTGGTTCAAGTTCCACTTCATACCAGCTGTGTGGCCTTAGGCAAGTCACAAAACCTCTCTGATCTTTGTTTAAGTAGTTTAACTATAAACTACTTGTAAGACTCATCATAGGGTTGCTTCAAGAACAAAATTACATAATAGATGTATAGTGGCCAGGTGTGGTGACTCATGCCTGCAATCCCAACATGTTGGGAGGCTGGGGCAGAAGAAACTCTTGAGGCCAAGAGTTTGAGACCAGCCTGGGCAACATAGCGAGACCCTGTCTCTAATAATAATAATAATAATAATAATAATAGATGTATAGTATTATAAAATATAATAATTTATAAATGTTAATTCATCAAACAAGGTATGGAATCATAATAATGGCCATGATAGATAACTATTGTTTCTCCCAACTCAGCATCCATTACCTCATCTGGCAACAGCATCCTGATTTTCCTTTGGGAAACACCTCTGCCTCTATCAGTCAATTTGAGTTGAGTGAAACTGAGCCCACTGCAAGCTTCAGGGATAGGCATTTGACCCTGGCCAATCAGAACATCACACCTCTGGCTGGGTGGGAGGATCCATTCATCCATGACCCATTTGCTCTGGCCAGGGAGGAGGTGTGATTTTTTTTTTTTTTTTTTTGAGACACAGGGACTCGCTCTGTTGCCCAGGCTGGAGTACGGTGGCACAATCATAGCCCACTGCAGCCTTGAACCCCTGGGCTCAAGCGACCCTCCTGCCCCTGCCTCAGCCTCCCAAGTAGCTGGGACTACAGGTGTACAACACCATGCCCAGCTAATTATTTTATTTTTTGTAGAGACAGGGTCTCACTATGTTGCCCAGTCTGGTCTCAAACTTTTGGCCTCAAGCGATCCTCCTACTTTGGCCTCCCAAAGCGCTGGGATTGCAAAAATGCTCAGTGACACAACGATGATATTATTGACATCAATGATGGTGGTGGTGACTTTTTCCTCCCCTGGGGGTTCTGCTGAGAGATTCCCAATCCCTAATCTAAGTGATGGCTTCTGATGATACCAACAGGGAATTCATGAGTCAGATAAACGTCATGTCACACATCAGACCCACGAAGGATAAGAACCCTGCTTAGGAAAGGTACCTTTTTTCACAGACAGTGCCCCAAATTCTTCTGCTGGCCAGGGAGAGCCACTCGATTCGCCTCTCGTACATCCGCATAGCTCTGTTGAGCTGTTTCTGCAGAGGTGTGGGCCACAGTGAGCGGCTGCTCAAAGGCTGAGCAACCAAGGGGCCTGAGGGGAAGTAGGTGTACCCAGGTGGGCTTCAGGGAATGGTGTGTCAAGTCCCTGGGAATCCAGGCAGTATAATCATTCCACTAAATCATGGACAAATTCGCCACAAGACCAGGAAGGGAAGAGTCACACGGTATTTCATTGCATCAAATGGGGGAGGAAGGAGATCTTTCCCCAGAGGATTAGAGGCTTTTTTTTTTTCCTTTTTTTTTTTGAGGCATTGAGGTCCCTGCTTGGGGAGGAGGTGGCCAAAGCTCCAGGGGGCCTGTAGGTGGAGCACACAGTCCCTCTTTACAAGAGGGAGTTTAGTCAATGGCTTGGTGACTCCATAGCCCAGGGAACCTTCCTCCCATCTCCGCCTCCTGCACCCCATTTTCTGACTGATTGAACCCATCACTGACCTGGTACTCATAGAGGAAGGGTGGGTCCACATGAATGTTCTTCACTGTCCCATCGTGCCATTCAAATTGTATCATTGCCTTCTGTTCTCAGGCATGGGCAGGAGGGTGAGCAGGTGAACAGAAGTACATGTAGTTTAATTTGGGCACTGGTTCTCCAAATCAGGTGCAGGAGAGGGAAGTGGGCTCTGAACACATTCGAGGTTGGATTGAACTCCCTCCCAGAACTCCACCACACACACCCCGCAATGCCACCACCACCAGGTCCATTGCCTTGTCTGGAACTGGAAGTAGAGAGCCTTAGAGAGAGTGATCCCCTGAATGGACCATGCCTGACAGCAAGCCTCTCAGGCTGTCTTCCTGAGAGGCTTTTCTGAACATCAGAGTCATGAAGATATGGTTGGAGGGTTTTAGTAAAAGAGAGCACAGTTGGAGACCTTAAAATATACTGGCCATAGCTTCTTAGGTTTGGAAACCTAGACAGGCCTTCACAGATGCTTTGAAAATCCAATTTGTTCATCTTGTTTTTTCATCCTCCACCAAGTCAACATATCCATCTCTCTCTCACTCCATCCATCTAGTCATTCATCCATGCACTGCTAGACCTACATGTCCCTTACTCCTCTCTCTTCCTGTGTTCCATCTTTCTGCTTTCTATTCACCTATTATTCCTTCCTTTCATTTCTCCATCCTTTCACTCCTACATCCTTCCATCCTTACTTTAATTTCTATTTTCATTCTTTCATTTGTCTTTTATTCCATTTTGTCATCCATCCTTCCATTTTCCATTTTCCCCTTCCACCTGTTCAGATTTCCATCCATTCACCCATCCATTTACCCATCCATGCATCCATGCATCCATCCATCCATCCATCCATCCATCCATCCATCCATCCATCCATCCATCCACTCATCTATTTATCCATCCATCCATCCATCCATTCATCCATCCACCCACCCACCCATCTATCCATCCACCTATCCATTCGTCCATTCATCCATCCATCCATCCATCCATCCATCCATCCATCCATCCATCCATCTACGTTTCCATTCATTCATCATTCTTTTCCTTCTTCTGGCCAACCTTCCTTCCAACTACCTTCTCAGCCATCCAGTAAACATTCATTGATTTCCTACTCATACTAAACATGGGGGATAGAGAGTTAGAGAAGAGTGTTCCCTCTTTATACTTCATACTTGATGGGGATTTAAATATGTAAAAATTCATGCATTAACCCTTTATGGGAGCAATAGCAGAAGTCTGCATTAGGTACAGCAAGGACATAAAGACAGCAAGTCTGTCCTGTCTGAGTTGGGAGGAGAAAACCTTCATGGAGGAGGTGACTGTGGTACCTGATTTATCCCTCTTGCCCCATCTCCCGAGTTCAATTTTTCAGATCTTTGAAAACCAACAGCTACAGTGGATTTGATGTGCATTCTAGGGTCCTGGGTGGGAAGCCTGAATCCCTGGTGATTCTTATTGCCAGAACATTTAAGAAGGTGGGAAAAGCCACCAGGGAGCTCTCCTGCAGAGGACTGGAGAAAATGATGAATCTGAATTACCTCATGGATAGTCGATGATACTGTTTTCTGGAGAATAGGTACAAATTCCTCCACAGGAGAGAATGCGTTGGGTGCCAGGACCTGATACAGACTTAATTTCTTGGCTGAAAAAATAAATTCTGAGGTTGTAAGCACTGCCTGGGATGCTCCAAAGGGTTCAAGCCTTTTATTTTTTTGAGACAGGGTTTTGCTCTGTCACTCAGGCTGGAATGCAGTGGCACAATCGTAACTCACTGTATCCTCAAACTCCTGGACTCAAGGTATCCTCCTGCCTCAGCCTACCTGAGTATCTGGGACTATAGGTGTATGCCACCACGCCCAGATAATTTTATTTTTTATAGAGATGGGGTCTTGCTATGTTGCCTAGGTTGGTCTCAAATCCCTGGTCTCAACTAATCCTTCCTTCTTGGCCTCCCAAAGTGCTGGGATTGCAGATGTGAGCCACTGTGCCCGGCCGGATTCAAGCCTTTTAGTCAGTCACCTGTTTCCTGGGTTCTGCCCTCTTTGGAGATTTACCTTTCAGACCATTGACCTTAAGCCACTCTGCAGAAGTCTTGTCCAAGTTTGGAAACTCAATGGTGAGAGGAGCGTCATGCTTTGGGGGTTTAGGCAAGAGGCTTATGAGTAGCCCATTTGCAATCTCTGTGGAAATCTAAATTAAATGAGAAAGCCCTCATTACATAATCATATTTTAGAGCTGAAAAATCCTCAGTCTTCACCCTCCACCCAGTCAACGCAAGTGGAGCATCTTAAACACTCCATAGTAGATTAAAGGTAGTTTTGCCTTTCCCTTCCGTCATCCCCTCCCCTTCCCTGGAGATTTCTGGAATTTCCAGGGGAAGAGGGAGGAGTACCCAGCAACTCGTTTGCTCTCACAGTGGCCTATGCTCCCGGCTCCCTCCCTAACCTTACCGGGAAGATCAGCACCACGGACTCCAAAATGACAGGTCACCCCTCCATGCTTTGGAGAACTAAAAACTCCTGCAGCAAATCACTTAGTGAGCCCTGACATGGCCACCCTGTGGCCACATTTACAAAGTAAAGAACCGAGGCTCTGAGAGGTTAAATTACATAGTGAATGTAGAAGTAAAACATAGAACAGCAAGTCCCAAACTTCAGAGATTTGAGCACTGCCTTCATGAATTTTGCTATATCTGAGTACTACTGTATTATTATATTTTAAGAATCAACATGTAACATTAAAGCTTTTTAGTTATTAATTTTCTTTAAGTTTAAAAATTCAATCCCTTTCACAGTTTTAGAAAGAAGATCTATGACGACCATAATGAGCTAGTTTGAAATAGATACCATTTAAAAAATATATTAATCCATGCACCACATAAAATCATCTTGCAAACTACAAGTAGTACATGCACTTCATTTTTGGAAACTCTTGGCAAGGTTTTGGGCCTTAGACCTGGGTTCAATCCAAACTCAATCTATTTCTATCTCTGCAATCTTAGGCAAGTGATGTAACCTCTTAGCTTCGGTTTCCTCATCTATAAAAAGTAATAATATACTTAACTCAGACTGTTGTTAAGATAAAACATTTAAATAATTGAACATTGTGCCTATCTTATAACGAGCATTTAATAAATGAGAACTACTATAATTCTTTTTTTTTTTTTTTTTTTTTTTTGAGATGGAGTCTTGTTCTGTCACCCACGCTGGAGTGCAGTGGCACTATCTGGGCTCAATGCAACCTCTGCCTCCTGGGTTCAAGTGATTCTCCTGAGTCAGCTTCCCACATAGCTGGGATTACGGGTGCCTGCCACCACGCCTCACTAAGTTTTGTATTTTTAGTAGAGACAGTGTTTCACCATGTTGGCCAGGCTGGTCTTGAACTCCTGACCTCGAGCGATCCACCTGCTGCAGCCTCACAAAGTGCTGGGATTACAGGTGTGAGCCATCACACCTGGCCAAGAACTATTATAATTCGAATACTAATTGTTGCTATTGTATTTATACATTTTTAAAATTCTTTTTTGAGACAGGGTCTCGCTCCGTTGCCTGGAGTGAGTGGTGCTATTATGGCTCACTGCAGCCTCGACCTCCCAAGTTCAATCATCCTCCCACCTCAGCCTCCTGAGTAGCTGGGACTACAGGCACATGACATCGTGCCTGGCTAATTTTTTAATATTTTGTAGAGATGGTGTTTTGCCATGTTGCACAGGCTGGTCTTGAATGCCTGGACTCAGGTGATCCTCTGGCCTTGGCCTCCCAAAGCACTGGGATTTCAGGTGTGAGCCGTGGCTGAGGTGAGAATGACTCTCTTCAAGACAGCCTATTCTGGGTGGTTGAGGTTTTCATGATTCTCCAGACTGGGGGTAAGGGAGGGGAGTGACAAGACAGAGGGGGTGGCAGGAGCCTGCTGATCTTTCTCTGAGATAAATTTTACAGTTAGTAAATCCACCAGGATCTTTCTGGCACCATGGTGGGCCCACCCAGCCCACCCAACTCAGAGCTCTGGGGTGCAATGAAGGGTGGGCCTTGCCTTGTTTCGATTTTAGGAAGTGACGGGCACCGGCAGCTGTGCCGTCTATGAACAGGTGAGAAAGGGGAACAAGGCCAGCTGAGTGCTGCTGGGAGAAGGCCCCAGAATTGGCACTCACACCACCTACCTCCTCCATGGTGCAGGTGAGCGCCTCACAGGGGCTGCTGTGCCTCAGGGCTTGCATGTGGCTGAGGAGGCTCTGGGCCTTCTGAATTTCTGCCAGGAGCTCATCCATATCCCGGCTGGTGTAGAGCTGAGGGTGGCAAGAGCAATCAGCCAGCCAGAATCACTAGGCTACCTGCAGAGGCCAACCCAGGAAGGGGCAAGCAGCCAGGCCAATGCCCAGGCAGAGGGGCAGACTCTCTCCACTAGGCCTTATAAACTGCTACCCATGTGCCAGGAAGAGCCTGCAGACATGCTGTGCTCCATTTGTGCAACTGACCTGCTGTGTTTTAAAACAATTGGAGTTTTCTAACTGTAAAAGTATAAAGAAACACTTTACATGCACTAGGATGGCTATAATAATAATTATTATTTATTTATTTTATTATTATTTTTAGAGAAAGGGTCTTTTTCTGTCACTCAGGCTGGAGTGCGGTGGTGCAATCATTGGTTACTGCAGCCTCGAACTCCTGGGCTCAAGTGATCCTCCTGTGTCAGCCTCCTGAGTAGCTGTGACTCTCCATATGCTACCACGCCAGGTGAATTTTTAAATTTTTTGTAGAGATGGGCTGTCACTATATTGCCTAGGGTAGTCTCAAACTCCTGGCCTCAAATGATCCTCCTGTCTTGGCCTTCCAAAGCACTAGGATTACAGACATGAGCCACCATGCCTGGTCAAGTCACAGGTTTTAAGATAAAATATTCCTTAAACCAGTCAGTTTCAGTCATTTACTTTACCTTTCTAACCTCTGTAGTGTGAGTCACCTACAGAGAGAGTCCAGATGATGAGGTATCAAGATAGGGTGCTGCCTGAGTTTGGCTCCCTGCTATGACAAGCAGGGACCTTGTGACCTTTGAATTCACTTGTGAGATGCAAACACTCATTTACTCATGGTTATTAATGGTAGGCAAGACACAGCCTGGGAGCGACCAGATGATTGCATTCTTAATCTTCCAAATGGATCTACACACATGTTTGCTAATCGTTGCCTCCCTTGTGAACACAGGGTGGCTGATGTCTAGTTATTAACTGGGACAAGGACAGTAATGGATGGATCGGTACAGAATGGATTGCTCATTTTGCTCTGCAGTGGGTCCCCTGCAGTAGCAGGAGTTGATCTAGGAGAGAAAATCAAGGCAATTCAGACTCAGTGCTTTGCGGGGAGCAGAGCTAGGCTGGGGCCTATATTAACGGCAACTGGAGAGTGATTGAGGATTCTGCAGGCAGGGTTTTAAAAGGCCTCTGGGCTCCCAGGCATGCAATCAATGCATCATACAGGCTGACCAAAGCATCTCCTGTGACTTCAGGTTGTCCCTGTTCTTCCCACATATTCATTCTAACCCGATTTTACCTGTGTAACCTCATTGAATACAGGTGGGGACAGGGAGAAAAGGAGAAACAAGTGTATAGTATGGTCCTGGCCCAGACCTCCTGGGTACAACCTTGGAGGCAGACAAGGAGAGAAGAAGAGGGGCCACGTGTTGCCAGAAGGGCTTACCTCCATCTTTGGGCTGTAGCAGTGGTAGTAGCCCCTAACAGCTTCTGCAAGGTTCTTCAGGACAGCCTGCAGGGATGAGGCCAGGGTCAGCCCTCACTAGGGCAACACCAATACTCCAGTAAGCCTTCTCCTTGACTGAACCTCCCAATTAACCGAAGCTTCCCATTTTACCAAAGGGAGAACCAGGCACAAGGACAGGGGCATTCTCATCCACACTCGGGGGCCTGTCCAAGCATGAGGCCTCAAAGGCCAGCCCAACTGACTACCACCAAAGCCAAGGGACATCTCACAGAATCTCGGGCACTCACAGGGGGCATCTGATCATCGCAGCTGTAGGTGATGAAGTGGATGATGAGGTCTCTTCCCATGGTGGACTGCTGGATGTAGTCGGACAGGATTTCAGAAGGCTGATCTGGGCTGGGGACAAGGCAGAAAAGTGGACACCCCAGGTCAGATCACTTTGAGAACATTTCAGAGCACAATGGTAATTCCCAAGGAACATCTACCCACTCTTAACTGGCCACCTGTGTCCCAGGTCACCTATGCGGGATGCAGGGCTAGGTGGACTGCAGGCCTGGCTGCCCTGCCTCCTCTGCAGATGGGTGGCCTGTGACTGCAGTCCTTCCCTCATGTGTGTGTGTGAAGAGTCATGGTTGATGATCTTTTCTTTCTTTCCTTCTTTCTTTTCTTTCTCTCTCTTCCTTCTTTCCTTCCTTTTCTTTCTTTTCTTTTCCTTCTTTCTTCTTTCTTTTTCTTTCTTTTTTTCTTTTCATTTCTTTCTTTTTCTCTTTCTCTTCCTTCTTTCCTTCCTTCCTTTTTTTCTCTTCCTTATTTCCTTCCTTTCTCTTTTCTTTCTTTCATTCTGTTTCTTTGCCTTTCTCTCTTTCCTTTCTTTTTCTCTCTCTTTCTTTCTCTCTTTCTTTTTCTCTCTCTTTCTGCCTGTGACTGCGATCTTTCCCTCATGTATGTGTGAAGAGCCATGATTGATGATTTTTTTCTCTCTTTCTTTCTTTCCTTCCTTCTCTCTCTCCCTCCCTCTCTCCCTCTCTCTCCCTCCCTTTCCCTCCCTTTCCTTCCTTCCTCTTCCTTCCCCTCCCTCCCTCCCTTCCTCCTTCCTTCCTTCTTTCCTCCTTCCCTCCCTTCCTCCCTTCCTCCCTTCCTCCCTTCCCTCCCCTCCCCCTTCCCTCCCCTTCCCTCCCCTTCCCTTCCCTTCCCTGGGTCTCACTCTGCTACCCAGGTTACAGTGCAGTGGAACAATCATAGCTTACTGCAGCCTTAAACTCCTGGGCTCAAGCAATCCTCCTGCCTCAGCCTCCCAAGTAGCTGGGACTACAGGTGCACACAACCATGACCAGCTAATTTTTATCTTTTTTTAAGAGATAGGTTCTCACTGTGTTGCCCAGACTGGTCACAAACTCCTGGCTTCAAGCAGTCCTCCTGTCTTGGCCTCCCAAAGTGCTGGGATTACAGGCATGAGCCACTGTGACCGGCCAATCTTTTCTCAAACAGTGGTTTGGTTCTTCAGTCCCTTTCGTGTAGTATGTCAACTGCTTAGGAAAGAAGACCTACCAGCTTCTCATGATGACCACCAGGGAATCCAGCCCCTTGAGAGTGAAGATCTTCTTCAGAGCTTGTAGCAGGTTGCTGCCTCCATCAGGCTGCAGTGTCTTTACCCAGAGCTTAAGTTCCTGGAGGCTGGGGGGAGACAACAACAGCAACCTAATTATAAGACTGTTTGTATTTAATTTCATTTTAATTTCTTTTTAGAGATAAGGTCTGGCTATGTCACCCAGGCTGAAGTGCAGTGGTGCAATCATAACTCACTGTAACCTCGAACTCCTGGGCCCAGGCGATCCTCCTGCCTCAGCCTCCCAAGTAGCTGGGACTGCAGGTGTGTGGCATCCTGCCCGGCTAATTTTTATATTTTATGTAGAGGGCTGGGCATAGTGGCTCATGCTTGTAATCTCAGCACTTTTGGGGGCCAAGGTGGGTGGATCACTTGAGGTCAGGAATTCAAGACCAGCCTGGCCAACATGGTGAATGCCATCTCTACTAAAAATACAAAAAAAATTAGCCAGCTGTGGTGGCACATGCCTGTAATCCCAGCTACTTGGGAGGGTGAGCAGGAGAACTGCTTGAACTCCAGAGGTGGAAGGTTGCAGTGAACTGAGATTGTGCCACTCTCACTGCGCTCCAGCCTGGGCAACAGAATGAGACTCTATCTCAAAAAAAAAAAAAAAAAATTATGGAGAGATGGGGGTCTCACTGTGTTGCCCAGGCTGGTCTTGAACTCTTGGCCTCAAGAGGTCCCCCTCCCTAGCTTCCCAAACAGCTGGGATTATAGGTGTGAGACCCTACACCTGGCCTGTAGTATTAGGTACCAGGCCCAGGACAAATATTAGCTCATTTAAACCTAATGATAACTTGTTGAGGCAGTACCTTTATTCCCATTTTGCAGATGAGGAAACTGAGTTAGGACTTGCCCAAGGTGATAATGTAAGCAACTTTTAAAACTGAGATTTCAAACCAGGTCTGACTCTAAGATCTGAGCTTTTAGAAATTGTGCTATGTGAGGGTCTGGGGCTGAGTTCCTTCTTCCCCATGGCTACTCTCTTGGGAGCCAGCCCTCAACAGGAGGCATGGAGTTAATTCCGCGACCCTAAGAAGGCTCTAAGAGAAAGCATTATGGCTGTGTGGCTTATGTCCCACGTGGGTTGGGGTATACACCACTGGTGAGAAGAAAAATAACTTGATTCTTTCTTGGCTAAAATTTTGCACAACACTAGTGAAAGAGGTCTGTTCTTTCTACTTCAAAAAATCAAAAATCTGAAAGAGAAAATCTCAGTGTGGTGCTAATAAGTTCATCTTTCATGATCATAACTGTCAAGTCTCCTTTTTGAACAGCAAGAACAAGTCCCAGGTCTAGCGCCTTCTCTAGCCAATAGATTTAAGCTGGAATTTAAAACCATTGTTTTTCTCTCATTGTATTTATTTATATGGCTGCTTTTTTTTTTTTCTCAAAGCCATTAAAGAAAGATATATGGTTGCTTTCTAATTATAGAAATATAATTACATGATTATAGAAGTATAACCATGCAAGTGATATGAACTTCTCAGTTATGGTATTGATAGAAAGTTTCCTTCAGGCCAGGAGCAGTGACTTATGCCTGCAATCCCAGCACTCTGGGAGGCTGAGGAGGGAGGACCACTTGAGGCCAGGAGTTCAAAACCAGTCTGATCAACATAGCCAGACCCCATCTCTACAAAAAAGGAAAAATTTAAAAAATTAGTTGGGCACACCCTTGTTGTCCTAGCTACTGGGGAGGCTGAGGCTGGATGATCATTTGAGCTCAGGAGATAAGATGGCAGTAAGCTATGATTGTACCACTGCACTCCAGACGTGACAGAGCAAGACCTTGTCTCAAAACAAAACAAAACAAAACAAAAAAAAACAAGTTTCTTTCAATAAAAAATAAATAGAATTGAAGTAAAGAAAAATCAACAATAGTACACATGGTAGGCCGGGCACAGTGGCTCACGCCTGTAATCCCAGCACTTTGGGAGGCCACGGAGGGCGGATCACTTGAGGTCAGAGTCCGAGACCAGCCTGGCCAACATGGTGAAACCTCGTTGCTACCAAAAATACAAAAAAAAAAAAAAAAAAAATTAGCAGGGCATGGTGGAGCACACCTGTAATCTCAGCTATTTGGGAGGCTGAGGCAGGATAGTTGCTTGAACCCAGGAAATGGATGTTGTGGTGAGCCAAGATCGCACTACTGCATTCCAGCCTGGGTGACAGAGTGAGACTCCATCTCAAAAATAAAATAAAATAAAATAAAATAAAATAAAATAAAATAAAATAAAATAAAGTAAAATAAAACAAAACAAAACAAAACAAAACAAAACAATAGTACACATGGTAAAGATATGACATAGGGATATGACAAGAGAATTCTAGGAGTTCCTGAAGATGCAGAACTTTTGGCTGCCATCCATTAACAACCCAGGGGTCACTGCTCCACCTAAAGTGGAAATCAGAGTACAAAATGCTCTCCTTCACCAAAATGCTCTCGTTCATTGAGTACCTGGCACTAGCCTGGTACTTTGTTTTCATTTCATCTCCATAACAGTCCTGTGAAGAGTGGGTAGGATTGGCCTTGTTTTGCAAATGAGAGAGTTAAGGGACTTGTCAAGAACACGCAGTGACTGTTGGGGTTGGGATTCAAAGCCAGAGGGCCAGAAGTGGGCAATTCTCTATCTAGAAGGGCTCTTCTTTACAGCTAGTGCTGGCGAGGGGGCCTCCCTCCTAGAAATCTAAGCACATGCTTTTTTTTTTAACTTTTAAATTTTTTTTGGAGACAGGGTCTCTCTCTGTCACCCAGGCTGGAGTACCATAGCTCACTGCAGCCTCGACCTCCCTCCCAGTCTCAATCAAACCTCCCACCTCAGCCTCCCGAGTAGTTGGGACTATAGGCACATGCCATCACACCCTGCTAATTTTTAAATTTTTTGTAGAGATGGGGTCTCACTGGGTTGCTCAGACTGGTCTCAAACTCCTGAGCTCAAGCGATCCTCCCACCTTGGCCTCCCAAAGTGCTGGGATTATAGGCATGAGCAACTGGCCCTGGCCAAAGCACGTGCATTTTCCTGGGATCTGGAATCCAATCCTGGCTTTGCCACATTGGGCATCTTCCCTAAGCTGAGTCTGCATTTTCTCATCTGCAAAATGAGGATAATAATCCTATTCCATGGGGTGGCTATATATACTAAATACAATCATCCATGCAAAGTACCTAGTATGGCAACCAACACATGGTGGGTGACTGAGGACATTCCTTTCATGGAAAAGAAATTTCTACTCACCGGATAAATAGAAATTCTTACATACCTCCCTTCTATCCCTCAAAAAAAAACCCCAGGCTAGAAACCCCCAACTAAAGGACATCCATGCAGTAGAGTACTATGTAGCCATTAAAACAAATGAGGTAGATTTGTATGCATTGACAGAGAAAGAGATTCAAGACCAGCTAGAAAGCCAAAGCACAGAGCAGTGTTATATAGGTCCTGTTTATGTCAAAATAAGAAGGTAAACACATAGATGCATGTGTGTGCAAATATTATTTGTGGAAGTGATATAAGGAACTATTTTGGGCCAGGCACAGTGTCTCACATCCGTAGTCCCAGCACTTTGGGAGGCCAAGACTGGAAGAGCACTTGAGGCCAGGAGGTCAGGACCAGCCTGGACGACATCGCAAGATCCCATCTTTACAAAAATAAACAAAATGGCTGGGTGTGGTGGCTCATGCCTGTAATCCCAACACTTTGGGAGGTCAAGGTGACAGATCACTTGAGATCAGGAGTTCGAGACCAGCCTGGCCAACATGGTGAAACCCTGTCTCTGCCAAAAAATGCAAAAGTTAGCTGGGCATGGTAACGCATGCCTGTAGTCCCAGCTACTTGGGAGGCTGAGGCACGAGAATCACTTGAACCCATGGGGTGGAGGTTGCAGTGAGCCAAGATTATACCACTGTACTCCAGCCTAGGCAACAGAGACCCTGTCTAAATAAACAAATAAAAAGGTAGCAGGGTGTGGTGGCACATGCCTGTAGTCCCAACTACTAAGGAGGCTGAGGTGAGAGGATTGCTTAAGCCCAGGAGGTCAAAGCTGCAATGAGCTATGATTGTGCCACTACACTCCAGGTTGGGAGACACAATGAGATCCTGTCTTTAAAAAAAAAAAAAAAAAAAAAGAGGGGGACTCATTTACTATTATTTATCATCCTTTCATACTGTTGGAATTTTTAAAAACATGTATGTCTTATTTTCACAATAATAAAACTATCTTTGCTAGTTTAGGGGTAAAAACAGGTCTTGTGGTCACCTTATCTGTCAGTTTATGAACTGCTGCATGGCCATCTTTCCAAAAATTGTTTCTGCTTTTGTGAGTTGTCTCTTTGTACTCACTTATCTAGTAGTGTCCTGGGGTTTGCAGTTGAATTATTCAATAAAGACTCTGCTGGTTAGGGAGGAAAATGAAAAAGTCAATATCACCGTCAGGCAGGAAAGCCACTCACACAGAGGCGCTGACTTCCATGGGGTCCGGCCAGAGGGACCTGGCGTTGGTGCCAAAGGACAGGACAAATAGCTTCTCCTTGTGGCTCAGCTGCTCATCGATGAGGCTCTGTTGGACAAAAGGACGTCACTGGCTCCCATAGCCAGGGGAATGTGGAGCCTGGCTTTGCCTCTCTCGCCTTAGCCGGCCCCTCTGGGCTGGGTCTGAGCTGTGCTGAAATATGGTTGCTTGAGGCTGGACTTAGCAGCCAGCCCCAAGCCAACATTTGCTTCCCACCTGCCGGGCCTCCTGTGGGTGGGATGAGCATCTGGGCTGCCATCTCAGTGTGCTATGGTTGGCCCCTTGGCACTTACCTGTGGCACCTGGAGAGGGAGGACAGAGGTCGGGGCAGTGGTTTCTCTCTAAGGCATGTGAGCTGGAGATGGAGCTGGTGAGTATCCATAACTTCTCCCTCTTCTTCCTGGCCAGCTAGAAATTCCACCTGTATGCCACCCCATGAGCTCTGCCCTGGCTAATAGTAGACCACTCCACCTGAGGGATCTTTGGAAACTCTGTCCTGAGGACTTGTCATGAAGGGGGAGATTGCTCTGCAACCTGTCCCCTGACATCCACTGAGACCAGGAACAGGGAACAAGTCTGGAGGACAGCCCCACACTGAGCCTCATAAAGGCTCTGCAGGACCTGTACAAAATACAACGGGCTGTTGCTGCCATGGTACCCATAAGAAAATAGCCTGTCCACACCACATCAGGCTGCAGAGGCTTTTCTCCAGGCCAGACTTCTCACTGCACACTTATGAGAAGACTTCTCACAGAGCACTTCACTTGTACAAGCTCCTTTTACCCTTATGGCAACCCTAGGTAGTCACTGTTATCATCCCCATTTTACAGAGGAGGTAAGTAAGACACAGAGAGATTAGTTAACGCAGTCACATGGCCTGGAATTGGTGGAGGTGGCTGGGATTTGACTCCAGCCATCTGACTCTAGTTCTTAGCTTCTCCACTATGGATGTGAGTTGGGGATGGAGCAATGGGCAACACCAGCCTGTTCACTGCTCTCAAGCTAGAGCTGGTGAGTATCCAATGGGAACCATAACTCCAAAGAAACCAGAATAGCTCCTCCATCCAGAAAGGGCCAGAAGCCCTGTGCTGTGCTATGCTATGCAGGAGTCTTCACATCCTCTTTCCAGGGAAACATGGGAGCTCTTGAGTCAAAGTCTAGTTGGCAGGTACTGTCGTGGTGAGAATACTGGAAGTTCACACTACAACCGAAAATGACTCTGTGGTTGGGTTTTGTAGAATTCAACATAGTTCTCTAACCGTAGGTGCTAATTAAGTGTGAACTGTTCTTTATAAGACACCCTATCTTGCATTTGCTATAAACAGGCTAGTCAGCAAGCTCAGGAAGGAAAGGCTGGGGGTGGTGGGTGGTTCCAGGTGTTTCAGTGCGCCAGACAGACTTACCATGAGGTCCTTTTGGAACTCCTCTTTCTGAGGGCCACTGCTGACGGCTGACACATCTATGAGGATGCTGACTCTGGCCCCTTTGATGAGGCCAAATGCCTAAAACCAAAGAGGGCATTTGGAAACAGCCAGTACAAGTCTGTGCGTCTCCTACACTGAGCTGCTCTGTGCGATGCAGTGATGCGAACACTTCCCTCATCCCTAACAAGCAGCAGCAGACAGAAACCCCATTTTACAAGGGAAAAGCAAAACCCAATATCATGACTTCAACTCTGGGCATGACTGCTCTTATTTTGTGGCAGCCTCTTCTTTGTAAGTTTTTTCCCCTTATATTTCTTGTCTAATCTTATGAAGTAATACATGGTCATTGTAGAAAATCTGGAGACTGTAGAAAAGCACCCTTTGTTTGAAGATATAAAATTTGATGGCTATTTATATTAGCTTATCTGATTTAATTTCTCTATATCCTTATTTATTTTTTGCCTACTCTACCGATCAAAGGCAGATGTGTTAGGCTCACCAGCTGCAATGGTATCTCTGTGAGTTTCTAATTATGTTTCTTGTTTCTTCTTTTTGAGATGGGGTCTTGCTATATTGTCGAGGTTGGTCTCGAACTCCTGGGCTCAAGCAACCATGTGTCACCACATCCAAGTTTCTAATTATGTTTCTAAATGGTATTATTACTCTACAGTTATTACTCCTTGACTTATGATGGGGCCACGTCCTGATAAACCCATCACAAGTGGAAAAATCATAAGTCGAACCATTCTAAGTCAAGGACTGTCTGTATTACTTGTCGATGCTGTTTGATTCTGCACATAAATGTTCATCTTGTTAAAGCTGCATTGTGGATTGGAACTTTCATTCATATGAAACTGATAGTTCTCTAGGGACAGTAGGTTCCATTTGGTGTTTTTCCTTAAATCCTACTTTATTGGATATCTAATTTTCCTGTTGAATTCACTCTTCTGCTCTCAGAGAGTATTTTATATCTTCTCTTACACCTGCAGCACTCCCTTTCTGTACTCTCCCAGCAAGTGATTTTGCCTCCAATTTTGCTGAGAAAACAGAAACAAATTGGAGAGAATTAAAAAAAATCTTTCCATGCAGAGTCTACTGACCTACCAGCCCATAGCCCTACACACTTCACCTTTTTCCAGTTAAAATGCATCTAAGGCCAACCAGCAACGGTCTAGGCTAACCTTTGACTTGCATCACTGGATCTTCTCTTGCTAAATAGGAACTCTGCTTCTGTGTCATCCCTTCTCCTGGATCATCCATTCCTATTGATTGTACAACTTCCATCATCATACGAACAGGTTATAATATCGCCCATCTTAAAAAAGATATAGACCTCTCAGGATGCCACCTCTCCCTCCTGCTGCTGTTTCATTTTTCGGCTCTCCATCTTAGCCACACATCCTTACCTCCCGGGGACCCATTCAAGTTAGGTTCTCACCTTCCTATTCCTCTGAAACCACATGTGTCAAGGTGATCAATGACCTTTGTCTTGCCAAGCCCAAGGGTTAAATCCAAATTCTCAACTTTCTCGAACTCTGAGTAGCATATAGCACAGTTTGACTGTGTCAAGAGTTTAACAAGTTAAAACACTTTGTACATGTGTCTTCCAGGACACCACATTTTCCCACTTTCCCCTCTATTCACTGCCCAGATTTTCTTAATTTCCTTTCCTAGAGAGTCCCTCCTCCTTGTTCCAAAGTCACAATACTTGCGTGCCCTAGGAACTTGCTTCTGAGGGTGTGGGTCATGGGCCGACAGCATCACCATCCCTCAACTTGTTAGAAATGCAGTCTCAGGTCCCACTCCAGGCTTACCTAATTAGAGTCTTTATTTTAACAAGGGCTTCCAGGTGCGCAGTGGCACAATCGTAGCTCACTGCAGCCAGGAACTCCTGGGCTCAAGTGATCCTCCTGCCTCAATCTCCTAAGTAAGCTGGGACTATAGGTGTGCGCCACCACACCTGGCTATTTGGTTTTTTAATTTTTTTGTAGAGATAGGGTCTTACTGCATTGCCCAGGCTGGTCTTGAACTCCCGGCCTCAAGTGACCCTCCAGCCTTGGCCTCCCAAAGTGCTGAGATTGCAGCCACGAGCCATCACGCCTGGCCACTCTCTTCTTTATCTACCCCAGGGTTTGCCAGCTTTGGCACTACTGATATTTGGCACTATTGACATTTGGGCTGGATAATTATCTTTTGTAGGGAGCTGTCTTGTGCATTACAGGATGGTGAGCAGCATCCCTGGCTGCTGATAAACTAGATGTAGGTAACAACCCCTCTCCTCCAGCCATGACAATCAAAAATGTCTCCAGACATTGCCAAATGTTCCTGTGGGGAAAAATCTCCCCTGGTGGAGAACTACTGTTCTTTGATCACCTCCTCAGTGATCTGAGTGTCATGCCTTTGAATACCATCCAAACGCTAATAATTATCTGAGGTCCATCTTCAGATTTCTCTTGGAACTTCAGACCTGTGCACCCAACATCCTGCTCCGCTTCTCTGTCTGGAAGTCTACTAAGTCCCTCAGGCTTCACATGTCCAAAACAAGACCTCTTGGTTTTCCTTCTCAAGTCTGTTTCTCCCTCAGCCTTCCCCATCTCAGTAAATGCCATTCAACACTGGCCCAGGTGCTCTGGCCCCAAACCTATCTAATCCATCAGCAAGTTCTGCTGGTCCTACCTTCCAGCTGTGCGTTGAATCTACCATATATCATTCTGTCGACCCTAGAGCTTGAGTCTAAGCCTCCATCGTTCTCACCCAGTGCAGTTGTCGTGTTTCCACTTTTACCCCCTGTATAGTCAAGTTATGCAGCAGCCAGTGTGATTCTTTTGAAACTTGTCAGATCAGGTCACTCCCCGGCTTTATTAAAGCCTTCATCTTTGGAATCAGGCCCTCCTGGACTTCAACCTGCTCATCTAACCTTGTCTCCTTTCTCCACGTAGCTCACTCTGTGCTTGCTGCACTGGCCCATGTGCTGCTTCTGGAACATACCAAGCTCATTCCTGCCTCAAGACTTTTGGACTTGCTGTCTCCTCTGCTTGGAACATTCTCCCCAAAATATTGGCAGGGCTCACCTCTGCACTTTCTTTAGGTACCTTTTCAAATATCTCCTCTTTAGAGTAAGTATTCTCAACCATTCCATTTATTTATTTTTTATTTTATTTTTGAGAGGGAGTCTCACTCTGTCTCCCAGGCTGGAGTGCAGTGGCATGATTTCAGCTCACTGCAACTCTGCCTCCTGGGTTCAAGCAATTCTCCTGCTTTAGCCTCCCGAGTAGCTGGGATTACAGGCGCCCATCACCATGCCTGGTTAATTTTTGTGGTTTTAGTAGAGATGGGGTTTCAGCATTTTGGCCAGGCTGGTCTCAAACTACTGACCTCAAGTGATCTGCCTGCCTTGGCCTCCCAAAGTGCTGGGATTACAGGTGTGCATCGCCATGTCTGGCCTCAACCATTCCATTTAAATAGGCCTTCTGTTCCACTCTTGGTTCCCTTACTCAGCTTTGTTTCTTTTTACAGCACATAAGCTCCACGAAGACAGGACCTTAGTATTAGTCATGGGTTTTTTTCCCCCCAGTGAACCATTCCTTTAGCAAGTACTGGTCATGTTGGTAGTCTCAATCCTAGAACAGTGTCTGTTATACAATGACTCAATATGTGTTTGTTGAATTCATGACCCAAATATGGCACAAGGCTTTCTAGGGTATTGCCAGTCTGGAGGCAAGAAGTTGAAATCTAGAGCCAGTTCTATTTCTTTTAAATTAAAAACAAGCTGCCATGAGGACTTTACAGCTTTTGGAATTGAAAACATTCATTTCCTAAACCTAGCCATTGAAGTTCTAGACATTTATTCCATAGAAATAACTGGACAAGTATGTTAGAGGCAACTGGAGCCGGGTAATACCAGATAGTCTCATTTTTCAAGAGAAGTCTGATAGCAGACATGAAAGTGAAATATCAGGATTTTAAAAATCTTGGCAACTAATTTGAAAAATATTTAAAACTAGGGAGCCTGGAACAGCATGGCTGTGGGCCAGATTTGGCCTGCATGCCACTAGTTTATAACTTCTCCTTTTATCCTCTGCAGACACAGATCCAGAGAAGCGAGGCCACTTTCTAGGGCCTTAGTAAGAGAGCAGAACAGGAATGGTGACCAGCGATTATCTGGCCATCATATCAGGCTGCCTGCCTCAACACCCAGGGAGCCGGTGAGCTGATTCACAGGTGATCGCTTCCCTGGGCCCTTCCATGGTTTCTCTGTAGCTCTGTCAGAAAGGGGTGGCAGGAAGAAGGGGCTATCGATCCCCGTCAACTTTGACAAAGGTGACAGGATGGGGTGATAGGGGTGGGTCGGTAAGAGCAGCATGTGCTACGTGGATGCCTATGGAGTATGGGAGGATTTCATTCCTCTGGGGTCTCTCTGCCTGTTACCATGGGCAACCAGAGGGGTCCAGCTATAGCCGCAGACAAGCATCTGCTTACTCAACTTGTCCAAGCGAGTGAAGGAGGTTCTGGATCTGAGGTGTAGACCACACCCTGGAATTGGCGGGACAGACAGGCTTAGCACTATGTTGTTACCCACTGTCCTGGGTAGAGGTGGGGATTGGGAGTAGGGAGCATGACTTTTAGCATCTGCTTTTCCCAGGGTTTAAAGCAAGAGTTGAAGATTGTGCCTAAGGGTGGAAGCAAACGGGAAGCCAGAAAAGTGCCAGTTGATAGCAATTAAGCTAAAACAAATAAGAAAGCAAATCAAAGGTTAATTTGCCCATGATCACTCATTTACCCTTGGGTTCTGAGAAAAACATTTAATTAAATTTTTTTTTTTTTTTTAAAAGACAGGTCTTGCTCTGTCATCCAGGCTGGAGTGCAGTGGCCCAATCATAGCTCACTGCAGCCTTGAGCCTCCTGGGCTCAAGAAATCCTCCTGCCTCAGCCTCTCAAGTAGCTGGGACTACAGGTGTGCACCACTACGCCTAGCTCTTAATCAAACTTTTGCGGTTTGTTTGTTTGTTTTTGAGATGGAGTCTCACTGTGTCGCCCAGGCTAGAGTGCAATGGCGTGATCTCGGCTCACTGCAACCTCCACCTCCTGAGTTCAAGCAATTTTCCTGCCTCAGCCTCCAGCACAGCTGGGATTACAGGCATGCATGACCACGCCTGGCTAATTTTTTGTATTTTTAGCAGAGACAAGGTTTCACCACGTTGGCCAGGCTGGTCTTGAACTCCCGACCTCAGGTTATCCACCTACCTAGGCCTCCCAATGTGTGGAGATTACAGGCATAAGCCACTACGCCCAGCCCTTAATCAAACTTTTAAGAAAAGTGATATCCAGATGATCAGCCTTAGTCTTCTAAATCTCATTGTGGGTCTGAAGTTAAATGCCTAGTGCACATCTGCATTCTCACCTGCCTAGCACCCGTTCCCCCTTCTGGTAACAGTGCTCTGGCCTTCCACATGCAACCATCTGTCTCCCTTTCTCAGTCCATGAGGGCTGGGGGGGCTAACCCCCAGTCTCTTTCCCCTTCCCCCATGTCTTTTTTTTTTTTTTTTTTTTTTTTTGCCCCAGAAGTGAGCACTAGTTCCAGGCCTAGTCAGATAGTATATTTCATCTCCTTGGCTATGTTGATTGGTGTAAATTGGTCAATGGGAGTCAATCCCAGGATTCGGAAATTGTGCAGGGAACAGGAAGTGAGGTTCCTTTCTACTGGAGCTGCTGATCACCACCTTCCTACGCCCGAAGAGAGATGTCCCGAGAATAAAACCAACTCAGAGGCAAGCAGAGCCCACAGGCCTAGAGGTGACATCATCTGAGCACCTGGATCCAGCTGTGGCTTGGGTTTTCATTTATGTAGGTTAGTAAATGCCTTTTTTAGCTTAAGCCAATTTACATTGGAGGGCTATCATTTGCAACTGAAAGGGTTCTAACAAATACAGATGGAATGAGTGAAAGGGGGCAAAGAATTAAACCTACGCCCGTTACCTTCTTGCTGTTTTCTGTTAGCCACTGAATTCTCTCTTGATAGACTTCAATAGTGCTGTCAAGACATCAGAAAGACTCATCACCCAAGGTCAGTATCCTCACTGAGCAACAACAGCCACTTACATACACAAAACGCAGGTATGAATTTTTTTTTTTTTTAATGTGCATAGGGTCTTGGAAGAAGGTGGTGAACATTTTAAGTGCACTGTAGTGCACGCCTGTAGTCCTGGCTACTCAGGAGGCTGACTTGATCACTTGAGGCCAGGAGTTCAAGACCAGCTTGAACAACCTAGTGAAACCCTGTCTCTACAAAAAATACAAAAATTTGCTGGATATGGTGGTGCATGCCTGTAGTCCCAGCTACTCAGGAGGCTGAGGTGGGAGGATCACTTGAGCCCAGGAGTTCAAGGCTTCATGGAGTTATGATTGTTCCACTGCACTCAAGCCTGAGCAAAATCAAGCAAAGACAAAACTGAAGATACTTGGTTTGCCAGGGCACTAGGTATAAGGGGATTGCAAAAGGGATCGAGTTTATAGGTGCCGCTCTACTGGTAACACAGCGCACAGGATAAATGACAATGGTTTGGTGGATCAAGCAGTGGAATCAGGCCCTCCCGGACTTCAACTTGCTCATCTAACCTCGTCTCCTTTCTCCACAAAGCTCACTCTGTGCTCATTCTGCCCGGTGTGGACAGGTCTGTGGAGGATGGGGGAGGGTGTTCTTATGAGAAAGTTGGAAGACCACCCTTGCACTTGCTCGAATCTGTGGCTTCTCAGAAGAAATTGTTCCTAGTCTCCTGGAAACTGATCATAAAGGCACAACAGAGGCAGTTAAGCAATCATTTCCACTGGATTGATTAACAAAAAACCTAGTTTCTGAAAAGTAGCTGGGGGACCTTTTGGAAGTTGCCTTATTGCATGCCTGGCTGGAGACTAGCATATATCATGTACACAAGGTAAGGACTCAGTCACTTGAATTTAATTGACTTGTCCTCACTGGGGGCAGGTGAGATTTAGGGGCCTAGAGAGGGACAAAAGAGGTCTTTGGAAATGAGATCATGGGGTAGTGGGTAGTAGATAGAGTCATAAGTGATACATGAGTTATGAATAGAGCTAAGAGGATGAGCTTTATTTTTATCTTCTTCTTATTTTTATTTGAGACAGGGTCTCATTCTGTTGCCCAGGCTGGGGTGCAGTGGTACAATCATGGCTCACCGCAGCTTCAACCTTCCTTGGCTCAGGTGATCCTCTCACATCAGCCTTTAAGTAGCTGGAACTATAGATGCACACCATCACAACTGGCTAATTTTTATATTTTCTGTAGAGCTGGGGTTTCATCATTTTTCCCAGGCTGGTCTGGAACCCCTGAACTCAAGCGATCCTCCCGCCTCAACCTTCCAACATGTTGCGATTACAGGCGTGAGCCACTGTGCCCAGTTGAAGATGAACTTTATAATAAAACATGTTTGTGTTCAAGATCTAGCTTTGCCATCTACTAGCTGTGTGACCTTGGACAGGTGTGGTAACCTTTCTGAGCCCCAGTTTCACCATCTCCAACATGAAGGTAACAACAGGATTTGTTACCTTCAATTTGCTAAAAGTCAATTTACTGAAAGCCAATCCTCTGAAAACCAATTTGCCAAATGACCAATTAGCTAAATAGACTTGAACATTCCTTAAAATGCTGGATTCACAATTAAAACTGATAAACCAAAATATTGCAGAATTCTTTAAAACCTGTTTCAGCTTCCAACCTAATAAAAGTTACTATAAATTCTACAGTTCAATGGTTTTGAGAAATTTGAGCAATTGGTCATTCCATGAATGGCCATTCAGCAATCAACTTCTGGTTAACTGTCTTGAGAGTAATGGTTTTATAAGGGGAAACCCCTTTCTCTTGATTCTCATTCTTTCTTTGCTGGCTGCCTTGTAAGATGTCCCTTTGCTCTTCCTTCATCTTCTGCCATGAATCATGTGGAACTGTGGGTCCATTAAACCTCTTTCTTCTTAAATTGCCCAGTCTCAGGTATGTCTTTATCAGCAGCGTGAAAATGGACCAATACACATGTGCTATCAAAATCTGGTTTAGGAGTGGGGATGCATGCACGTTTTTGCCATATATTTGCAAAGGTATGAACGCAATCAATTTGACATTGAAAGTCATTACTCTTAACCATTAAACACCAGATGAAGCTGTGTCATCCAAGGGATTATGGATTTCATTTTATATTTTTTTAGAGATAGGGTCTTATTCTGTTGCCCAGGCTGGAGTGCAGTGGTATGATCATAGCTCACTGCAACCTCGAACTTCTGGGCTCAAGTGATCCTCCCAACTTCGTCTCTCAAAGCGCTAGGATTATAGGCATGGCCCACCATGCCTGGCCCTAGACTATGGATTTGAAAAGGCTGAGAGACATTGATCTGGTCCAACCTTTCTATTTGAGAAAAGAGGAAATTGGGGCTAGAAGTGGGAAGAGACCTGCCCATCTCCCTGGGTGGTAGACTTTTTTTTTTTTTTTTTTTTTTTTTGAGACAGGGTCCCACTCTATTGCCCAAGGTCTCACAGATATTGCTGTTTGAACAAAGTTACTTCCAGGCTACCAAAATGACATAATTCTTTTTTTCTTTCTTTCTTTTTTTTTTTTTTTGAGACAGAGTTATGCTTTTGTTGCCCAGGCTGGAGTGCAATGGCATGATCTCAGCTCACTGCAACCTCCACCTCTCGAGTTCAAGCGATTCTCCTGCCTCAGCCTACCGAGTAGCTGGGATTACAGGCATGCGCCACCAGGACTGGCTAATTTAAAAAATATATATTTTTAGTAGAGACAGGATTTCACTACGTTGGCCAGTCTGGCTTCAAACTCTTGACCTCAAGTGATCCACCTGCCTCGGCCTTCCAAAGTACCGGGATTAGAGGCATGAGCCACCATGCCCAGACTGAAATGACATAATTCTTGAGCTCCGTGGTGTTGGGAGGATGCTAAGAAACATACTTACTCAGAAAGCTTTGACTCAAAGTGGCGGATGATCTGGGTGGAGAAACGTATTTTCTGCACAACATTGGTGTCCTCCTCCCTGAAGAAGCAAAGCCTTATGAGGGGGTCTCTCAGGCCCAGGGGGCTGCATATGTTGCTGCAGCTGTGGGGGTTGTGGGGAACAGCTTCAGACTTACAGCACTTCTGTGCCCTGGCTTATCAGGTCAGCCAAGGTAAGCTTCTGACACTTTAAACTGTGAGCCGAAAGCCAGTCTTCAGAGTCCTCCCAATCTGAAGACTGGGTCTCACTCGCCTGCAGCCTCTGCAAGACAAAAACCAGAATCAAACAGAGAAGTAGAAAGAGAGGGAAGAGGTTCCCTTCACACAGATACCCAACGGGGGCCAACTCAGACTGATCCTATCTTTTTTTTTTTTTTTTTTTTGAGACGGAGTTTCACTCTTGTCACCAAGGCTGGAGTGCAGTGGTATGATCTTGGCTCACTGCAACCTCTCTGCCTCTCGGGTTCAAGTGATTCTCCTGCCTCAGCCTCCCAAGTAGCTGGGATTAAAGGCATGTGCCACCACGCTCGGCTAATTTTTGTCTTTTTAGTAGAGACGGGTTTTGGCATTTTGGCCAGGCTGGTCTCAAACTCCTGACCTCAAGTGATCCACCAGCCTTGGCCTCCCAAAGTGCTGGGATTACAGGCATGAGCTACCATACCTGGCCCCCTGGTTTGTCTGTTTTAGAGACAGCGCCTTGCTCTGTCACCCAGGCTGGAGTGCAGTGGTGTGATCATAGCTCACTGCAGCTTCAAAGTTCTGGGCTCAAGTGACCTTGCCTTAAGTTCTGTGCCTGAGGTCTGCTCTGCCCTCTGTCTCAAAGGGAAATTAGCAAGTGTTGAAGAAGTGTGAAAAACACTCTTATAATTACTGCAAATACTTAGATAGCACTTATTACATGTTAAGAACTTTCCATACATTAACTCATTTAATTTTACAAAGTAGGTTCCATTATGGTAACCCCATCTTGCTGACCAGGGAACTGAGGTACAGATAATTTAGGTAATCAGTCCAAGGTCATGCAGCTAGAAAGTGGCAGATGTGGAATTCAAACCCAGGCTGTGAAGCTCAAGTCATGCTTCTAACCATGGTACTATGTTGTCCCTCTAAACTAGCACCAAACTGTGACCATCTCCATGAAGGAGTGAGAGCACTGAGGGGCCAGATTACTTTCTCATTGTGTGATTCTATACTAACAAATGTCCTGCCCTTGAAAGGCACCACCTAAAATCATAGGTCTCTGTCGCATATCTAGGGAAACACAGCTCTCTATCACATGGACACTAGATGTCACTCTTTTCACCTTTCAGACTCAACCCTCTCCCTGGTTGGAAACACTGAGCATGGTAGACTTTTTTTTTTTTTCTTTTGAGACAGGGTCTCATTTTATTGCCCAGGCTAGAGTGCAGTGCCACAATCTCAGCTCACTGCCAAAATCTCAGCTCATTGCAGCCTCAGCCTCCCAGGCTCAAGTGATCCTCTTTCCTTGGCCTCCTAAGTAGCTGGGACTATAGGCATGTGCCACCATACCTTGCTAATTTGTGTATTTTTTTTTTTTTTTTGGTGGAAACAGGGTTTCACCATGTTGCCCAGGCTGGCCTCAAACTTCTAGACTCAAGCGATCCTCCCATCTAGGCTTCCCAAAGTGCTGAGATTACAGATGTGAACCACCGTGCCTGGTGAGCATGGTGGACTTAATAATTCACCTTTCTTCCATCTGTGTTGATTTTAAAATAATGTCACGTTTTAGGACACAGATTTTGTATTATTCATACTTGAAGACACACTATTAAACACATTATGGATTCTGACTTTAGGCCATGCTGATTATGTAACTCAACTAGTTCATTTGCATAGAGAATGGTAAGATCTTTGTGTTGGAGCAATCCTTTCCCTCTTTCCTTCAGGTTCATCTGCAAGGCAAAGGAGGCCCCAGCTGTGGCTGATAAATATAAGAATGATCCTGTGTACACCTGGGAAGTCATGCATTTTGATATAAAATTAGAGGAAAGATGCATGTCATCAACATCTGAACTCATTACAAGACTTCTTCAGAATCTCAAAACTCTATCAACCTTTCCTCATCTCCTGTAATTAAACTTGCTTTCCTGTAAGTGCCAGAACCTAAGTAAATCATGAGTATTTTTCTGATTGTTTAATTGCCAGCATTATAACTGGATTGTTTTTGACTATCATTTCAAAGGTATCATATTTAAACTCTAGTGTGGGTTAGATACATGGTTGTGCACTAGCCTTGCTTGAACATGGCAACCACTGATTGCCATTGTTTCCCTGTTAGAATGAATTCTGAGTTCTATACAATCCACTCATCCTCTTGGGAAGGCCCATTGAAGGTCAGCCTAAAATTGTAGTCTGGTTAGAGGTTTATTCTCCTATTATGCCCCATTTGTCCAACAGCACTTCCTGAAATGGATTTCTGAATCTAGATTTCAGGGAATCTCAAAAGCAAAGCAAATTTCAGGAAGGGGAATTTTAGAATCAAATGCTTAAGACTTCAGGCCTTGATAGCATGATCAGAGTCTTCACATGCTCCTGAATATTTAGTGACATGGCCAAATAGGCTATACAACTTCTATATAAACAGAGAGATTCTTCAGTCATTTCTAAAGGCAGAGGATTAGAGATAAATGCTTAATTAATCTTTTTCAGTCCTAGAATCCTATGAGAAGGAAGAAATCCCCAGAATTTAGCACATTCTGCATTCCCTGAATGATTTGTAGTATCACCACCCAGTTAAAGTGCCATGGTCTTTACCAGTAAGTCCTGTGTCTGGTTAACGTGTGTAACCAGTAATCCATTGTCTGAATTCTGACCAAGTCCATTCACATTCTTCTGCTTTAGTGACTTCTTTGAATCTCTGCCAGTGTTTCTCCTAATGCTACAAAACATAAAGTAATTTGATGAATGCCTGTGCACTGGGCATTGATTGGTTTGACATCCCCAGTGCCTCCTCTCTTTGCCTTAGTCCCTACAAGGATTCTAGAAACATTTTTCTGTGCAGTGACTGAGAAGGGTTCCTGCAGAGTCCTGATAAAATGTGGACTCCAGTTCCATGAGATATTTTATTATTTAGATAACTAAAGCCCTCAGGTGACTCTAAGAAGATTCAATGACCCAGTCTCACCCTCAGCTCCCATGAGCAAAATGCTGTTGCTGTTTTCATTTGCAAAATCAGAGAACTATGCTTACCAATGGTTTTCCAGAAGCATATTTTCTTGGCCATGGAAGACGTGACTAGTTTGTGTAGCCATTGCAATAACACCCAATGCTTATTTTCCTAAAGAAGGAAAGAATACCAGAAAACAGGATAAATGTGGCATACAGAATAGTTTTGGGGGATATCTATATTCAGCACAACACTTTTCTACATTTTTAAATTAATTTTTTTTTGAGATAAGGTCTCACTCAGTTGCCCTGGCTGGAGTACAGTGGCCCAGTCATGGCTCACTGTAGCCTTGACTTCCCAGGCTCAAGCAATCCTCCCACCTCAGCCTCCCAAGTAGCTGGGACTACAGGCACAAGCCACCATGACCAGCTATTTTTTTCTGTTTATTGTAGAGACGAGGTCTCACTATGTTGCTTCGGATGGTCTTGAACTCTTGGGCTCAAGTGATCCTCCCACCTAGGCTGGGATTAGAGGTGTGAGTCACCATGCCTGGCCATTTTTAAAAATTTTATAGACCAGGTCTTGCTTTGTCACCAAGGCTGAAGTAATGTGGTGCTAACATAACTTATAGCAGCCTCGAGCTCCTGGCCTCAAGAGATCCTCCTCAGCCTCCCTAAGTCATGGGATTGTAAGAGTGAGCCATTGTGCCTTCTTTAATTAATTCATTCAGTAAATACTTATTGAACACCTACCAGGCATCAGGCATTGTGCCTGGTGCTGAGGATACAATGGTGAACAAGATAAAGCTTTCTCAACTTCAACACTTTAACTCTTGGACCGGATCATTCTTTGCTGTGGGGGCCATCTTATGTTGTAGGATGTTTAGCAGCATCCTGGCCTCTACCTATTAGATATCAGTAGCATCCCTCCACACTTTTTCCCAATGTGACAATCAGAAATGTTTCCAGACATTGCTTAATATCTCATGGACAGCAAAATTGTCCCTAGTTGTGAACCACTAAGATAGACATTGTCCTTGTCCTCCCAGTGCTTATATTCTACAGGGGGAGACTGATATTAAAAAACTAAATAAAATAATTACAAATTGTAGAAAGTGCTGAAGGAACTAAAAGCATGTGATAGGAAGTAATCAAGGGGCCAGGCACAGTAGCTTACGCCTATAATCCCATCACTTTGAGAGGCAGGCTGAGGCAGGAGGTCACTTGAGGCCAGGAGTTCAAGACCAGCCTGGGCAACCCAGTGAGACCCCATCTCTATAAACAAAATAAAGATATATTTGCCAGGTGTGGTGGCATGTGCCTGTAGTTCCATCTACTTGGGAGGCTGAGGCAGGAGGATTGCTTGAGCTCAGGAGTTTAAGGCTGCAGTGAGCTATGATCAAGCCACTGTACTCAATCCTGGGCGACAGAGGGACATTCTGTCTCTAAAAAATAAACAAAAATCCACACCCAAATCCAATGTTACACCCCCTTTTCTCCCTCCTGCTTAAAACTGACCAAAGCCTTCTCTATGTCTAGGATGAAGACTGAGATCCTTCAGATGGCAGCTGAGGACCCTCAAGGTCTGGCTGCTCCCACCTACCCCTCTAGATTTCCCACTTCACCACTGCTCTCCTCTGTGTTCCACAAGGGCCTCCCTTTCCAGTTCTTGGAATTCTCTAGTTCCTTTAACCACAGGGCCTTTTCATGTGCTGCTTCTTTGCTCTGGAACATTCTTCTCCTTCTCCCCTACCCTAATCATCTTGACATTTTAGCCCAGATATCATTTCCTCCAGGAAATCTCCAGCATCCCATTCTATTTCGGTTTCCTTTGTTTTATACAGACTTTCATAGAACTATGCTCTTTTAGGGCAGGTATCTTAATTTGGAATGATACATTCATTAGTGGGATTTTTAAAAATTTGTGTGTCTCTCCCCTTACACTGTAAGTTACATAAGAGCAGGGACTGGCAGACACTCGATAAATATTTTGAGAAGGAAAGGTGAAGGGCCAGGAGGTTGAAAAACTCCCTTGGTTTTTTTTTTTTTTTTTTTTTTTTTGAGACGGAGTCTTGCTCTTGTCCCCCAGGCTGGAGTGCAGTGGCATGATCTCGGCTCACTGCAAACTCCACCTCCTGGGTTCAAGTGATTTTCCTGCCTCAGCCTCCCACATAGCTGGGATTACAGGCGCCCACTACCATGCCCAGCTAATTTTTGTATTTTTAGTAGAGACGGGGTTTTACCATGTTGGCCAGGCTGTTCTCAAACTCTTGACCTCAGGTGATCCACCTGCCTTGGCCTCCCAAGGTGCTGAGATTACAGGCGTGAGCCACCATGCCCAACCTGCCTTGGTTCTTGAATTTCTAATTATATATGCCAGGCACGTGTGAGACCTGACTTTCTGCTCTTGGGTTCCATGAGATACCCATGAGATACTGTTTCTTAGAATTCTCTACCTTTTTTTGCTTCAGCTAGCTCCTTTAGCTTTCTGTTATTTGCAACCAAAAAAAATACCAGCTAAGACACAGCAAGTGAGAGACTCTGAATAAAGTTGCAGCTTAAACATTAGAGTGTGTGTTCTTGTGAAATCATTAAATTACACAGCCTAATAATGGTTTGGCAACTTGCTTTTCTCTTTCAGGTCTTTAATCTTTTATTTAGAGGATGTTTTGTTTTCTGGGAAGCACCACGATAATGTGGCAATGCTTTAAAACACACACACACACACACACACACACACACACACACACACACACACACACACGGCTTTACTTCAGCAAGCTGTCCTGGGAGACTCTAATGGCAGAGACTGTTGAAGTAGAAATGCCTCATGAACACTGGCCGCCCCGTAGTGTCTCACTTCCCTCTTTCCAGTCAGTGATTAACAGCTCTTAATGAATTCAGAGGACTGCACGACTAGATTCTGGGGTGACTGGTGCAGGCTGATGGAGAAGGGGTTGAAATGCATAAAAATAACAAAACAAAATAGTGCTCCAGAAAGAGCATGGGGCTGGGTGCAATGGCTCATGCCTGCAATCCCAGCACATTGGGAAGCTGAGGCAGGGAGATTGCTTGAGCCCAGGAGTTTGAGACTAGCTTGACCAACATAACGAGACTCTGTCCGTACATTAAAAAAAAAATTAGCTGGGCATGGTGGTGTGCACCTGTAGTCCCAGCTACCGGGGAGGATGGAGTGGGAGGGTCACTTGAGCCCAGGAGTTTGAGGCTGCTGTGAGCTGTGATCTCATCGCTGCACTCCAGCCTAGGTGATGGAGTGAGACTCTGTCTCAAACAAACAAAAAAACAAACAACAACAACAACAACAAAAGTGCTGAACCTTTGGTTTCTTCATCTTCAGAATGGAATGGGGACAGCAGTAACTGACCTGCCTACTTCAACACCGTTATCAAGAGGATCAAATGAAATTGAGAAAGTAGAAGTGCTTTGTGAAATACGAAGTACTATAAAAATGCAGAATGCCAGCTGGGCGCGGTGGCTCATGCCTGTAATCCCAGCACTTTGGGAGGCCGAGGCGGGTGGATCAAGACCATCCTGGCTAACATGGTGAAACCCTGTCTCTACTAAAAATACAAAAAAAATTAGCCAGGCATAGTGGCAGGCGCCTGTAGTCCCAGCTACTTGGGAGGCTGAGGCAGGAGAATGGTGTGAACCCGGGAGGTGGAGCTTGCAGTGAGCTGAGATTGCACTACTGCACTCCAGCCTGGGTGACAGAGCAAGATTCTGTCTCAAAAAAAAAAAAAAAAAAGTAGAATACCATAAAATGTGGGCTGCATCTTCAAGCACTTCAGCATATGACATGAAAACAATCATGTGTTTCATGAACATTTATAGAGCGCTCACTGCGTGCCAGAGAGAACAGGTGTTGGGGAGATAGACATGAACAGGACGCAGCTCTTTCCCTTAGGCCTTTGCTCAAATGAAATCTTATTAGAGAGGTCTTCTGTGAGTACTTTAACTCAAACGGCACCTCCTCCACCTGCCTTTATCTTTCCCCACAGCATGTTTCACTATATATATTCACTTATTTACTTATAAGTAAATACGTTCTATATATTTACTTATTTACTTGTTTTATAATTTCTCTATATTTGGCCGGGCGCGGTGGCTCAAGCCTGTAATCCCAGCACTTTGGGAGGCTGAGACGGGCGGATCACGAGGTCAGGAGATCGAGACCATCCTGGCTAACACGGTGAAACCCCGTCTCTAATAAAAAATACAAAAAAAAACTAGCCGGGCGAGGTGGCGGGTGCCTGTAGTCCCAGCTACTCGGGAGGCTGAGGCAGGAGAATGGCGTGAACCCGGGAGGCGGAGCTTGCAGTGAGCCGAGATCTGGCCATTGCACTCCAGCCTGGGTGACACAGCAAGACTCCGTCTCAAAAAAAAAAAAAAAAAAAAAAAAAAAAAAAAAAAAAAAAAAAAAAAAAAATTTCTCTATATTTAGTTACTTACTGTTTGAACCTCTGCACGCCCCTCCCACATAAACACAGTAGAAGTAGATCCATTTGGGCCAGGACAGTAATGTTCACTGCTAGGATATTTTTGCATAAAATAGAGTTTAGAACATAGTAGCTGCTCAAAAAACATTTGTTGAATAAATGCATTCAGAGCAGGTCCAGAGTTTAGGCAAAGGTGAGCTGAATTACACTGGGGGGTGATTGCAGGAGAGGAAAAGAACAAACCAGTCCATGGCAGATGGCATTTTGGTCCAAGGGAGAGAGGGAACCTTGATTATTGGGTGAAAATAATAATAATAATAATAATAGGAGTCTTTCCTGAACCCCATTCACTGTCCCCAGTCCCCCAGGGAGGAAACCACTCCTCTTGTGGAAGTCCTCCTGTTGCTGTCCCTTCACTTTGTCATATGGAGTTGTCATGGCCTGTCTCCCAGACCGGCTCCATGACTTCCTTGTCTACCGGCACCCCCAGCATTTAGCCCAATGCTCAGCATGTAGGGAGTGGACGCTTCACACCCCAGGCTACCTCAATCTTGTCACTCAGTCCAGAGCTTAGCATCTGGCCTCCCCCACCCCCTCTGTCACCACCCCTGTCAACCCTGATGACGCTCACCCTCACCTGTATTTCTTCATTTACTTCTCCATCTTTAGGAGAAGGGTTCCTGGCACTCCAGGGCCTTGCTTCTCCTAGATCTCACTTCTGGTTTCTCCAAGCTCCTCCAAGCAACTCAGCAGTGAAGCTTGCCCTGTGGGAATGTGTTAGCTGGTCTCCAAGGTAACAGACTGCACCACTGCAGCTCGGGGCAGGGAAAGGGAAAGCCTTCCTCATTCCAGGGAAGAAGTCACCGCTGTGTTGTTGATAACCACTTCTCCCAGGTCACTCTGCTTTTCTCCACCTTCACGAAAACCTGGAAGCAGGATTTAGACCTTTTTTCAAATTTCAGAACCTCTCAGTCAGCATGGAACTATGGTTTAGGCCAGTAAAGCCCTGGTGCCTGTGGCCTTCCTGTGGTAGGAACGGAGGAAAGTTTCCAGAGAACTCTGCCACGTGTGGCAAAGGTGGTAACTTTCTCTTCCTCCTCAGATTCTCTTGGGTTCCCTGAACACAATCCCTGGGAGAGGTCAGACAGTGCCCTATCCCTACCTGGTCCAGCCCCACCTAAACCTGGCTAATACAGCCAAGCTCAATGACCTCTTTGCATCAGAAGAGATCATCTGCCATAGTGGTTCCTAAGCCCAGGTGCCCATGAGAATCACCTGGATTGTTTGCTAAGAAAACATTCCCATTCAGGAGATTCAGAACTGTGAAAAGGTGTGGGAATGTGCATTTTTAACAATGGCCCCAGGTGATTATGATGTAACTAGTTCTTGGCCCATAGCTGGGAACCTCTCTAAACCCTTCTTTTATAGCGGTCAAAAGAGACAAAGTAATTAATGTCTCCGAAGTCAACCAACTTGCAAGCTGCTAAAGGATCTGTAGTTAGTTTTTCGAATCCAGGACATTTCTCAAATCAGTTTTCACTTTCTGAGAGTTTTATAAGTTTTATAAACTTTTATCAGTTAGAACATAAGGTTGGGTGGTGGCTTATGTCTGTAATCCCAGCACTTTAGGAGGTTGAGGCGGGAGGATTGCTTGACGCCAGGAATTTGAGATCAGCTTGGGCAACACAGTGAGACTCCGTCTCTACAAAAATAAAATAAAATAAAAATTAGTCAGGTGCAGTGGCTTGTACCTGTAGTCCCAGCTACTTGGAAGGCTGAGGTGGGAGGATTGCTTGAGCCCAAGAGTTCAAGGTTACAGTGAGCTATGATCGCACCACTGCACTCCAGCCTGGGCTACAGAGAAAGACCTGTCTCAAAAATAAAGAACATATGCCACCTGTGGTAGTCATCATATGGTAGGGAACACCCTTCAGATGTTGACCGCAGCAGCCATGCCTATAGGCCAGGTCAGAAACAACCAACATGCTCAAAATAGAAACTGCTTATTAACCACTGGTCACCAGGGTTGAGAACACCATGTATAAGTCCATGGCATTTGTTATGTGGCCAGCACCAATAAGGCAGAAAATGAGGAAGATCAGAAAGAGGTAAGGAGGTCCCAAGGGGCTGTGAGCAACCAATGGCTACTCTGTGAACAAGAGATGAGGGTCCTTGTGCCCATCTTGATGGAAATTTTGGGTGGAAGGGGCTGGCTAATTTTGACATCTTTTTTTCTTTTAGGCATGGGAACCCCAAGCAGGTCATCTACCACCCTCACACCTTTCTTTGCTTCCTGGATATATGGGTTTTCAACACTGTGCATAGAAGTAAAGTCCAACACTGGAAACTCTTTGTTTCTGCTTTCTTCTACTTGAGCCTACACAACACACATTCTGAATAGATCTCTGCCAGGTGGATAAAGCAGAGTAAGCCTTTCAGGCTGTAAGACCCATCAAGAGGAAAGCTGTGTGGGTACCATCTTTCTTGGCTCCCTTCAGGATGCAGATCATGACGACACCCATGGAAAGCATCAGAGCACAACAGACATTTCTCCTACCGTAGGCTCTTGGAAATGGATCAGTGTCAACTCATCTCTGGTCTTTTATTTAGGAGCTCTAGCGTGGTCCCATTGCCCAGGAGTATGGTGGGATATATCTTTCAGATACTAATTTGTTTTGCCTTCTTTCTTTCCTCCATTTCAAACCAGGAGCAGGTGCTTTGGGTTGGGTTGAGAAGCAGTAGCCTGAAGTAACTTTTTCTGTCTTTTGTAAAAGCCTAAGCTAACGAAAAGATTAAAGTGACATGCCAAAGCAGGGGAGGTGAGGAATGTGTTTAATGTCATGAGGAAAGTGGGAGTGTAAAGATTATTTCAGTTAAAAGAGACAGAAACCCAACTCAAACTGGTTTAAGGAAAAAAAGGAATTTATTTTCTTAAATAACACAAGAATCCAGGGATAGTTCTGGCTTCAGGGATGACTTGATCCAAAAGCTAAAGTGATGTTAACAGAACTGTCTTCCTTTCTCAGCTTCCTTTCTTCTAGGATGGCTTCATCAGGAGGCTCTTCAGGTGTGGCTGCCAGCAGTGCCAAACTTTTCCCCTACAACTGAGCAACTCTAAGAGAAGAACACCTCTGTCCAGGAGTTCCAGCAAAGTCCCAGGCTGGTCACATGCCATGCTAATTTCTGAATCTGTCATGATGACTCCGGCCAAGCCTGGCTTCTGTGTCGAGCTCTGAAGCCAAGAAGGTGAAATCGGCTCCATGAAACCACATGACCTGAGGTAGGAAAAGAACAATTTTTCCAAAAAGAAAGAGCCTTTTTTTTTTTTTTTTAAACCAAAGGGACCATGGTGCTAGGCAAACATGCCTCTCAGGAAAGTCAAAATTCTCCCAGACAGATTAAAAAAGAAAAAAATCAGAGACCTAAAAATCAGAGGGAGTAGAGACTTGTTCCATGTTTGGTGGCAATACTTTGGTAAGATGGCAATCTCTAAGAGAAAGTGGGTCCTTGGTGCATTCTGGGAAGAGTCCACAGACACAGGAGTTCCCAGCTCACCAAAGTTTATCATTCCCCAAATGTGAGACAAACACAGTAAAACTACTGCCTCATTTAGCCTGTGACAATTGATGTCTCAGCAGTAACATGTAGACAGATGATCAACTAGTGGGTGGCAGCGGGGGTGGGGCGGAGCTTCCAAATGTTCGAACCATGAACTTCTGTACACTTTTTTTTTTTTTTTTTTTTTTTTTTTGAGACGGAGTCTCGCTCTGTCACCCAGGCTGGAGTGCAGTGGCCGGATCTCAGCTCACTGCAAGCTCCGCCTCCCGGGTTCACGCCATTCTCCTGCCTCAGCCTCCCGAGTAGCTGGGACTACAGGCGCCCGCCACCTCGCCCAGCTAGTTTTTTGTATTTTTTAGTAGAGACGGGGTTTCACCGGGTTAGCCAGGATGGTCTCGATCTCCTGACCTTGTGATTCGCCCGTCTCGGCCTCCCAAAGTGCTGGGATTACAGGCTTGAGCCACCGCGCCCGGCCTTCTGTACAACTTAAGAGTACTCCAATAACCAATTAATTCCTACCAGTCCAGTAGAAGGGATCCAGTTGAGTTTTAAGTGCTTTGGGAGTAGGGGTGAGGAGCAGCTGGTGTGGGAAAATTTCCCTGGGTGCTGGAATCCTGAAAGGGCCCCAATAAAATCAATGCCCTCATCTAGCTTCATCCATCAAGGAAGTTGGCACTATAAAATACCAATGTGCTGGGGCATGGTGGCTCATGCCTGTAATCCCAGCACCTTTGGAGGTCGAGGCGGGAGGACTGCTTGAGGCCAGTTCAGGACCAGTCTGGGCAACAAAGTGAGACCCCGTCTCTACAAAATATTTTAAAATTAGCCACAAATGGTGGTGTGTACCTGTGGTCCCAGCTACTTGGGAGGCTGAGGTGGGAGGATGGTGGCCCAGGAGGTCGAGACTGCAGTGAGCAGCCAAAAACCAAACCAAAACCAAAAAACCGGTGAACAATGAATACAAAGAGAAAGCTCAACAATGAGGGGCATGATGGAAGATTAGACACAAACAACTTAATAAGTGGGAGGTTTTTCTTACATTTTTTTTTTCCTTTCAACAAAGTGGAAAGTGTTTCTAAATAGGGACCACCTTTTATGGTTGTTTGCATTCCACATCCAGAAGAAGCAAACCATAGATTTAGCTGCTCATGTTTGAGCCAAGGAATCATGCAAGCAGGACAAGTTATTTTTATTCCCTTTAGACCAGCCACACTGGCGATGCAGGACAGCAGGAGTCCTAGATCTGAAGTCAGGGAGCTTGGCTGTGAAACCCATATTCACCAGCTGCTAGTTACAGAACCTGGAGTAAGGTATTCAGCCTTTTAATCCTTCGTTTTGTAGTCTATAAAACACCACTCTGTACTTCACAGGTAGAGGATTAAGATGACATATGGGAAAGCACATAACACATGAATTTACTGTTAGTTTCTTTCTCTAAACGTAGAGAATGCCACTATTGTTTAACCACAGTGCTTTTGAAAATAGGAATTCCTTTAATAGTTGATATGCTTCAGTTGGAATGTCAGGTTATTATGACATTTGAGAAGGTTTTGTTACCCAAGGCCTAAGTTCACAGCAGCATTATCTGCAATAACAAAAAACGGGAAGCAACCTCATGTACATCAAAATGGGAAGACACATAGTTGATATGTATCAAATGGAATACTATGCATTTAAAATGAGGAAGCTCTATATTTACTGACATAGAAAAATCTACATCACAAATTAAGTCAAAAAAGAAAGCCACTGGGCATGATGGCTCCCAGCACTTTGGGAGGCCAAGGCAGGAGGAGACTGGGAGATGAGCCTGGTCAACATACTGAGACCCCCATCTCTACAAAAAAATTTGTTTTTTTAAAAATTAGCAGGCCGTGGCAGCATGCACCTGTAGTCCCAGCTACTTGGGAGGCTGAGGTGGGTGAATTGCTTGAGCCCAGGAGTTTGAGGCTGCAGTGAGCTAGGATTGTGCCATTGTACTTTCTCTAGTCTGGGTGACAGGGCAAGATCCTGTCTCAAAAAAAAAACAAAAACAAAAACAAAAACAAAAAGCAGCGGCAGGTAGAGATAATATCTTGCTTTTGTTAATCTGATCAGTAAAATGTCTGTTAAAATGTTAAAACACCCGATAAACTGTTAACAATGGTTATCTCTGGAAGGTGGATTGTGGAGGAGGGAACTTTTTGTTTCCTACATTATTTTTGTGTTTTTCAAAAAAAATCTACAGATATATGTTATTGTAAAAAGAAAATCTGTGTCCTGGTTCAGGTCATAATTTCTTTCTCCACAATAGCACTTAAGGCAGGAAAAAGTTATTGATAACCCTGAAGGCAGAAACTACGTGAAGTATTGAAGTGGTACATGTAAGGGTGGGACTGCACCAAGTAAGTTCATTTTGCCGCTTACTACCTACCTCAGTAAAACATTTAGAAGATGAGGTAGTCAAAAGCCTTCTTAGATATGTGAGTTTTTAAAGAGCAATTTATTATGGAAAGGATTTTGATTCTTCAACTTCTTTGCATTTGTCATAGAGAACAAAGAAATGGAAAAGAATGAGAGTTTTCATATTTTTTATTTAAGAAAATACTTGAATTGCCTTGGACAATATTAAATATTTAAACAACATGAGAAAGAGTGCCAGAGGTCAGAACACAGTATTTACTTCACTGACTTGCCCTGACGGATAATGAATGAGGATTAATAGTGACCAAATACACTGGCCATATTTACTACAAGTGCCGTAAAATGGCCAATTGAGGACAACTGCGTCTAAAATGAGATGAAATCCTTGAGTCCATTCCTTTTAGCTGAAATGATTAAAACCAGGACCAAGTCTTTGCAAAACATGTCAAATGGATGGATGGCTTCAAGACAGCAGAGAACCCACAAGCTTGACGAGGCCTCCAGAGAGTTCACTCAGGATCAATGGGGTGCTGGCATCGTCCTGGTCCTCTCTGTAGAGTATCAGTGTTACAGCCCTGTGAGTTCAGTAGTAAAGGATCTGGAGTCCATAGGGAAATCCGAAGGAGGTCAATGGAACTGACATATTATATAGCCAAATACTTACCAATAAAGTGACCATCCTTATAAAGGCTGATTTAGGCAAGCCTCTGCCTTCAGAAAGAAGTTCACTGAAACAAACCTGGCAGATTGATGACTCTGTCTTTCAAATCTCCAGGAAATATGGTTTCATAATTTTCCTTTGTCATGGAGCCCCAACTTTAATTTTCATAATTCAGTGTATAAAGCACTGTGCCAGGTCTCTAGGGAGTACACAATGAGGAAGCCATATTCTTTGCATTCAAGAGTTTATACAGTTATACAAAAGCACTTAGTAATGACAATATCAGCAACTAACATTCGAATGCTTACTATGTGCTTGGAACTTTATCTCTTTTAAACCAACAATAGCCCCCTTAGGTGGGTAATATTATTAGTCCCATTCTACAGATGAAAAAACCAAGGCTCACATAAGTTACATGATTTACTAAGGGTCACACAGTTGGAATGGTGGAATTGAGATTTAATCCAGGCAGTCTATTCCTGTTTAGCAATTTCTGCTACAGAAGCATAAGCAAGAGAGACACAAAGCACAGAAGATTAGATATATTTCAAATATGGGAGAATCTTAAAACTGAGAGGAGGTGGTACAGACACAGCCGGGGCAGGGAGCAGGTTGTAGTGAATGTAGAATGGAGAACAGGCTGGTTCTCAGTAAGAAGGGAAGAGAAAGAGAGGTGGGAAATAAGACTGAACAGAGAGCTTGAAGACAGATCACAAAGGCTTGTCAAAGCTACGCTAAAGGAGTTTGGATTTCATTCTGTAGACAGTGGGAATGACAAAAATGTGAACACAGAAATGATATGCTTTCTTTTGTGTTACGAGTATTTGGCAGAATTGATTTGGATGGATCGGAGTGAATGGCTGTCAGTTGAAGGAAGACTGGTTCAATGGCTACAGAATATGAAAGTTGGTCTTAAGTTCAAGGCCCACATGTCAAAGACATTCTTTCCTATGTCGAGTGCTCTGCTGATATCTAGCTGAGTGACTTCGGAAAAGTCTGAGGCCTCGATTTCTTCACCTGGAAAGTGGAGATACTGGACATGCTCTTTGACATTTCATCCAGCTCTGAAATTTTATAGTCTTGTGAAAAATCTCTTCTTGAAATGTTATCTTGGGTGGTCTTAGATTGTGTGTGACTGGAACTGGGGCTGATTTGTAAAACCCTTGAATGTGCTTGAAAATACCAACCCACAGTGTTTTCTTCTCCTGGGAAAAGAACCAAAACTCTTAAAAAATATACATTGTGCTTTCTATCTTGAATACCATTTATAAATAACTACCTTTATTTTTGTTGCTGGGTAACTGTGACCCAGAAGAGTTGACTTTGCATAAAAGGAACCCAGAGTCCTCTAGTCTTGGTGTTTTTCCTATAATCTTCTCATAGTGGCTAGAAGAGAGATGATAGACGAATAAGTCAAAATAAGGTATTTCTGAACCCATGTTATTGTTTTTAAAGCCACTGTGTTACCTTTTCCTAAGGTATTACCAAATAGAAAAAGTGTCCCCTCCACCATAGCAGCTCAGCATAAATCTACCATTACAATTTCCAGTTGACCTATTCAATAATGTTTATAGAAAATAACCCTCCAAAAACCTCTAACCTGTGTTACAAATCAGGAGAAGATTTAGATGGTGTGAAGATAGGGTAGGGTGACCAACTCATCCTAGTTTGCCTGGAACTTTCCCAGACATAGTACTTCAAATCTCACCTCCAAGGAAACCCCTCAATCTTATAACCCAAGAACATCTAAATCTTAACATGTCTTAATCCTCCAATTCCCCACGAGGGTCCTCAAAGGGCCACACGAGGAAGAATCAGCAGCAAACTGTAAATATTTTATTATTATTCAGTTGGGCTAATCTTGACACCCCCAGAGAAAGCTATAGTTTAAGCTGTGACATGGTCCCTGGGCCTCTATATTTGATCCTCCAGCCCATACTTTAAGATCTTAAAAGCTAAGATCTTTTGGCCTGGAATAAGTAGAAACAGAAGACTGCAGCAAAGATGGACTTGGGTCTATGTGCAAGGAAGAAAGAAGAGAAAGATGGCTGACTTGAAGGCTTTGGCTTGGTTTCTCTCTCCTAGCTCATGGAAGCCTGATGCAGAAGGGAAAGTCACATGTATGTGTGGTCTTTTATTGTTGAGTGACTTTTACGGGTAATTGTGGCCTAATCCATGTCCTGAAATATTAATAGCATCTCTTCTCTAGCGGTGAGCAAAGAGTGGGAGTGGAAGAAGATAGGGAAGGACCGCCCTCACCCCCCAATGCCAACAACAAAACCAACCCAAGAGGCATGGAAGTGTCACTTATGAATATGTGAAACCTCTATAAGAAATAAATTTTTTAAATGAAGCTTATTTCAAAGTAATAGAAGCCTTTTTAGTTTCTTTAGTAGACAATTTATTTTGATAAACTTGCTCAATAACAAAAATACAAGTGAAGAAAATTATGTTCATTTTATACAGTTGTATTAACAATTTGTTTTGAAACTATTAATTGAAAAATGTTATAACCAATTAGAAAACAATTCTTAATAAAGTTTGGGATAATATACAGACCTTGATCACAAACTTTAAAATCTCTTGAGGTGATACAACTAAAAGTCCTGTGTAGGGAATCCTACCTACACGGGCCAGTTTTTTCCTTCATGTTTTTATCCTTCAAAAATTTTCTGAAAGACAGTTTACTGTTTTGAATTGTGAATGTAAATTTAAATTTTTAAAGATCAAGTGGGTTGATAAAACAGTTACTACAATCAGAGTAACTTGTGGCTAGTAGTCTTTTAATAAAGACAAAATAAATGCAACATGTTCTTCCCATGAAGCCCATGATGCAAAATAATAGCTAACAGCATATGAAAAGTTAGTTTCCAATACTGTATTTTTCAGGGCCTTTCCTCTAAATCAACAGATTGCTTGTCACCAGGACTATTATTTCACTTAATAGATTAAACAGTGAATTCACAGAACATCAAGTGAGGATATCAAAGCTTTAGGCAAAAGGGTAAAAACCAATAGTGTTTTGGTCATCTAGAACATTAAAAAGAAAAAAGAGCCATCCTTCAAAACAGAACAAATGAAACAGAAAATAGGTTTATAAGAGGTGGAAGAGTCAGAAAAATTACATACACACATTAACAACATAGAACATGGATTACCTTTGGAAAGAATCATACTGAAATGTTTGCTTTTAATAAATTGAAGATTTTTCATGTTTACAGATGTTTAGGCATGTTCAATAGGAGCTTCCAAAAATTTCAAACTAATTCAGTCTTGTGCAAATAAAACCTAAAAATAATTTTCAGCAGATTTTACAGTGATATTCTTAGGTATGAGAAGAATGCACACACTCTTAAAAACAATGTAACAGACAAAAGTTTGACAAATGATTGCACCATAAAACAGTGTTTTATATACAGTTTATAAGATATGATTTCCTGCTATAAATTAATACTGTACTATATAGTACTTATTATAGTGACCTTTTTAAAAAGCAACTGCTGACAGTTGTCTATCTTTTCACTTATAGGATTTATAGAAATTTATATGAATGAGTCCATTTCAATGTCTGGTCTGCAAGAGTACAAAGACTTGACTTCACATACTACTTGACGGGATTGTTTAATCCTGGGTTAGAGTGCTGACTGGCTAGAGGGAGTTTTCCCCCATCAGCCCTGTATGCACTGGACCTCCAAGACAATGGTAAAATTAAAGACAATTTAATGGTTTGGGTAATAGATAGAAATAAAACCTTAAATTTTGTAATCTTAAATGCAACACCACCATAAGTGAAAGAAGTAAACAGTGGGGAAATTCTTAGCAGCTGAGAAACTTTCTCTCCCCATGCTCATGATCCAGTTAAAAATATTTTGAGAAACTATTTACAATACAATTCATCTTTTGGAAGAGAAAAGCTCTTGGTCACGTCATAAATTAATTTGAACCATACTTTGCTAACACTTTATCTCAGTGGTATATAACGGTGACAACCAAAGCTTTCCTTCAAAGTGATCCATTTGACTGAGGACCAATCAAATCACAATAGCAACTGCAATCCCAAATGTCCATAGAACATGTCCAGTGGTATTCTTACGCTTGACTAGACATCATAATACTTGGGGAAAAATAGCCTCCCTCAGGATCTCCCGAAGGTTTCTTTTACTCTGGGAAGGAAAAGTATGACATTCTCCCAGAACATTTAAGAAATGAACCACTGTGGTCGTCCATCTCTTTCCCCAATTCCTGAGTGAGCTCAAACACTGGGGCTTTCTTTCACAATAAAATATTGCTGAATTAACAGTAAGATGGAAGACTGTCAAACAAGCCAGTGTGAAATACATCAAGCACCTCCATTTCATAGTTTGAATATCTGAGGAGGTAGCTCCCATCTTTGAAGTAATCATTCTAGAACTGGTAATCTAGCTCTTAAAAAACAGTGCATTCATTTCCGCTTGTGTGAAGCACGGGCCACATGGGACTCTACTGATAGGGACATTTGGGTCACCAGTTCACTATAAAGAGGAGAAACTTAGCTCCACTGCCATGAAATACCCTCCGGTCCCACATTTCAAACAGATTATCTATAGCGTTCACCAGGAAAAACAAGCATTGATGCGAAGGCATGGAGATGTGGAGAAGAGAAATACTGTATTTTAAAACTGTGAGTTCAAGGGTTAGCTGCGATACTTCTTTTAGGGAAGAACTTAAAGCTGTTGGTTTAGTACAGCCCTTTAAAGTAAATGCAAAAATATTAGTTTTTAGCAAACAAAGGCATATAACATATAAAGAAAATATTGTATTGCTCAGGTTTTGGTAAAGACGTATTAATAATGCTTACAGATGAAAATAATGAAATTAGTGCTGTAAATAGCCAAAATAGCCAGATATTTACTAGTGAACTTCGTATTTATGTAAAGTTGTGTACCTGAACATATAAAATGCATTATTAATGTAACAGACTGAGCCAGTAGAAAAAGAATCTCTGTACAATAGACAACAGTTGCCAATAATTTAAATAGTGTCAGATTCCCCAAATTATAAGGTTTGACATGGTCTTACCTTCTGCTATCATATACAAATAAATTAACCCTACAAAGAATTTTTAGCTTAACTTAAAATCGCACCTAGAAAGGTATGGGATTGTTTGTACCTGTTACAAAAACCTGTTAAAATCAAGGGCTGCTACAAAGAATGAGGTAAACTGAAGACTCTCTCCACTACGCAGCCTTCAGATAAATGGCTTTTTTTTCTATTGGGTTCTAGGTTTGCACACCACAGTGTTTTGCTAGCAAAGCATTCAGAATTCTCTTCCAGGAACTGTTTGCATGTGTGTGTATATAAATTTACACACACATATACACACACACATATATACACACTGTATACTGCATCAGCAAAATATATATATTATATATATTTATATAAATATAAGGAAGATTTCCCCCCCCCACCCACCCAAACCATGTGTCTTAGTGTTTGATTTTTTTTTCTTTTGTACACAGAGAAGAGGGAATTTCAGAATTTTTACATACATTTTAGCAAACAAGTTTTGATCTATTGGCTTCTTGGTGCAGTAATGCAACGGCAATCCATTCTGGTGCCAAAGGCTCATACTATTACAAGGAAGTTGTGAACACTAATTTCTTAGGAGGTGAGGCCAGCCCCACATGAACTTCTCTTGCATCCCTCTGGTCCACCATGATACATAAATACTTAGACTGTTTTTTTCCTCTAATGAATCATTAGACATTAAAAACGGAACAATAGAGTCACAAAGGGCCACATGCTTTTCGGTATAAAGCATTCTCCTTCTCTAGGTTGCTATCACAGTGCAGACCTGACTGCCTGAATATGCTCAGGAGATTTAGTCAATATTGTCTGTATTTGGTTATGGAAAAGGCTCTCCTTTTTTTTTTTTTTTTTAAAATCCAAAGTGCATAGTGAGAACAAATCAAAGTATTTTTTTTTTCCTTCTCAGCATCAGTTTCATCTGAGCATCTTCCCATGAGAGGGCTGCTCAGATGCCTCGCCTTTGTCCTCTCCACCCTCCAAAAATAAAAAAATAAAATAAAATAAAAAATAGTAAGAGTCAAGCAATTTAGACATTCATCAGCCTGGTAAACAAACTTTGCCAGCAAATAGAAGTCCTACTATTGTAAAGAAAATTGATAAGACAAAAAGTACATATGATGACCCAACTACTGTGTTGTTGGGTAATTTATAAGGTTGACCTCCGACTTCATTGATGTAAAATCCTATTGGAAATATTAGGGCAGCCATACAGAAAAGGATCACTGTAAAACAAACCAAAACACAACATTAGTAACACGGTTTGGTGATCTGAAAAACAATGAAAATTTGGCACAAAGGAAGCTTATAAGAAGGGTTGGCCAAAGCTGTTAAAACATGGGCCACTTGTTAAAAATTTGTATATATTACAGGTCACATAGTATCCCTGAAGCCTAACAATACAGTAAAAGCTAGGTTAGCCTTTTATGTAAGTTTTAGGACCATTCTGAATATCAGGATTAAGAAAGTCCTTCTCCAAACCTAACAAATCCTCATAAATATGATTCCTAGCCATTTACAATAGTAATTAAGGGCACTAGCTAGAGTCAGATAGGCGGTCAATTCCAGCTCCACTGCCTACTAGCGGTGTAATCTTAAGCCTCCGGTTCCCTTCTGAAAATGGGGGAAATACTAGAAGGCTAAATAAAATAATGTCTAGTCCCTGACACAGTGCCAGGTAATAGTAAGTGCTGAATGAGTGCTGCATACCATTATCACCATAGTTACTATTTTGACAATTCTCTGTTCCTCTCCGTGTTAGGCAGAAGGAATTGGAGAAAAGGTATATATAAATAAGCACCACTTATCTTACTCTGATTTAAAATCAGCTAGTAGAGGCCGGGCATGGTGGTTCATATCTGTAATCCCAGCACTTTGGGAGGCTGAGGCGGGTGGATCACCTGAGATCATGAGTTTGAGACCAGCCTGGCCAACATGGTGAAACTCCATCTCTACTAATAATACAAAAATTAGGCGTAGAGGTGCAGGCCTGTAATCCCAGCTATTCAGGAGGCTGAGGCAGGAGAATCATTTGAACCTGGGTGGTAGAGGTTGCAGTGAGCCGAGATTGTGCCACTGTACTCCAGCCTGGGTGACAGAGTGAGACTCTGTCTCAATACAAAAATAAATAAATTAAAATAAAATAAAACCAGCTAGTAGAAAGAACCTCAGATCTCTGGGATGACTAGCAAATTATCAGAGTGGTTATCTCTTATCATGGATAATATTCCAAAAAACAAAGAAGATAGGTAACCTTCTTTGAGTTTTGCATGTAAACACAAAGGAGTATATTATTTGTTAAAATGTTTCAAAAAGGATATCAGAAAACCCAGTGTCCGCGTAAAAGTGATTCCACAGTCCAGTGTTTGAGCAAATGGCCTGCTCCCCTGTGCTACCAAAGAAATGGTCTTCTTAGTGAACACAAACTATTTACAGATAGGCTAGCTTTTCAAAGAAAATATTTTTGCTTTTTGAAAGCGTATTGCTCAAATGTTCATTGTCCTTCAACTTTTTCTGGCAGAAATACTTCTTCAGTGTAATGTGAGGACAGATTACTAGTCACTGTACATGAAGCGTTGAAGCTTTCATTATTAACTGAATGAGTTTTCACCTCCAGGTGAAAACTATCCCCCAGAAATACTAACAGAGCCCTGGATAAACATTTCAGCTGACACTCGTCTCTACATTTTTTTGTGTTAACCAATCAACAAAACTTTCCGAGTTTTAAAAAAGTCAATTAGAAACCCTTTCCAGAAGGAATAACTCCAGCAATACAATGAAAAATAGTATTTGCTTAAGTAATACATCAGCTTAAGAAACAACAGCACTCTTACTTGCACCATTTAGGTAGATTATTTTATGTTATACAGACATATAACATATACAGACATACAGCTTATTTTGGGCAAATGACCACATCAAATAATATTGCATAAGCAAACTTGAATTTTTTTAGATGCCTACTACAGAACAAATGAAAAATTCAGGCATTACATTTTAAAGTTTTAGCCTTTTTGTTGCATAGTCAGCAACAAATAACTATTAGTGCTGCCAATGTCCACTTATCAGTGTGGTCTGTCACCAATTTCTAATGGTTCTATGGCTTAATATAGTCTGGTGAGTAAAATTAAACCACAATTTAGGTAATTATATGCAATCTAATTAAAAAAACAATAGGGCAAAATTATTGTAAAACAATTTTTTTCTTAATGTTGACTAATCTCAAGAAACAAGTAATTTAGAAAAGTACTTTAGGAATATGCAGATGTTAAATTTGTTTATTGTGTTAACATGCCAACTTTGTTCCTATCATTTCCTATTTTCTACTATAAAAAAGATCTATCCTTTATAATGGAGTAATCATTTTGCAACTATAGAATTGAACAGTTTCAATAGTTAAATATTTTCCAAATTTGTTAGAAAAGGCTTAATTACATTTTAAGGGAACAACGAAGTCCTGTTTAGTTTTAAACCAAAGGAAGCAGGCTCTCTATACTTCCTGCGAGCAGATTTAATGCAGGTGGATGAGTTTTTCTTTTAAGCTACTGTGAACTATTAAGTTACTTTAGATCTTAAAATATTATTAATGCTGATAATATCAACCTTTGAAGGCTGAGCTTTGGATCCTAAATAAGCTTGTAAAGACACAATTTTCATATTCTCCATGGCACAGATTTTTTGGTGGCGAGAGTCAGAAATCAGGTGCACTGTTAGATGAGGTTGGAAATTAGGGTGGCAAAGGAAAGAGCAAAGGCCAGACTTGAAGAACAGGATGACTCATCTTGGTTTCTCTTGCCCCCATAGGGAACCCCCATCATGTGGGGGCTCTTCTCTGAGACATATTTCTTCTCTGAGACATATTTCTCCACTGTGCACGGCCATCAGAAGATATCAACCTCATGTTATTACGAAAACTATAGCTTAACTGGAATAGAAATACATACAATAAAGTACATTTTTCAGGGGCGGAGTGGAAACACTAGGGGACGCCCAATTCCTCTCAGAACTGCCACCCCAGCCACTGGTTCTGGTACCAAAAACAATGTATTTAAAGAAGCTAAAAGCAAGGCAGCTCTATGCTTGCTTAAATGAAATTAACTCAAAGATATATTAAGTTTAAAAACCAAGATACAGAATAGTAGAAAAAATTTTATATAAATATGTATGTATGAAACACACACATATAGATATGTTTCTATGCATTGAATACCTCTAGTAGGAAACCCCAGAAACTGGTAAAAATGGTTGCCTCCAGGAAAGGGGTTAATGGGATGGCTGGGTGACAGGGCCAAATATGATTTCACATGGTTACCCTTTCACAGATTTTGAATTATGCATCATATGCACATATTATTTCAAAAAGTTATATTATTTAAAAAATAAAGGAAAAAATGCATTGCATTTGGGGGCAACTATATATACTTAAATATTCTCTGTTTAAGGGGAATGGAAAACAAAGATAATCCTAGTTCTTTCCCTTCACTGGGTCATAAGAATTTATAGCTCATGAGAGCATTTAACATTTCGACTCACACTACCTTGCTAAATCATATTTTAGGTTTTTGGTATTCAAGGCATATGCATTCCCAAATTTCAACTAAATCCAGAAACTAAATCCTTCTTTGATATTATTTTACTTCTTGAAGAGTGATTTCTATCTGGATTAGCGAATCTGTGAGTAAAAGATAAAGAAGCAGATTCTCTTTAAATTTCTCATCAATATCCTTAACTTTAGCGGCACTGTTTGTATGATTGCTTCTGGACCCTCTCTCCAGAAAAGAATTGTCACAGGAGGTCTGTTTGACAGGGAAAAGGTCACCAACTTGTTTCACTCTGCTTAACAAGGATGGAGAACCTTTTTTATATCAAAGGCAACTTGATCTAAATTTAAAAATTAAGGGCAATACAGATAAACAGAGCCAGAAACATACACATTCAAGAGTATAAATTTCAGAGAATACAGGAAGAAACAGAGGCTCATGAAGGAATATCACTCTCCTGCAGCCTTTAAGGATAAACTGAGTTTTAACATTAATAGGGATACATGGGATTATCCCTTACCCCAATTATACACGTTCTAAACAAAAATATCAAGAGAAAGTCAGCTGTTATATTTATTTTTAAAAACGTATGCAAACCTGAGATTATTTTAAGGCACTGAATTAAAAGTCTCATTTGCATAGGTACTGTTCTCCTGTTTCTTTAGAGCAGGATTTCTAAACAGTGGCTCTACTGCTACTTGGGACCAGATAATTCTTTGTTGTGGGGGGCTGTCCTATGTATTTGTAGGATGTTTAGCAGCCTCCCTGCTCTACCCACCAGCATTCCCCTAGTTGTGACTATCAAAAATGTTTTCAGATATTGTTAAATATCCCCTGGGGTGCAAAATTGCTTTGGAGAGAAAGAAGCACAAAAGCAGAATTGCAAAAATGTCTTTTCTTTGTGCATTTTTGTTTCTTCTGTTTAACTTGAGATAAGTCTCTGATGTGTTGTGAAATTAAACCAGTTTTGCAAAGTACAAGAGAATGTGTAATATATAAACTTATACCCTTGGTCAGAGCTAAATGGAGTAAGAAATGTTGATAAACAATTATTAAATAACAAAATGTGTTGATTTTTCAATGGTTACAACATACAGCAGAAACTCAAAATCAATGTTAAAAAATACTGCCACCTTCATCTAATTTATATTTTTATGTATTTGTTCTATATTTATCTTTATTTTGATAGATGATACCAATAGCTTCAAGAAAAGGAAAAGACTCAGGCTACCGGTAACTCTGAGTCACAAACCTGGATTACTTATGTCACAATCTGAGCAAAAATAAAATTCATTAAAATAGCATTTCCCACAAAGCGATTAAAGTTGTGGATGTCCTGGTCTCGCGGAAAGAGTTTTGAAGAAATGATGGGACTGTGTAGAGTCTATCTCACGGCCATACACAAGTGGTGCTCTTTGATGATTATGAAGTCCTTATTACTGATTCTTGATTATCTTCATAAAAATACCAGTGTGGGTGGGTGCCTTCTAGACAAATTTAGTAAGCACAGGTTACTTACTTCCAGTGAATGCTATCCATCGAGCATATTTTGTAGCTTCTCTTCGCCAGTGGGAAGCCACCAGCAAACCACATGTGACAGTCAATGAAATGATTCCCAAGATGATAAAAAACAGTGTGGTGACCCACTCCGGGGGAAGCCGGGGAGGGATGCACGTCCGGTCTCGTCCATGGATTGTTTGACACTGTCGCACGAGGCCCACAGTGAGTGCTCCTGGGGAGATGCAAATGGTGGGAATACTTTAGTGGGTTTGGCCTGCCCAGGGAATATTCCTCACCACCACCCCTTTAGTTTTTAAATCTCATTTGTCTCTTTGTGGGTCATTCAAGCACTTAAATCCCAAGTCCTACTCTTCAGTATTCTGCTGTAGTTCATAACGTAGTAATACTTAAACATACAAAGTGAACTTAAACAACAAATGACCTCAGAAAAGTCATAACAGGCAGTTCACTCAGGTATTCATTAAATAAATACTTTTCTGAGTAACTGTGTCAGGTATTTTTCTAGGCTCCAGGGAAATAACAGCAGACAGGGTGAGGTTCCTGCCCTCACTGAGCCTGCATGCTGGCAGAAAGGACTGGTATTTTTTGATTCCTAGATCCAAGACTCATTGTATATTACTTCATTTTGGCTGAAAAGAAAATCACTTTTCAGGAAATTGAAGACAAACCTGAAATATGCCTAATTGTAATGTAGAAATAAAATTAAATAATAGATTAAATGTTAGAAGTAATATATTTATGAAAGGTATAAGGTCTAAGAATATTACGATATAAGTTTTCCATTAAACTCAAGAAAATGTTGGAAAGACTAGGAGGGCCCTCTGTCCCAAACTTGGTATATTCACCAATTTTTGTAGAGTTTACCAGTGTTCACACGCCGAACGATGGCTGGCATGCTTCACAGAAAATCACAAAGGCAAATTACGAAGGTAATTCTTAAAGTGTCTCTCCCCGTTTAAATAAAAGTGATTTTTATAAAACATCAAGCACTATTTTTCCATAAACATGTTCTCATGTCAAACCCAAGGACCCTCCTCCAATCAAATTTGGAGTAATTTATAAAAACTTAGATTAGAAAGGTGACAGAGTAGTTATTTTATCTTCTTCCCCAATAAGAAGAAGAATGTTTACAATGGTACTTCTCAATAAAAACTACTTGTTTCCCCTTCCAAGAGCAACAGCAAATGGGAAAAGTTACCAAAAATATAGGAACGGAAATTTCTGGAGCTATTAAAAACATAATAGATTTTTGCATTTTGGGGGGATTTTTTGGGTCTACATTCCTTTCTTTTATTTATAGAGATGGGGTCTATGTTGCCCAAGCTGGTCTACAACTCCTGGCCTCAAGCGATCCTCCCGCCTTGGCCTTCCAATGTGCTGAGATTACAGGTGTGAGCCACTGTGCCTGGCCTGCATTATTTTCTCAATATGAACACAAAAATAAAAAAGACATTGACCTCGAAATCATAGCACTTGCCATGAACAAATGTCTTCTGTGAAGGGAACTGGTGAAATTCCTAGTGGCATTTTGGGAAGCTGCCCTGGTGGGAAAAGACAGAGCATGGCTGGACTTGTGTGTGCACGTGCATGTGTGGCTTGGTGGGTATGCCGGAAGGAGGGTACTTTTCTGTAACTTGAGTTTGGCCATCGATACATTTTTAGAAATAAAGCAACTTGTTGAAATAAAATGAAACAAGAAATCAGTTCTTCTCTCAAAGTTGAGTTGGAGTCCTCCGTCAAATGCTAACTCTTAAGTAGAGAAGAAAATAAACAAGCTGTATTTTTTCTCCCAAGTCATCTAATAACTAGACCCATCTGGTGATCCCTGCCCAGGTGCAAGCAACATTATAATTATGGGGTTGTCACAGGCAGGAGGAAGGCAGACCAGACAGAAAGTATGCAAATCTTCACAAAAATGCCACACACTATGCCACACACCACCTTCTACTTGGAGCTGACTGACTTCATAGGCCAAAGAGAAGTAAATCAGTAAAAAAAAAAATTGTCACATTATTTATTGCTAACCTTTTAAGTTTCACGGTAATTGCTTGAAACCAGAAGAGAGGATTTGGTAGGGGTAAGTAGGCACCAGGGAATTGCATGACTGTTCTTAAACAAAAACACTAAAAAGTCTCCTCGAAAAAAACAAAAAACAAAACAACAACAACAACAAAAACAAAAAAAACTTGAGGGAGTGTCTTATAAGGCATTTCATTGTAATTTTGGAAATAAAGAAGGCATTCACAGCAGTGCTCAAGAACTCTTAACAGGAAACTACTCCTGATCATTCAGCAAAAGACCTCTAACAAATTATCCTCTTCTAGTCACTGTTCCATTTATAAAAGATGTAACTGCTAGCAATGAAAGACCCTCTGACAAAATGCAATATTATGAATTCTTATACTAGCAACTTTCTTCTCCATGTAACATACACAGTCTGTACAGTTATAAAGGTAACTACATACCTAGTGAACTTAGATTTACATTTGATTATTTTTTGCTGGCAAATATTAAAAATTGTAGGTTCAGTACATCATAACTGAACTCTCTCTCCTTCTAGATACTTGAGTATCCTCATGTTGACTCTCTTACTCTCTCAGCGTTAGAAATGAAATTTAACTTAACCTCCTGTGCCTATAGATTGAGTGGAATTGCTTTTCTCCTCCTCCTCTCTCTAGCACACCACACCAAGTGACTACAAACAGAATAAGTATGAAAATTACAACACCACCTTCTACAAAACTGCAAATAATCTGACCGTGGTTTAGCTTTAAAAGAATAGCTATAGTCTTATATTTATAAAATTCCTTATCACAATAAATCAAAACCAAATAGCATCTCTATTCTAGAAGAAAAAAAGCTAATGCTAATCGATGAACAGAAGGCATACTGTATATAAGAATATCAATACACAAATATTTTACTGTGTGTCTCTCGTGCTCAGCATAGTAGCAGTCAGAGATTCAACACCTAATATGCTCACACATTCAGTAAAAATAGACTTTCCTTAAATATACAAGGGTTAATGCAAACAGTGGTCAGTCAACATTGTTAAAGTTCATTTTCTTGAGTGAGACTCTAAGTCAACAACATTTATATCATAGTCATATATTTTCCGTAAGCTGACTGGGGGAATCTGCGAGGATAACTGTGCTGTTACTATTAAATCTTATAAATTCAGGTACTGTTAGTACCCAAACTTTCACCAAGCCTTCAAATTTAATATTTTACCTCAAGGAATTATCTCTTTGAGCTTCAGACTCATCACCCACATTAACAGTCAAGATCTTTTACTTCCTCTAAATTCCCTTAACACATTTAATCTGTATCATACAACCATGCACTTATTTTAAGGTAGCTTCTTTTTATCCCCAAACAGGACATGAGCTTCTCAGAGAAGGGAACTGCACCCACCTTCCACTCCACTGGAAACCCCAAAATGGCCGCAGCAGTGGAATTCATAAGCATTAAGTGAATTTAAATGTATTAAAAACAAGCTAAATTTTAAATCGCACTGCATTAAATAATTTCTCTCCTGTAGAGCTATCTTAGTATGGTTTCTGCACACTTATTAAGTACAAGCTCAGCCATTCACGAATTTTTGTTTTATCCAACAGGTCTTCTTGCCTCTTGAAGGGGCCTGTAATTCCATTTCCCAAACAGCCAATTCATCTGTACCCTGCAGCTGTTTCCTAGGTAACTAACCCAGCCAAATAAAAGACTTGTTCACAATAGGAAAAAGGAAACAGAACCAGAAACTACAGCATCCCACATGCCTCTCAGCATCTCACCTGTGCAGCATAACACACAAAAGGAAAGTCATCCTGAGTCTTACTCCATTAAGTGGGGGAATCTTAAGAAGCTTCAACACTCATCATCTGTAAATCCAGACACTGTTAAAACGATTTAATACAGCCAGTCTGAGCATGTCTGTTGCCACAATGAGGATGATTATAAGGCATGTCATCACTACATGTAAAAAGTGTCACAGAAAATCTGTAACACAGGGGTTGGAAGGCAGAAAGGCACACACCCACCAGTCTGTCAGAGCAAATCATGTAGAGTGCTTGCCAACGTGGCCAGAGAGAGGGTTTTCCCATACAGGGTTGGATTTGAGCAAAAAAATAGTAAAGTTAACATTAGCTACTGTCTTCTTCCATCTTCCTGTTATGTTTTCCTCCTACTGACAATGCTCTCCTCCTCTCAAGGGGCTCTCCCTGTCATCTCTAGGTACTATGATCTGGAGTGCCCAATCCCTACCACAGATGTGGATCTCTTGCTCTACTTCCTCCTTGGGGAAATAAAATCTGTTCTTGGCAAGCTGTTTCACTGGTAACACAGGCCAAAAAATACTCTATCACAAATGTCTTAATGATTGATAAAAGCTTAACATACTGCCTTTCCCAAGAGCATTTGTATTTGAGCGAGGGGAAGTATCCCAATTGAACTGAAATTACAGTTTCATGTTTTAGCAATGGGCTGGCTGAAGAGATTTAGGAGAACTGGATGGCACGTGAAGATGGAAGGGGAACAGGAAGCAGGGAGACCCCGATGCACGCAGCCCTGTGCACCTCCTTGGGTAAGTCAGACCCTGGCAACTTGCCCTCTAAATGAGTAGAACAAAAACAAAACAGCCTACGGGTAACTTAAAAACGTCACACAAACTGGCCGGGCGCGGTGGCTCACGCCTGCAATCCCAGCATCTTTGGAGGCCGAAGCGGGCAGACCACGAGGTCAGGAGATCGAGACCATCCTGGCTAACACGATGAAACCCCATCTCTACTAAAAATACAAAAAATTAGCTAGGCGTCGTGGTGGGCGCCTATAGTCCCAGCTACTCGGGAGGCTGAGGCAAGAGAATGGGGTGAACCCAGGAGGCGGAGCTTGCAGTGAGCCAAGTTCGCGCCACTGCACTCCAGCCTGGGCAACAGAGCGAGACTCTATCTCAAAAAAAAAAAAAAAAAAAGTCACACACCTAATATTTTCCTCTGGAAACATAGCTAGCGGTGACGATTTTTATCTGCTATGATTTCTAAATTGTATTTTAGGATATAGGTGCTTATAAATAGCAAACTGGCCAAAAAGAAAAAAAAAAAAGAGTGAACAGGTAGAACAAAGAACTTTAATGAGCCACACATGGACAGTGTCTGAAAACCTGAGTAGCACACTAGGCTGAGGCTGAGCCCTACTCTCCACTGGAGTAACAGCACC